TGACTTTGTCACATTACCAGCCAAATTTAAACTTGCAGTTATGGTGTGCTATTTGACTTCAAAATTTTGATAGCTTGTTAATTAGCCAATCATTGTCTCTTTTGTTTCAAAAAATTTATATCGTTTTCATGTTTTTTCCTCCCCTTGGAAAAATCTTAATGCTGCACACCTAGCATTGTCTCATGGCACATGGATTGCGGAACTCTGATCTACACTATCCCACACTGGTGTAATCTTGTTGGTAACAGAACAAACTCCATCTCTTCTTCTTTTCAAAATCTGCATTTTTCCTCCGGTCTAACCATCTCCTTGTATATAACAATTCTTGCTTAATTCCTATCGTCTTTCTTGGTGTTGTTAAAAAAAAATAGGTTGCTTCAAATTGTGGCAGCATTTTTATCCCTACCTCAAGTCACTTACATGGAATTTATAAGGCATTTTCAGCTCTTGACATTCACAAAATGGCATATCTTTCTTGCTATGAATGTGTATGCTTTACTGGAACTAAGTTATAAATTGAATCTACAAATCATGCAAGTTTCCTGGTAAATTAGCAACGAAAAAAAAATGAAGGGATTCACATTCCAGCTGCAGTATAGTCATATGTGAATGGAGATAGGAAATTTATCAGAGAAACTTTTTGAGTTTGAAGAAGATACCCTATAACTCTTTAACTGGACCCCTTATAATAACGTTAGCAACAAATGCGTAGGGAGGATGGGCAGTTCTCTCCAGGCCGCCCTTATTTTTACTTTTGAGGGGCTGCATTTTATACAGAAGTTTTTTTTTCATGAATATCAATCAATGGGGCAACAAGAATCATGACCCAAAGGTTTGGCACTATCTCTAGCTATGCCACTGGTTAAAATATATTTACAACCTATTTTTGGCTAAAATAATATAATTGTAATAAGTAATAAGCCTACTAAGGAGGCTTTGATTTAAACAATGGAATCTTAACAGTGGGTGATTTTCTATTTTTTAAATATTTCTTTTCTTTTTTTTTTTTTTTACAAATTATTTGTTTGAAAATATGTGACCCATTAAATCTTTTATCAGACTGTCTTCAAACAGTATTATTTATTTAAACCCAGGGCAGAATTAACACACTTGGGTACTGGGTACCCTCAGCACTTAAGGATTTCTACTACATTTTCGAAATGCAGACTGCTTAGTCTTTTATTACATTTACTGATTTACATCCACAAAACTAATTTTTTGTAGCACATCTGCTTATATTTATATGGTCTAAGTCAGTGGTTCCCAAACTTTTAGGTTTGGCGGACCGATGAGCCCGTTTCGAAATTTTACCAGGGACCGGTGCATGATTTATTTGTATACTTTTATTTCTATTTGACAATAAATATTTATGTTATGGGGACCGGCAGCATTAGGCCTGCGGACCGGTGAAGGTCCACGGACCGCCATTTGGGGACCACTGGTCTAAGTAAACAAACTTTTAGTAAAAGCATTCAACCTGCCTTTTTGCTTAGATGATAGTTGGTTTGTTGAGTTTTTAAAAAAATTATAAATACCCTGACCCTGTGCCGGTAAGGTAACTGAGAAAATGAACGCTCAGCTGAACAATTGGTTATCATTAGTATTAAGAATATGTCATGTAGATTCAATTATCAACAAATAGAAAGGCCTCATCAATTTTGGCTTCTTGTATTATTTTGAAAATATCTGCATTAGTTTGAGTAAATTTTGTTTTTACAGTTTTGGTTACTCTATCACTAAAGCTATGCTCCACAGAAGAATGAAACTGCACTTAAGTCCGCTGGGTAAGCATGGCGTGGCGTAAATATGAATAGTTTAGCCCGGGGCGGGCGGCCAAACGTTTTGTAGCCTCCTTCCACCCACCCCCCCCCCCCCCCCCCCCCAAACAACAACAAAAAAATATCCTGTTGGCGGTAAATGCCACTCCTCAGTAAAAGGGAAACAAGTACCGTCGGGGGCCCAGTCCGCCCTCTCCACGACCCCATTCCTACGCCACTGGATGAAGTAGGCGTAGGCCTAATTGTATGTCATATCCTTGTAACTTATATGGAATCTCTCTGATATTACTTTATTTACCTCTTCTCTTTTTCTCGACTCAAGCTCAATTATTAGTTTATCTGTAATCGCATTTTTAAAAGGTAGTATTAGTATACGACATTTGTTTCTCGTATCATGGAAACAAAAATTATACGGCAAAAAATTATTCAGTCTCCATTCTTTAAATATAATCTAAGTTGCCCCCTTTCTCCCGATTCCCTAAGCAGGTGCTTATTTTGCGTAATCCGGGCATGTTTACACCCCTCATCCAAAGGGGCCGTCCATAAAGTACGTCACGCTATTTTTGACCATTTTAACACCCCCCTCCCCTGTCACAAACTGTCATAAATCTCAGAACCTCCCCCCCCCCAAACCTAAAGTGCGTCACACTTTCGAACAAAATTTAAAAAAAATTAACACCTAATTAAAATTTAATTGCATGATATGCAACCTCTATGATAAGGCCACCAGTGCAGTCTTCCTCAACAACAACATCGGAGAATGGTTCAAGACCACGGTTGGAGTACGACAAGGCTGCCTGCTCTCCCCCACCCTATTAAACATCTTCCTAGAGAGAATTATGTCAGATGCTCTGGAAGCGCATGAAGGGACAGTCAGCATTGGTGGCAGAACAATCACCAACCTACGCTTTGTGGACGACATAGACGTGCTGGCTGGGAACGAAGAAGAGCTAGCCGACCTGGTAAAGTGTCTCGATAAGACCTCGTCGTCCTACGGCATGCTAATCAGTGCCGAAAAGACAAAACTGGTGACAAATAATACCGCAGGCATCACCACTGAAATTAAGGTCGGGGAGGAAAGATTAGAGACTGTCGGCTGCTTCAAATACCTAGGAGCAATAGTCTCAGAGGAAGGCTCTAAGCCCGAACTGATGTCCAGGATTGCGCAGACTACAACAGCACTAAAAAAGCTCAAGAAAATATGGAATGACAAAAATATAGACCCCAGCACCAAAGTCAGGCTGATGCGCTCATTATTCCTCTCCATTTTCATGTATGCCTGCGAATCCTGGACGATTTAACAGCCGATCTTGAAAGGAAAATAAAGGCGATGGAGATGAGATGCTTCAGAAGCATTTTTGGCTTCTGCTATAGGGACCATATCTCCAATGATACAGTGAAAGAACGGGTTCGTCAGGCAATTGGGGAGTACGATGACCTACTGGTGACTGTGAAAAAACGCAAATTACAATGGTACGGCCACGTAACAAGGAAACAAGGGCTTGCCAAAGAAATATTGCAGGGCACCACAAGAGGAGGAAGAAGAAGAGGAATACAAAGAAAAAGGTGGGAGGATAACACCAAAGAGTGGACAGGACTAACACTGGGCGATGCTGTGCGTAGTGCTGAAGACAGAGAGGTATGGAGGAGGATGGTTCACATGTCATCTGTGGCGCCCCAGCGGTCCAATGACTAAGGGACATGAGGATGAGAGGAAAATTTAATCTAAAACACACTTCACTATTAAACTGTGTTAAAATATAAATTTTCCACTTAAAAGAACTATCACATTATTAAAATGACTTTAGTAGTAGAATAGTTACTAGCGCTCCTAGCGAGAAGAATCGTGAACAACCCATTCAAGAGATTCGCATTTCATGCTATTTTGACATAAAACAAATTCAAATATTTCACAAAATTTTTGAAAATAATTTTTAAAGCTATTAAATTCTACTAAAAAAAAAAAAATAGAAATAAAATAAAAAAATAAATAAATTCGTGACGTCAAACATGGCCTGAGCCCCCCCCCCCTCCACCCTGTCACAAAAAAAAAAAAAAAAAGAAATAAAATAAAAAAATAAAAAAATTCGCGACGTCAAAACTGGCCTCAGCCCCCCCCCCCTCCACCCTGTCACAAACTGTCAGACTTTCTTACACCCCCCCCCCTCTCTCTCTCTCTGGAGCGTGACGTACTTTATGGACGGCCCCAAAGTTTTTTTTTTAATGACACATTTATGAACTGTCTAGTCCCACCCTAATCCCCGTGGCTGAAACTGTAACTCGTCGTATGTGCCAAAATGAAATTGTGACTCGTTTAATTTGTTTATTTATACAATAGTCGTTAAAAGAGTAATTCTAAACCGGAAACATTAGTGACGTCAGAAAATAAGGTATCGTTATTTGATAAAAATATATCGATACTTGCGGCCTTTGAGTTTTTTAAGTATATAAGCATCTCTGCAGAAAATGACTAAAAAATTAGGTTTATCTAGGCCCTATTAGCCTATTACAATATTACAAGTATTTTTCTTATCTTCAAATACATTGGCTTTAAAATTGTTTGGTGCAGTAGCTTTAATGGTGCAATCATTTGCAATCATAAAACACTTGCGTCTATTGCCTCAGGCCTTCCAACCCCCAGTTCATCATGATACCCTCACTAAGTGGCCCTTGCAACCAGTGAAATAGCCTCTTCAACACCAGGCACAGAAACATTGCAAATCCCCTCTACATGCATAGGAGCCAGAATGATCAATAGATTGATCGTGGGCCCTTAATATATAGAAGAATAATAATAATCGAAAACATTAACATTCAAAACAAAGTAAATGTAATTCATAAAAAAATCATCAATCTTTTGCCAATTGTCATGGGGCTTTGGACTAATGTTAATAATGAAGAGCTAGAAATAACGTTTTAATAATTTATTTTCTTCTAAAAATATCAAACATTTAACGGTTTACTCAAATTTAGTAAAGTTTCGAAGTGAATTGAATAATAAATAACTAAAAAGTTATACATTGTAACTAAAATGTTAAACTTTTTAAAATTTTTAATTAGGGTGTTGCTTTTGTTTCGGTTATTCTTAAAAACCATTATATCTTAATCTGAAATGAAACTATTTAAAATGGATTAATGGGAGAACTGATACTGTTTTCAAGCTCCCATGACTTGTTCATAAAAATATCACTAATAAGTATCGAAAAAAAAAATCCTATGTACGAATACACCCATTTCTTAATGTGCGGCGGCCATATTGTTCGTGACAGCATTTCGCACGAGTGGGAAATAGAATATTACTTGCATTTAAACATTACTTGAATTTTTAACTATTTTGCTAGGATACTCGCAATGAACTAAAAATGCCAACATATTTTCAAAAACCTGAAAATGCTTTGAAAAGAGCAGATGGTAAGTTGAAATTATCAGTAGTTTTCAGCCGGAATGCGATTAAGACTAGACTAAGGCGGCTAAGGCTAAGCAGATGGTGAAATGGCAATGGTGGAAAGTAAATGTTAAATTTTTCAGTAGTATGTTATGTAAGTACCTTGCACAATTGCTTCACTTGAAGACTGCCATTTCACCTCTTTAAAAGATAAAATTAATCAGTGTGGGGTTTACCCAATTAGGATATGATTTGAGATTTTAAATAAATATAGTATACAAAAAGGCAATCCTCCGAAGTCCGGTACCAAATTATTTTGTATGAAAAAAATTGCAATGCACAGTGTCTATTGTTAGAAAACAACAGAAATGTCAGTCATAGCCTTTGCAAATAACTGTCAGTTTACAAACCAGTCAGTAAATACGAAATGTTGTATTTGTAATTGGCACATAACATTTCCAAATAGCAGCCGAAAACGTTCTGCTGTGACTGTTGCGCCACTGAAGGCTCCAAGTAGCTGGCAAACAGACCGTGACTAGTACCACTCTGATAGCAGAGTTTACGTTTCGCTTGCATCCAAAGTCCTTCATTGGTTTATGTGTGAATGTCCTGATCTACTGGATCAACAAATTCATGCGCGTGCACAATGATAGCGTGAGCATAAATCCCGTTGTTGAGCTGACCGAAATTTTGATATCCTCGCCCATCGTCCGTGACGATAGCTGTCCCTGGTAACACATGATTAGTTATAATGCGCTCGAGTGTTTGTGCATCTCGACGGCCGACAACCTTGATCCAACATCGTCAAATGGGAGTTGGCACAGAAGAATAGGCCTATGAGTTTTTAATTTTTGGAAGTTGGAACTGTTTTATTAAAGAAAGGACTAGGCTATAATTTTGTTATAAAATTGTGGTATTTATCAATATGGTTTACAGTAGTGGACATCTTCACCTACATTTCCAGCATTTTTTCCCCTCTTCAATCGACCCCATAATTAGAAATTCATAGGATAATATAGTATATATATAAGGCATCTTTCCCTACAAAATTTTGTAAGAAGTTCAAAATCTGTCTTTCACTTTCATAAATCTTCTTCTGCGTTTTTTGTTATATATTGATGTATATTTGTGCCAATTCTCAAAGAGCTAGGACATGTCGGTCATAAGTTATGCTCGTTAAGTTAACACACATAAGGTCACCCTGCCCCATTTCAACCACGCCCCCCTTTTTAATGGTCATGGTGGAAGATGTCAATACTTCTGATGTATTCAATTATTACCACTACTCACGTCAAAAAATTTGATAACTTGTATTTTAGAGTGAATTTAAAGGCATTTAAATAAGAATATTTTAATTTGAGGTTTAAACATCGGGTTGAGTCCATATTTATTATAAATTATAATAAATTGCAGTGTGCAAAACATTGTCATCGTGGCCGTCGTGGGCAGCCATTCAGTCACTAGTTGTCACTAGCATGTAATATACTACTATAGTTTCATTCATAAGAATTACAGTGTGCAAACACTATTAAATCATTGGTCAGGGAAAGCTTTAATTCATTAGTCATGTGCTAAAGTTGAAAGTTCAAAATAATAAGTCCCAAACCAGTATTATTATTTTTTTAAGGAGACATAGTGTCTGCCTTTATGTAGACCCATAGTTGTAGCAGTATGGTTTTTTGTTTCAATTTATCTAATTTTTTTACGAGAGCTAAAATTGTTCATTTCAAAGACATGTTTTCAGTGTCTTATTTCATTGTCATTACGTGTTATTTCAACTATTTCTGGAGCGGCACGTTGTGTCCATACTTTTTATGATCCTCATTATAAACTACAATTAAACAAAAAAAATGTTACATTTTATCTAAACTTTTATACACAACTCGAGAAGAAAATATTTGAATAAGTTAATGTTTATTTGCTTATTAGAGAAAAAAAACAAATAGATGTTACAGTCTATGAATGAAATTATTAGGACCAGCAGCTGTGCTTTAACCAATACATTTTCTTTTCTGATCATTCTGAAACTGGTATTGATTCAATAATTGTAGGTTTTTAATTTTAAGTGAAGAAACATTATGTTTTTATTTTTAGACACTGACACTGAAATCGATTTGTTTTTTGTTAATCTATCCCAGAACAATCGATTAAATCAAAGAAATGCATACTTTTAAATAAAAATTTTATTTGCAAACTAATATTAGTTTAACATAAATATTGAATAATATGTAACAACACGAGAAAGTATCACTTTTCTAAAAAGAAAATATATGAAAAAAAGTATTAGCTTCAAAATGGTGAAAAAAGGTTCAAAATTTATTAATTACATTATATACTGGTTAATTACTTTAAAAAAAAAATTATTTTGAAAACATAAGTGTAAATGTAAACAAATTTAAGGTTTATTTTGATACATTTAAAAGAGAATTGACTTAGACGGAAATTACGCGACCAGTTGCGAATCTGTGCATAATGCAAGCGTTATCGGCAGGCCAAAATCTTCGAATAACGTCGAGCGTTACGTGCACAGCTGTACGAATAATCACTTCGTAATATATATAATGGACGCCTTAGACTTAGTCTTAGTGAAAAGAACAGCCATATCATATTTATTAAATTTAATAAAATATTACATAGCTAGATAAATTAAAATGTATTTATAATTGCATGATAATGTTAAAAATTAATTTGATATTAGAACTTTTAATACCTAAACCTAGCATTAATTCTGAAAAACATCCATATGATATTTAATGTAATAGTGCATATTTACATAGCTAAATAAGCTATACTTTATTTATAATTGAATAATATTGTTAAAATTAATCTAAAAATTAGAATTTTTAATACTTTGTATTAAAGATTAATAATAAATAATAAACATTGGTATAAAATATCATTTAAACCAGTTATTGCACATAACATGATAACTTCAATCTGATGCAGCCTCCAATCCCTTCATGATGATGACAAATGTGTTATCAGCTCAATTTCACATACATTCTATATTTTAAATTGAGTTTATGGCAAATATTTAGAGTTTTAATAATTTATTGCTTTTAAGGATTAGTATCGACAGGTGAATATGGGTCATGACTCATGTGACTTAGTCTCATTTTAACATTAACATGGTCACATATGCTAATAGTTCAACAAAATGGTTTTATCTTGGTATTTCAGTCAGAAATTTGCGTAGTTTTCTGGAGCAATGAAATCACGACCATCAAAATATCCAAGATGTTAATAGTGAAATAGCCCACTGATTAATTGTATTGCTAAAATTATGTAAATTTCCATTTCAGAATTTATTGATGTGGGGAAAAAGCAGAGGGCCTTGGATGCCCTCTACGATGTCATTAAAAGTAAGAAGCATCGAACATGGCAGAAAACGCACGAGCCTATTATGGAAAAATACCTTGAGCTTTGTGTGGAGCTTCGCAAATCACACATTGCTAAAGAGGGCCTTTATCAGTACAAGAACATATGCCAGCAGGTACTTTGATTAACCACACCATAGTATTTTGTAATAACTCATTAAATTAGTTTTTAATTTAAGAGTTAATATTTTTTTTAGGCCAATAAAATAGTATTTGAAATTTTAAATATTCATGTCCTATACAGAACTGTTTACTCTTAAGATTTTGGAGTATTCATTATATATATTGTATGTTTTTTTTACTATTTATTAAGATAATGTGTTGAACGATTTTGTGATGATATTGTACGATTTTAAGAGTTTGAGGGTAAACAGGTCTGCCTATACAAAATCTTACTAGGTCATATATCATGTGTCCTATACAAAATCTTACTAGGTCATCTACAAATATGATTCCAAGGTGCATATTTTTTAAAGAAAGATTTTTGTAATCTATTTGAGAATATGCATATCAAAAATAACCCCTTAACTTAGTTCTTTAATACTTTTATATAATGGGTTACCAAAAGTTTTGGAAACATAAGGTGACACAATATAGATTACTGTATTTAAAAAATGGCCTAACTAAAAGTGCATTACCCCAAAAAAAAAATAAATCCTAGTTAATGATTTGCAATTTACAGGTGAATATAAGTTCTTTGGTTGAAGTAGTTAAAGGCTACATCACTTTAGCGGAAGAAAAGACGGAAGCAGCAAGAAAGGAGTCGCATCAAACTGTTGTTGATATTGATGATCTGGATTTACCAGATTCTCCTGAGAGGTAATATTGCTACTACAATAATTTTTAAGTTTTATCTCATAAGTTGTAGCAAGTAATTTATTTGTACCATGTGCCATGGTAATGAAGCTATAAACACCTTTGCCACTTTTATTCATACACTTATCTTAAAACCTAGTTTTGTAGGATTAAATTTTCTTATTGAATAGTAGGTACTGCAGAACAAATTTTCAAACAGCATATCACTATTAATAGCGTAATGATTTTTAACTTGGTAAAAACACGAACATAACAATCAATTATAATAATTCAATATAAATTGCACTAGAACATTAATAATTCTAGTGCAAGTATTGAAATTGTAACTCATTGTTTAGCTCTAAACATATTACCTTTTTCATTTTTTTTCCACATATAGCAGCAAAAGGGATTATAATATTCAAATTTTAAGATCCAGTGCATATTGCTTTAAAATCAATTATTTTTATTTTTAACTGTTCTATTCAGCAACCCCTTAAAAAAAACCATTTGCTGACCATCAGTTGGGAATCTTTGTAATAGAGCTTCACAATAAATTCCACTGAAACAGATAAAGTAAATAGTTTTTAAAATTTAGGATCTCACCATTAATAACTATTTTATGCTTGATTATCATATACCTTTTACAGCCTATTATTGAAAGCTGTGAGTGGAGAAGACCTTCAGGATCGTACAGATAGGGCCATTTTGACACCATGGGTGAAGTTTCTATGGGAGTCTTATCGACAGTGCTTGGATTTGTTGAGAAACAATTCAAGAGTGGAAAGACTCTACCAGGACATAGCTCAACAAGGTAAAACAATTAGGTGTTTTTCAACACTCACTTTTTGTGAGCTCAAACATATTTAGGAAAGCAATAATTTAGAGTTAAAAGAAAGGTAAGCCGCTCATTCAGAATACAAAAATACAACAACCTAAAGGGTAACATCTGGGCTCTCTATGGCAGTATATCCTATTTAAAAAGGTGAATTGAAATGATTTGGGGAATTTTTCAACACAGCTACATGCAGTGATTAATTTTCTATTGTGTTAGACTACCAAATTATTCTTTTCACGTTTTCAGCTTTCAAGTTTTGTTTGAAATACTCCAGGAAAACTGAGTTCCGAAAATTATGTGACAATGTAAGTCATAAACAAATTTTAATCTAAGTTAACTGATTTGAAGCATCACCGCAATTAGGAAATTAGGATTGTTTTGCTATAAAATCCCTTCACAATTATTATTTTTGGGTTGCAAATTTATAATACAAATGTAACGATCTGTAATCTGATGGGAGAGAATCAGGTTGGGATTAAAGTTGAGGTGGGTGAGGGTAATTGTGTAGATTTGGCTGTCTGGAAAAGGGGGAGGTGAGGTTGGGGCTGGGGGGAGGGTTGTTATTTGGATTGGGGAGTGAATAGCACTGAACATGGTCACCCCAAGGTGGCACAGTGTTGTCTACCTGTAAAACATGTGAGATAAACATTGTTTGCTTTGTATTATTTTGGTTTCAGCTGCGTACTCACTTGGGACACATTCACAAGCACCAACATCAACAGACTGCCATTAATCTGAACAATCCAGAGTCACAAGCTATGCACCTGGAGACTCGGTTGGTTCAGTTAGATAGTGCCATAAGCATGGAGCTCTGGCAGGTGGGCATTTTAATATAAACTTTTTTTAATATATATATATATTTATTATTTAAAGAGTCTTAATACAGTATTGAGTGAGCACTTCTTTTCTCCTTAAAATTGAATTTTTAAAATAATCGCTGGAATTATTTTTTTCTATGTCAAGAGTTTCCAAAGTGTCTTGGTCTAAAGCCTATAATCATGTTGTTAAATGTTTCTAAGCAACATGCAACAGAATCCACATGGAGAGCATTCAATGCTACTTGTCATAATTACTTTTATTGCATAATTTTAAATAATTTTTTTGGTGCTTAGCTTTTGTATAATCTTAAATTAGGATGTGGTTGCTAACAAATACATAACAAAGTAGTAATAATTGTTTTATTTAACTTAACACATTTAAACTTTTCAGGAAGCATTTAAAGCAGTAGAAGACATACACGGTTTGATAACTTTATCTAAGAAACAACCCAAACCTTCATTGATGGCTAATTACTATCAGAAACTTGGTTTAGTTTTTTCCAAATCAGGAAACCATTTGTTTCATGCTTGCACCTTGCATCGCTTGTTTAATTTATCCAGAGAGCAGCGTAAGAATTTGTCACCTGAGGAGTTGCAAAAGTAAGTGTCAAAATTGGAATTATTTTTTTTAAATTGAAAAACAAGTAAAATGACAATTTTACATCAGATTCATTGATTAGGTTGTTTGTTTTAATTTTTTCATTAATGATTTTCTTTCTAGATATTGAAATAAATGGCATAATATTTAATACAACAATATACCTTAATATTTTATTTTGTTCCTACTAGAATGGCTTCAAGGGTACTCTGTGCCACTCTGGCAATACCAATCCCACCAACTAGAAATGTGATAGGAAACCTTTTGGTGATGGATGAAAGTGCTGTTGAAAAGCAAAGAAAACTTGCAACTCTTCTTATGCTCCAAACACCGCCAACCAGGCAGTCCTTGGTGAAAGATCTTGTGAGTTAACGAACTTCATTTAATTATTAACATTTTGTATCTCCATTTTAGTTAAGGAATTTAGAATTTAGCCTTGTTATGTATTTAGAGAAAAGAAATTAATTCTAAGAATCAATTAAAATGATTAATTCAATTTTTGTGCAGGTGAATCATGGTAGCATTCAGTTTACCTACCCTGAACTCCAAAATCTGTATCAATACTTGGAAGTAGAGTTTCATCCCCTGAGTTTATATAAAAAGGTCAAGCCTGTTGTGGATTATATTGAACAGAATGAAGATCTTGCTCAATATGTTCCTCAGTTGGAAGATATTATCATCACTCGAGTTCTGAAGCAGGTACATTTATTTTTATTTCTTTATTTATACGATCAGTTCCTTTAATTGGTTCCTTCACTTGGTTTGAAAGTAAGTTGTCAGTTAATTTAAGTATCATAGTTCTTAAACATTTTGATTTCTTAAACTCAGGTTGCCCAGGTGTACCAGCAAATAAAGTTCAGTCGCTTTGCATCACTGGTTCCATTTGCATCTGAGCATCGACTTGAAGGTGTTATTGTTGATGCTGCTAAGACTTTAGAGTTACAGGTACTGTTTGAAAATGATGGCATAAAAATTAAAAAATTTGTTGGTTCAGTTCTTTTAGACTAGAAAAACGATTTTTCTGTATTAATAAAAAATGTTCTTTATGAAAGTGTGCATCACTTAAAATATCAAAAGTTATTGTTTTTTTTTTTGTTTTGTTTTTTTTACTATGCCATACCCCATAGGATAAAAAATATTATTTTTCATTTACATTAATGGAAATTGGTGGTGATTTTTTTAGGTTCACTGCCTCTAAAAAATAAAAAAAACTTCACTTTGTCTAGCTTTGTTCCTTTGTTTTACCACAGGTGCGGATAGACCATCGCACAAGATCACTAAGTTTTGGCACAGACTTGGGTGTGTCTCAGAAAGAAGATATTCCAGAGGGCCCTTACATTCAGAGCATGCCTAGTGAGCAAATTCGCAATCAGGTTATTAATATTGCTCAAGCCCTCAACCAAGCAATGGAAATAATTGGACCCAAAGAAAGTACTGTGGTATGTGACTTTTAATGTCATCTACTTATGTAGCTGAAATTAAATTCTATGAAATGATGTGTCATTTAAAAAAAATATATTTTCAGGTCATTTGAAATGATTTTATAGCTTCTCATTATTTTTAGTATATTTTAATTTGTAGTATTGTATTTCTTTTTTTTTCCAGATAGAAGAGGAGGAGCTAAAGGCAAATATTTTAAACACATACAGACTAACTGCCAAAAAAGAGCATGCTCGCATTCTGCTGCGTCGTCAAATAATTGAAAATCGCAAAGAGCAACTGGAGCAGAACCAGGATCAACGCGTACGTTTTATTTACTTTTTGTCATAATTTTAAATGATTTTCAGCGTTGATCTTCAATTTAAAAAAAAATGGCCAAATGTATTGTCATTTAACATTCTGAAGGATTTCTTGAGTTATATAGGAATATCCATTATAATTTTCGTGTCTAGGAACGAGAAGAATTTGAGCAAGCAGAAGAACAGCGCCGTAAAGCTTATGAGGCTGAGATGGCCCGTTTGGAAAGAGAAGCTGAAGAGCGCAACAAACAGCGACAACAAGAAGAGCATGAACAGATAAAGAGGAGACATGTCAAGGAGAGGCTGGATGAACTTCGTAAAACACCACATGGATCTAAAATTCTACAAAATATTGATGAAGAAGTAAGTTTAAAATAGGAACTGAAATGAATTTAATGTCAAAAGTAATTTTTTAAAGGTTTGTATGGGGGTTGGGGTGTTTTTGTTTATATATATATAATCTTATAAAGATGTGAATTAACTTCTTCATTATACAAACTACAAAATTGTTATCTGTAATTAAATTCACGTTCACAATAAGTATTAAAAAATCTTATTTCATCTAAAGGAGATTGCTGAACTTGATGTTGATGAGATCATGGCCAAGCAAGTGGAGCAGCTTGAAAAGGAGAAGAAAGAATTGCAAGAGAGATTGAAGGGACAGGAGAAAAAGGTTGAAACCATTTATTTAGTCAAAAAGTTTATGTGTTGATTCAAAAATATTGATTGTCGTAAAATTGAAGCTAACACTAAATATTTCAGTTTAATAAATTTTAATACTGTCCTTGAGACAGTGAAAGTTGTTCCAATATTTTCCATTATGTGATCAGCATAGATTTTGACCCTGGGCTAAACACTTATGTGATGCTTGGAAATGACCATTTAAAATCAACTGATCCCAATTATCCATTAGCAAACCCTGATAGCTTTCAGGATTTGCATGGTACACAATTTACATTTGCTATTACAAAAAACTTGATGCAATTCTTTAGGTTGACTACTTGGCTAGGGCTAAGCGCATTGAGGAAATCCCCATTCTTCAGGAGCAATTTGAAGAAGATCAGAAGGCCAGAAAGGAGTTTTGGGAAGAGCAGGAAAAAGAAAGAGTGAGTAAAAGTTTTTTCAATTTATCATTTAACTGGACATTTTGCATTCATGTTCGTCCTAATACACAAATCTTTAAAAAAAAATTTAAGGTGGATGTTTTAGGGGCATACAGAAAATAGAGGTCTTAACTCCACGATTAACATGGCTTTACGCCAGTTTCGATCACTACAGAACTGGCTCACAAACAGTATTGCTTCTCTGAGGAAGCATTTCTTGCTGCTGTAAATATAACCAAATCATTAAAAACCATTACTTTGTTTGGTATTGATGGTCATAATTTGTATCAAACATTGCTCTCCATCAATGTAACAAAAGGAAGAAGGTACCTTTTTTTTCTGTAAACTGGAGATAATGTTAAAGTTTGCCTGATGTATGTAAAATTGTGAACCTAATTATGTGGTCAGTAGGAAGAGTTTTTTTTTATTTTTAATTTGTATTGAGGGAAAGTTTTTTTAAAAAACCTTTAATGTAGTCAAGTCTTAATAAAACAACTTTTCTCATTTGGGATTGTGAAATACTGAATTGAATATAGCCAAATTGTTTTTGTTTTCATGGTAGAATATTTATTAGAAGTATATATGATTTTTATTATTTCATCTATCTGTCAGGATCAGTTAGGTGAACATTTATTTATGTTTCTATGGTCTAATGCCTCCCAAAAAAGTCATTTAATAATACCAGCTTTATTAATTGCCAGTAATATTATTGTACTCACTCTGGCATGCATAATACGAAACTCTATGGTTGGCAAGTCAGTCACGTTAGAGCTGATGACTACCATACTGGCTCTTTTTTTTTTTTTTTTTTTTGCCAGTTCATGAAGTGGGTCTGATACAAATAGTTTTGCCATAGTATTTTATCATCCAGTTAATCATTTAATCTGTGATGTTTATTATTTGGCATACATTAAACAGAGAGCTGGACTCCACCATTATAATTGCATTAACAAGTGCTAATCACTTTATAACTGGCTCACAAATATTGTATAACTAATTCTACAGCTTTTTAGTGTTTGAATAATAATTTGGTACTATGAGAAAAAGATCTAATGCAGTTTGTAAGAAATCCTAAATAACAGCATCAGAATATCAAATTTTATTGAGTCCAATCAATCTGTTTATGTTTCAAAGTGATGTATTGCTTTATTTTTACAGTTGGTAATTCTTGTAAATTGGAAAAGTCTAATTTATTGACTTTTCCAAATGTATTATTTTCATCCTGTAAATAATTTAATATGTGATTTTTATTGTTTGGCATGTATAAGAAAGAGAGCTGTACTCCACCATTAGCATACATTAACACATGCTAATCAATTTAATAACCGAATCCCAAATATAAAATATTAATATCAAGTATTGTCCAATTGTACATTTCTGATACTTTTGTTTTTAGCTGTTCTAGTAATTATAATGAATCCGATATATCAGTTTTGCCAGAGTATTCATTTAATAATCCTGTTAATAATTTAATCTGTGATGTTTACTATATGGCATGCAAAAACACAAAGTTGGACTCCACCACTAGCATTACATTAGCAAGTGCCAATCACTTTTATGACTGAATCCCAAATATAAATATTAATATCAGTCATTTTTTAAATAAAAAGCTGTCATATTGTCGCATAGTATATTTCTGATACTTTTGGTATTTAGACTTTTCTTGTAACTGAAATGATTCCAATTTATAATGTTGCCAAAGTATTTCTTTAATCATCCTATTAATAATTTAATCAGTGATGTTTAGAATGTGGCATACATAAAACAGAGAGCTGGACTCCACCATTAGCATTACATTAACAAGTGCTAATCACTATATAACTGGCTCACAAATATAAAATATCAATCATTTTTTAAATAAAAAGCTGTATTATTGTTCAATTAGTAAGTTTCTAATGCATATTATTTAACTGTTCTTGTAACTGAGACGAGTCCAATATATATTTGAAGACCACAAGGGAAAAAACGTCAGAGTCACATTTTTGTTGTTTTGAGATATTCCATTTTTAAAGTTCAAAACCATGCACATTAAAAATGTGTAAACAAAATGTAATTTTTAAAATGCATTTCACAAGAGTGTCCATTTCTCTGAGTTATTAAATAGATAAAGTAATTCAAACTTGAATCTAACATGATTTATTTCATTATAGTAGAGAGTGGGGTCAAAATGGACTCTGCCGTTTTTTCCCTTGTAGTAATTTATCAAGGTTTGATCATTGATAAATATCTATTTAAAACTATTTTATAAGTAAATTTTCACATTTAGGGGTCACTGGCAAATTACGTCACGCTTAGAGGGGGTGGGTTGAGAATATGCGACACTTTTTGGGAGGGGGAAAGGGGGGGTCAAAAATTGTGACGTCACTTTTTTTCATCTCTAAAAGTTTTTAATTCTTTAAAAAAAATCATAATTTGATTAATTTTTAAAACATTAATTTGAGGTCAACTTTGCCTCAGGTATTATAGTATTGTACCATGAAACTCGGTTTTCTAGTAATACTACATCTTATCATTATGGCAGTGGTTCTCAACCTTCCTAATGCCGCGACCCTTGAATGCAGTCCCTCATATTGTGGTGACCCTCAGCCATAAAATTGTTTTCGTTAGTACTTCATAACTGTAGAGGATATGCATTTGCCGATTGTCTTATGTGACACCTTTAAAGGAGTCATTCGACCCATAAAGGGGTCGCCACCCACAGGTTTAGAACTGCTGCATTATGGGAAAATGTTGAAGAATAAAATAATATCTTAGTTTAGTTATGAAAATTTTATGTATGTTTTGAATTTTTTTAGGTGATATGAAAATGGGGGGGGGGAAATTTGTGACATTTCGTGACAAGGGGAGGGGGTGTCTAAAAAGGTCATTTTTAACGTGATGTAATTTACGAATGACCCCTGCCTTAGGCAAATTATTTTTGTTTAAACTATAAATATAAGAACATGGATCATGCCTAGAACTATCATTAACAAAATATATTATTTAGAATTTAACCTGAAAATCAGATTTAAAATCATACTTTCTGAGTTTCTGATGCGCTTCTTACAATTTTGGCCCAATATTAGTTTTTTTTCCCTCTGCCTCTAGCAGTAGTTGTAACTGTATAAACTTAAGAGTAAAGTCAGTAAAGAGTAACAGACCAAGATAGCAAGACAGACACTCGAAGATAAAGAGTTCAGGGGGAGTCAGACACAGAGTTAGAGCGACAGGGAGAGAGACATACAAACTAACTGAGATAGGCTGACAGGGAGAGACACAGACATGCAACAAACAGTGATAGACTAGACTTGACTAGGACTAGAGCGACAGCGAAAAAGACGAGACAGATGCACACATTAATTAACTGAACATAACAAAACAAGGGTTAAATGCGATTTAAAAATACACATTTTATTTTTTTAATGTTTTAAGTACAATTTATCGTGCTTATGTTAATTTGTTTTGTTTTCTTGTGGTAGGAAATTAAAAAAATTCAGGTCTGTCAGTTAACTTTTTCGTCGGTTTGTCGGTCAGCTCAGCGAATCGGTCGCCATCTTTAAATTTTGTTTACACATAGCTATCTCTCATTGGACCTTAAAATCACGTGACTTCAAATGTCACGTGATATTAGTGACTTAGCCCCCTTTTCCATTGTAAACATTGGACTATGCTCCTTTTTCCATTGTAAACGGATTTTTCTTATGGACTTAGCCATTTTTTCTCCTTTAAACTTAATTCAGCACCTTCTATTTTTAACTGGCTATTAGTCAGGGGTGATAACTCAAAAAAATTAAAAATGGACTCTGCTGTTTTTCCCTTGAGGTCTTAATTTACTAAAGTATTTATTTAATCACCTATTAATAATTTAATCTGTTGTATTTACTATGTGGCATACAAAGAAAACCAGAGAGTTGGACTCAACAATTATTATTATTATTATATTGTCAAATAGTACATTTCTGATACTTTTGGTATTTAGGCTTTTCTTGTAAGGGAAATGATTCCAATATATCATGTTGCCAAAGTATTTCTTTAATCATCCTATTAATAATTTAATCAGTGATGTTTAGAATGTGGCATACATAAAACAGAGAGCTGGACTCCACCATTAGCATTACATTAACAAGTGCTAATCACTATATAACTGGCTCACAAATATAAAATATCAATCATTTTTTAAATAAAAAGCTGTATTATTGTTCAATTAGTAAGTTTCTAATGCATATTATTTAACTGTTCTTGTAACTGAGACGAGTCCAATATATATTTACTAAAGTATTTATTTAATCACCTATTAATAATTTAATCTGTTGTATTTACTATGTGGCATACAAAGAAAACCAGAGAGTTGGACTCAACAATTAGCATTACATTAACAAGTGCTAATCACTTCATGGCTGAACACCAAATATAAAATATCAGTCATTTTTTTAATGAAAAGCTATCATATTGTCCAATAGTACATTTCAAATACTTTTGGTATTTAGACTTTTCTTGTAACTGAAATGATTCCAATATATCATGTTGCCAAAGTATTTATTTAATCATCCTATTAATAATTTAATCAGTGATGTTTAGAATGTGGCATACATAAAACAGAGGGCTGGACTCCACCATTAGCATTACATTAACAAGTGCTAATCACTATATAACTGGCTCACAAATATATAATAATCAGTCATTTTTGAAATAAAAAGCTGTAGTATTGTTCAATTAGTAAGTTTCTAATGCATATTATTTAACTGTTCTTGTAACTGACACGAGTCCAATATATATTTACTAAAGTATTTATTTAATCACCTATTAATAATTTAATCTGTTGTATTTACCATGTGGCATGCAAAGAAAACCAGAGAGTTGGACTCAACAATTAGCATTACATTAACAAGTGCTAATCACTTCATGACTGAACCCCAAATATAAAATATCAGCCGTTTTTTAAAATAAAAAGCTGTCTTGTTTTTGAAATGAACATTATTATTATTATTATTATTATATTGTCAAATAGTACATTTCTGATACTTTTGGTATTTAGGCTTTTCTTGTAAGGGAAATGATTCCAATATATCATGTTGCCAAAGTATTTCTTTAATCATCCTATTAATAATTTAATCAGTGATGTTTAGAATGTGGCATACATAAAACAGAGAGCTGGACTCCACCATTAGCATTACATTAACAAATGCTAATCACTATATAACTGGCTCACAAATATAAAGTGTTGGTCATTTTTTTAAAATAAAAAGATGTAGTATTGTTCAATATACTTTTTGTAATTAGGCTGTTATTGTAACTGAAATGAGTCCAATATATCATTTTGCCAAAGTATTTATTTAATCATCCTATTAATAATTTAATCAGTGATGTTTATTTTCTATGTGGCATACATAAAACAGAGAGCTAGACTCCACCATTAGCACTACATTAACAAGTGCTAATCACTATATAACTGGCTCACAAATATAAAGATTATTTTCACATTAGACCAGTGTGTGTATGGTAACTTCAATCAGAACAAAACTTTTGGATGATTTAAAATATCTTTAAATTTTTCAGTAATGTCTTAACATTGACTTTGGATTACTTTTTATATAATTAATGTTTTAAATTGTACGTTGCACCATATTTTGCACTGAGTTGTTCTGTTAAAATGATTATGTAAATGCATATTGCATTTGTTAAAGTATTTTTTAAATAATGGTTTTGGCGCATATCTGTCAGGATTGACTCTCTTCCTTGGCCTTTGACATTATCGTCAAAGCATTAACTCTTAAATATTCTTGGTTTTTCCCCCTTTTTTGTGCTCGGTTTGAGTGACCTCAGTAATTTAAACTTCTGTAAATCAAAGACTCTAACAATAGTGGCATGTTATATACCAATAGATTCACAATTGAATTATCTTTAAATTGATATAAAAAATAATATAATTTTTAAAATGGTTTTTGATAAAAATTTATTGGATCGAGTTATTTTTACCCACAAATTTAAATGAAAATTACAATATGACACAAACAGTATGAAAGAAAAAAAAAAGTGTTTCTTACAAACTTAAAATCTTTATTATGGCCATAAACAATTACCATTTGTACAAAACATATTGCAATTTCAAAGAATTTCACTCAAATTTAAAATAATGAGACGATTTTTAAAAATGTATAATGAAATCATGAAAATGAAAGAATTTTTTTTTTTTTTTACATTTTTAAGAGAATTTCTAATTTTAACTTGGGAGTGTTCTTATAACTAAAACCATAGTTGTTTGATATACAAATCTGAATAATGATACTATTAATAATAAAATATTTTTAAAAAAATATATATTTATGATTTGAACAAAACATTTTAAATTATTTTTTGTGATATAAAAGAAGACAATTTCTGTCCTCTTGAAAGCACAAAAAAGTACCACAACCATTGCAATATACCCTTGTTCTTCTCTGTAGTTTATAAAGTGCATAACAATATTTACAAATTTTTCTTTTATTTGATGGAACCATAGTTGGCAATATGGTATGACATGTCATTTCAATCTTAGGTTTTATTGCACTGACCACTGGAGCAAAATCATCTATGTTTGCCAACTGTCTTATTAGTTCAACTGTAAAATCCAGTTGACTAAATGATGGTGGCCTTTTTAAAATTTCAAGATCAGGATTTTGCATTCTCCAATCTTGAAATAATATATAACTATTAACCCTAGCAATATCAATGAAATGAAAAAATAAAGTTTTCCACCACTTATTTGTCTTCCTGAGCATATTATATTTATTTAAAAGCTGATCACTCTTATCTACCCCTCCCATACTAATATTATAATCCCTTACTAATACAGGTTGCCTAACTTCTAACTTTTCAAAAACTCCTTTATTTTTATTTCTCCTAAATACATTATTAAATTCATTAGCCTTATGAATAGTAGAAACTAACGATACAGTTTTATTGTCCTTCCACTGCATTGCTAGCACTTCTTCTTTCCTAACCCACCTCATATCCCCTCTCTTGCTGGTCTTTTCCCATTGTTTTATATTTTTTAATTCAGGTGGAAAGCCTTTCCTACTTGAAATTATAGTCCCACATGCTGATATACCTTTCTTTAAAAGGTCAGTCAGCAAAGCAAAACTTGAATAAAAATTGTCAAAATATAAAGAATAACCCTGGTTGATAAGGGAAGATACTAATTTCATAACAACCCCATAAGCTAAACCTAAAGTAGGAACATTGCCAGTTTTACCTAAATAAATGTCAAAATCATAAGTATACCCCGAAATTGAATCTGCGAGAACCCATAATTTCATTCCCCACTTAGTTGGTTTATCTCTAATATATTGGCGAAATGAGTATCTTCCCTTATTTCTCACCATTCTTTCATCAATTGAAATATTAGGCCCTGGTTGATACAGTTTCATGCACTTCCTTCTAATGAAGTCAAACAAAAATCTAACTTTACAAAGTTTATCATTGGTTACCTCAGTATTCCGGTTCGAAACTTTTAGAAAACATAATATTTGTTGAAATCTAAACCTTGTCATAAATTGTCTAGCCCATAATCCATTGAATAATGATTTCTTGCTCCAATAACATTTGACATTTGGTGCTTGCACAAGTCCCATGTACATGAGAAGGCCCATGAATGTTAATAGCTCTTGATTGTTTATATCTATCCAGTTTTTGAACATTGAGGGTTTAGTGGGTCCCATGGCAGTTGCATTGTCATTGGTATATTTGCAGAGTGTCTCCAGTAATGCTTCTGTAAAGAATAATTTGAAAATTGAAAGAGGAGTAAGATATTTCTTCCTCTCATCTCTGGTTGTTGATTCGGGGAAATGGGCACCAGGTGGTCGTTCAGGCTTGAATGCAGGAATGGGCTTGGGGGGTCCAGGGTCAAAATCATCATAACTGTGAAATAAAAATAGATGTATAAACTTTAGATATAGAATTGAAAAGAAGTGTTTATATAATTAAACACAATTAAATACACAACAATGTTCAATGTTACAACTAATGTCCGGAAAATTATAACCTTATCATGAAGCATGTTATAATACCAATCGAAATACTGATTTCACTTTGTAGCGTAACCAATGTAAACAAAGAGAAATGTCATTTGTTATGGATTTGGGAAAAAAATTATAATAAAATAAATTCTTTATAAAAAAGAAAAAGAAAAAAGGATATATTACTAAAATGAATGTTCTATAATTCTATATATGGCATTGCTACCGTATGCAAACGTAACTGCAGTAAAATCAATTTAAACTGTGATCTGTCAGACGAGTGGAAGAAAACTGTAACAAAGAAAAAACTATTACCTTCGATAGTGAACTTGTCCACCGGTAAAAGGCAAGACATTCTCAATATCACTGTCGTTTTCTTCCTCCTCTCCAACAGAAGTTTCATCTTCACTTGAAATATAACTAATTTCTTCATCAGATATTACCTTCGATAGTGAACTTGTCCACCGGTAAAAGGCAAGACATTCTCAATATCACTGTCGTTTTCTTCCTCCTCTCCAACAGAAGTTTCATCTTCACTTGAAATATAACTAATTTCTTCATCAGATGACGAATATTCAGCCATAATTTTAAAATATTGCCATCGACTCGTCTCGTGAAAAGTTGAAATGATTGTAAAGATGGCGGACGGGAATCGCGTAGCGTCGAAAAATAACACGCGGATCGGAGCAAATTTTTTCAAATTAAAAATTTTAATACAAACTTAAAATAGTATTTTTTAATTAATTTGTCCATTAAATTAAAGATAAAAGATAAAAATAACTTCAGTTTATAAAAAGGTTAGAAAAAAATCAAGTTTGAATCCATCAGCCACCGGTGTCCGATAAGTCAATTCAACGTACCTTGAGAGTTAAACCTCTTAATCCTATAGAGTTTGGAGCAGCGGTAACTCAAAATTGTAATGTTTGATGTATTCAATCATTATTTTTTTTTTCCCAAATTATTTGAAATGGAAAAATTAATTAAGAAAGAGTTAACAGAGAGAATATTTACAATACATTTTGGGCTATGTTTATTATTGCCATAAATAATTTCTTCATTATCAAAGCAGAGAATTATAAGCTGCTGGTTATGTTGATGTAAATCTGGCATACATAATATAGAGAACCAAACTTCACGGTTGGCAATGCAGTCAAATCAGAGCTGATCACTACAATAATGACTCACATTGCATAATATTGATTTGTAATTACAACTAAGAGTGTTAAATGAAAATATCTGGACAAAATTTAGAAATAGCTCTAAAATTAAAAAAAAACAAAAAATCTTGTAGACTAATGTATTTGTTTTGCCATAGTATTTTTGTCATCCAGTTAATCATTTAATCTGGTATGTTTATTATTTGGCATACATAAAACAGAGAGCTGGACTCCACCATTAGCATTACATTAACAAGTGCTAATCACTTTATAACTGGCTCACAATTATAAGATAGCTTTTCTTACATTATTCTAGGATGTGTAAGGTAATTTAATTTAAACCAAAAAATCTTATCTATTTCATTCGACAAAAATTTATAAATCATCTAAGTTAAATTTTATCACTGTTTTCGGTGTATACTTTAAATAAAATTATAAAGTATTTTAGATATCTTCTATATCTTTATTTTAAATGGTCAGTTCATCTTAGTTACACTGGAAGTTTTAACTTTACTTAATTTATTTACTTGGGGGGGGGGGGGGGGGGGGCATATATGCCTTTCCCCAATCCAAAAAATTATAAAGTATTTTAGATATCTTCTATATCTTTATTTTAAATGGTCAGTTCATCTTAGTTACACTGGAAGTTTTAACTTTACTTAATTTATTTACTTGGGGGGGGGGGGAGGGGGGGCATATATGCCTTTCCCCAATCCATATTTGACAAGTGGCTTGTTACTCCCTTAGATGTAGGAGGAAGGGTTTAGAGTCATAAAGCAGCGTAAATATTTTCTGTATTCAATCATTTATTAATATTTTCTAGTAGCATGAAAACTGAATATTGCAAAGAATTTAAAGTCTATTGTTGTGTATTTATTGCCATAAATAATTTCTTCAGTGTAAGAGGAGATTATTTTAAGCGGCAGGAAATATTGATGTACTTTGGCATACATTAAACAGAGATCTAAACTCCATGGATAGCACTCCAGTGAAATCAGAACTGATCACTATTGTACTGACTTACATCTTATAACATAGTTTTGAACATCAATCCATACAAAATTTCTTGTCTTTTTGGCTAAGCAAAGTTTTGAAGGTCATCCTGAAATCTTATGTACAAACAACTTTTGAATTTACTTCCAGATTGAAACGATGAAGCAAGAGAGGGCACATGCTCTAGAGACCAAGGCTAGACTAATCTTAATGAAAACTGACTTGGACTCTTTCACCAGCACTTTGAAAAAGGCGAAAAAGTCTGAATATGAGGTAATATTCTAAAAAGCATGATTTACCTTATTTTTGTTGTTACATGTTGCATTGATGTCGTATAATCCTGTTATTTCTTAGATCTGTTTGTAAAAATCATTTCTATTGCTGTTTAGGATAAATTGAAAGAATTTGAGAAGATGCTGACAGAGGAAAGACGAAAGCGTTTGATAGATCGTAAAATTAAGCGTAAAGAAGAACGCAGACAGAAATGGATTCAGGAAAAAGAGGAAGCTGCTCAAAGGGCCAGAGATGAATTGCTTAAACGAGGTAAACTGCATCAGCATCTGGATAAATGTCTTTTTACAATTTTTTTTGGATTTTTGAATGTCATATTGAATGTAATAACAATTTAAATTAATTTATTTTTAAATGCAGGATTTTCAAAATATTTTTCACCTTTGTTTAATGGCCAATTAAAACGTTATATTTTATATCTTCAGAGCGAGAAGAAAAAGAACGTGAAGAACTAGAGAAGCGGGAAGCAGAAGAAAGAGAATATTTGGAGAGAAAAGCAAAATTGGATGAGCAGTTAAGCAAGCAAAGGGCTAAAGAAAAGGAAATAGAGGAAAGGGAATCCAGGCGCAGAGAAGAAGAAAGAAAACAGTAGGTTTTTATGTCATTAAAATTTACTGGTGGAACGAGATTCCTTATATTTTTATTGCTTTAATTTCTAAAGTCCAAAAACATAATTTTTAAATTGAAATTATACATTTAAAGTGATAATTTAACAATATTTGTCATAGGATTGATTTGCGGAAAGGACCTGAGAGAATAGTCAGAGAAAGAGAGCCTGAAGGAGACTGGCGTAGTGGTGATGTTGTAGCTGGAGATGAACCAGAAGCAGAAGGCAAAGCCTTGAAACCCAAACAAAGGGGTTGGAGAGAGAGGGAATTGGAAAAAGAGAATAGCTGGAGAGCCAGAAGGTTAGTTTTTATTAGATACTCTTAATTTTAGAATGGAAAAAAAAAAGAATTAATCTAAGGTAATTAATTGAAATTTTATAAAATAAATGTTATTTTAATTTTAGGGATGCTGGAGATGAAGAAAGGGGAGATGATTCAGTAGTCAATGGTGGAAAAGATGCTCTTGTTGAACGAGAAGGTCCCAAAGAACGTGACTTACGAGAATTGAGAGGGCCACCAAGAGATAAAGATGAAATTCGAGGAGGCCCTCCCAGGGACAAGGATGAGTTTACAAGAGGTCCAATTCGTGACCGAGATGATAGGGACTCGAGGGCACCTAGAGATGACAGGGTTTTAAGAGATGATCGAGATTTCAGAGGGCCACTCAAAGAAGATAGAGATTTCAGAGCCCCACCAAGGGATAGGGAACAAGATGACTTCAGAGGACCTTCTAGAGATGACCGTGACTTTAGGGATTCACCCCGTGATCGAGATAGAGATTTTCGTGGGGGACTTGATGATAGAGACAGGGCTGGGCGAGATTTTAGAGATCGTGCGCCACGAGATGATCGTGCTCCTCCACCTAGAGATGATTGGCGAGGAAATAGAGGTGATGATCGTGACAAAGCAAGACCTGAAACTGATAATTGGCGATCTGCTCCACCTCGGGAAAGTGCTACACCTCGGGAAAGTGCTACACCTCGGGAAAGTTGGAGAGATCGGCGTGATGATAGGGCACCACCTCCTGCAAGAGATGATTGGAGGGGTGGTGAAAGAGCATCACCCAGAGATGTCCCACCACTACGAACTGGTGGAGGCTGGAGAGATAGGGAGATTCCAACCCCATCTAGAGCACCTGGAAGAGATCTTCCAAGAGAGGAACCCCGTAGAGTTATTGGGGATTCTGAAGGAAGTTGGAGAAGAGGAGGTCCACCTTCTGAGAGGGAAGAGAAGCGTGGATTTGACAGAGATGATAGAGGTGAAAGAAGACTAGAAAGAGACGATAGGAGAGGTTTGGATAGGGATGACAGAAGACTTCCTGAAAGACGTGGTCCACTTCGAGATGACAGACAGCTCCCTCCTGAGGATCGAAGGGTACCTATTTCTGATGAGAGACGAGGTCCCCCAGTTGAAAAGAGAGTAGAGAGGGTGGATGAAGGATGGAGAAGAGGTAACATTTTTCCTTTGGCTATTTTATTAGTATCTCTGAAATTGACATTTTTACCCAGTGCTATAATAAAAAAAGTTTGATACAACATGATTACAAAATAGTACTCAGTACCGCCACGTAGTTGTCATACTGACCAATTCCTTATTTCGGCTGGATCCAATAAAATGTAATTTAATTAGAATGAGTCCTTAACTCAAGAGCTGTCATAGGGCTGATCATAGCTGCTTATGTGGCATTAGGACTGATGGAATCTACAAAAACTATCATCAATGCAAATCAAAAGTTGTACATTCTTTAAAGGGGGACTACTCATGTAAATTAGTTTTTCTTACTTCACATTGTGGTTATTTTTTTGTTAATATTTTTAATCGAGCTCAAATTTTAGAATGTTTTTGTTAAAATCATGTAGGGCTCTTCAAAAACTATTCATTTGAATCATTTATTACTGAAAGTGATTGTAAAGATACTGAAGTTTGCATTACTCATCATTAAGTAGTGATAGAAACAATAGTTTAGTCTGCCGTTCATGTTGTAGTAGTGAAAGTAGTGAAAAAAAAATTATACAAATACAAGCATTAGCTCAAGTACTAATGAATTTAATTGGCATTTTATAAAGGTATTTTTGTCACCAATGAATTTATCTATTAATTTCTAACAACCCAAATAATTTTAAATTATATAAAATTCCCAAATTCAACTTTTAATTCCTTGTCCATTTTACTCCAAGAATATGTATAAGTTAAATGGGCTTTGTTTGCAATTATTTTTTTAATGATATTTATTTGTTATATGACAAAGTATCTAAAAATGCCTTTATGCTACAGAAAAATGACCCTCGAGTTTCATATGTCAAAGTTTTAATTGTCTGGAAGTATTTTAGGCAAGAATGATTTTGTAAATTTATACTATTTCAGTTTTGATCTGAAAATGAATAAGATAAGATAAGATTTAGTAACACTTGACCAATTTTCTATATCTCCTCAATGCATTGCCCATTTTATCCCCAGAAAACATTTTTCAAATATTTTCAAGTTTATTTATAGTTTTTTTTATTAAGAAAATGTTTGTTTGGTAGCATATAATGTGGATCTTTCACTTTTGATTTTCTTACTAACCACCCACTTGTTACTTACTGGGTGCATGTCAAAAATATAACAATATCATTACTGCAATTTTTTATATGCTAAAAATAGGCTGTATTAGTATCATTAGATATACCTAGAGTATAATTATTTTCTTGTCCTAATGGACCTTCAGCTTGTGGCACTGAGCAGTCAAAATTTTAAAGAAAATTCTATATTAAGAAAGCTTTAATAAATAATGTAGAGCAGCTCTGACAATGAGAGAATGCAATAATGTAGAGCAGAGCTTACAATGAGAAAAAGGTCTTAAAATCTATGAAAAATGATACACACTTTGCTGAGATAAATCATAATATATATTAAATTTTCAGTCTTTAATTTTATTTCTTATTTAGTAAAGTATCTCCAAGAAACTTATTGACCATTAAAAGGCTATGAGGATGGCATGGATATTTTTAGTATGTTTTAGCGTAAAGAGTAAAGTATTGTTTTTTTTATTATTTATCAGGAAATTTTGTTTGACTTTAATCAAATATTTATTATTTTCCCTTGTCTTAGGTGATGCTCCACCAATGGAAAAGAGAGAGCCCAGAGAAGGCGGTAAGTAGTAAAAAAAAATTAAAAAAAAAAAAATTAAAATTTATATCTTTAAATAAATTATCTGGCTTTATTATTGTTCTACATGTAAATATTATTTGCCAAATTATTTCTTCAGTATTAAAAGCAGTGCAATTCTAGGTGCTGATAGTACTGTTGTACATTGGCATACGTGAAACAGAGAACCAAACTCCATGTTTGGCACTGTAGCCAAATCAGAGCTGATCGCTATTATTCTGGCTCACATCCCAAAATGTATATGTCATTTATTCTGTAATTTTTTTGTCCTTCAAAATCTGGCGGTGTTTGTGATTCAATGTGATGTTTGCGACCAGTGTAGAAAAATATAACATTTTTGTGTATGGGTGGCTGCTACATGACAATGTTTAAGATATATAAATATATAACTTGAATATATTACAAAATTTATTTTTGTACATTACAGGCCATGAGGAAGATGATGGCTGGACTACAGTGCGCTATTGAATATTTAACAGTGAATAACCTGCACATTTTTTGTTTTGTTTTACTAAAATGATTTAAAGGTAGAAGGTGTTTTAATTAAATTCTTTTTATCTGCTCTCTTCCTTCTTACCAAAAATATAATTGAATTTGTAAATTATTGTGTTTTGTCTCAAAGTTCTTTTGGCAAAATGTCAAAAGTTATACCTTACAGCTTTTCCAATAAAGAATGGAATTATATGATGGCGATGTTTTTTTTTTGTCTGTTGAAGGGCGGCTGAAGCTGTTTCACATGGCTAATTTTGTAAAGTTTAGTCCCCTTTAAATGATGTATTATGCTATGTCCTTGTTTCAGATGTCAGTGTTTTTCTCTGTTCAAAATCTTTACTCAATTTTATCCTATAATTGAAATGCAATCAGTTATTCATGCATCCTGCTGTATGAGTTTATAACTGGGGTTAGCTATATGCTAGTGATTCAATATGATTCTACTCTTATACCATTTTTGTTTTGCTCTATCAGTCATTTCTAGTTGTCTTTAAATGTTTGTATTGTGTGAATATTAGGGATAAGTGTATTATAAATTAACTATTAAGGAATAAAATTCTAAACATACCTGCATGTTTTTTTGAGATTTTTTAAATAATTATATTGGCCTTAATTAACCAATCACTCACAGTATCGGTACCTGTAAAGTTCAAACACAAAACAATGTTTTTTTAAATGCACATTTTATTAAGCCACATAATGAATAACGATCCAGTTTCTTAATGCTAAATCTAACAATTTAAAATCTATGCACCAATGTACATACAGTATTTACAAATGTTTCATTTAATGATCAGATACAAATGTGTTTAATTACATGGAATTGGAATATGGGTTTCATTTATACATAAATTATTGGTAGGTTCTGTCATACATATCCAAGTTAAACCAATTATAAATTATATAAAGTAGATATAGCAGTGAAAAATAATAATTGTATAGTTTAAATAAGACATTTTTTAGAAGTCATGGTTTTTAGAGTAGAGTCATGGCGTAGTTCAACACCATTGTATATTAATTAATTTAAAAAAAAAATTGAATCTTAATACGGTAGTTAATGTTAGTATTGTTAGGCATAGTTTTTTTTTCAAAACAAAAATGATGGCATAATGAGCTGTTAATCTCAAAACTTATTTAATTAATGCTGTGTTGTTGGTCTTCAGTTAATTAATCTACATTAATATTGAAATTGAACAACTAACAATATGGAGGATATCTTCCCAGAAAAAATAAACTTATTTAGCGTACCATACAAAATTATAATTACAATCATATCATAGGAATTCATTAACCCGGTAATCTAAAAACTAAATTTAATAAATGCAATAGATATGGGCCAACTAAGTCAGCATCTTTTTAAGTTAGTTCTTTTTCTTATCTTATGGGCCCCGAACAAGCACATATATTTTATTATTAATTTAAGACTGAAATTTTGTGAAAACTTTCCGAAATATCTTTTGTGGAAGTTGTAAAATCTGAATAAATTTGTTCTTTGCTATTAGAATACATGTTAATTTAGTTAAAATATTTTACTCTAAAATCCTTAAGTTTGTATGTTGAGGAAAGTGGTTTAACCAATTAACAATTTTCAGATAATGGTTAGTTCCCCATTATAAAATACATTAATTTGAATGAAACTGTGCATATTAACATAGATATGCACATAAGACATTGCTATTACAAAATAGAAGTTCCCCAACAGAAGAGGTGCTATTTCACATGGTTAAGGGCTGTAAGGCACTCTGTGATCACTCAATCAGTGATATTTAAATAATTGTTGAATTTTATAATAGGAGAACCTGAATGTTTTAAAAGGCATTTTATTCCGTATCCGGAAATTTGATCGAAAGAAATTTCGTCGACGGTAAATTGGTCGACGGTAATATGATCGAACGGAAATTTGGTCGAATCTTCTTTTCAAATTTTACGTTACAATTTTGCATCAAATTTCTTTTTGAGCGAATTATTTTGTTTCACTAAATAGTATAGTTTCTTCAAAAAGAAATTTGACGAAAATTTTAACGTAAAATTTGAAAAAAAGATTCGACCAAATTTCCGTTCGATCAAATTACCGTCGATCAATTTACCGTCGACGAAATTTATTTCGATCAAATTTCCGGTAACCATTTTATTTTACCCCCATGAAATCCTACCAGTAACTAAAAGTAAAAGTCACCACTTGCTGAAAAAAAAAAGGAATGGAGATTGAAGCTGATTTTTCTTTTCAATCTTAACCTGAACAAATTGAAGTAGCTCTAAATAGAATCATCAGTGGCGCTACAGCCCATGTAGGGCCCTGGCCTGCTCCACCACATCCTTTCATTCGGAACAATCCATGGCTTTCCGCCTCCATGCGCAAAACCCCAACTGGTGTAGATCCTTCTCTACATCGTCGATCCATCTCAGCCTTTAGCGACTGGTGAGTCATCTGCCCCTAGGTTTCTGCCTGTATATCACTTTTGCTGCTCTACATTCCGGCATCCTTTCATTATGTCCTGCCCAGCGCAGTCTGTATTTTTTTTTTCTTGTTGTTATTTATGAGTGGGTCTTAGTACAATTGGTATAGCTCTTGGTTTGTACGGATTCTCCAGACATCATTTTCCATCACTGTGCCGTATATTTTTCTGAGGATTTTCCTCTCCCATGTATTGAGAAGTTCTCTGCTTTTCTGGTAAGGGTCCAAGTCTCACTAGCGTAAGTTACTACTGGTCTTATGAAAGTGATGTATATAGTCTTATTTGTTCCCCTTCAGAGGGTTTTTGCTTCCCATTAGCTTTTGTAGGCTGAAATAGGAACGGTTGCCTGCTGTTATCCTTTCTTTCACCTCCGACACTATTTCATTGTCCTCCTTTATAGTTGCCCCTAGATATTTGAATGTAGTTACTCTCTCAAATTTGTGGTTGTTTATATTATATTGATGTTTTCATAGATAAACTAACAAATAAAAATGGCTAAAATCACAACCCATGGCCTCATTAAAACAAATTCTTTAAAATTTAAACTTGCTTTAACAAACATGAATGATCATTTGGTACATTTTCAGCTATTTGTATTACTTGTTAATAAAAAAAAAAAAAGTTAACAAAGTTTAAGAATAAACAGAAATTGAAAATGATCAGACATTAAATATGTACAAAGTAATGATGGCTCTTAAAAGAAGTCCAGTACCGTACCATTAAGTTTTACAATAAACCCTTTTAAAACCAAACCAAAATTATCATAAAGCACTTCTAAGCAGTGATCATTAAAAACTCAAAGCATGTTATACAGAATGGACTACATAATCTCAATGTGTAGACAGAATTCTGTACAAGTTGACTATAAAAAAAAATTATACATTTATATAATTATATTACATGATATTGCTATTTTGTTGTTGAATTGTTTTCAACTTACAGAAAATTTGATCTCTCAAACTTGTTCTTGGATATTTTTTTGTTTTTTTTTGTTTTCAACATGTAAAGTGTTGAATAAATTGTAAAATTGACAAAATAGTCTGAAAGTGGACATTAAGACTGATTACAAATCAAACGATTAATCTAAGTTTTCTTGATCAGACCAAGAAATTTGTAAGTTCAATATCATGCCTTTTTAATTATTGTAATAAATTAAATGCTTATTTGAATGACAATGTGCGAAATTAATGCAGCTCCTGCATATTAACAAAAATTGAGTATTAATAACTACTATTAAGTTATTAAGTCACAGCAAAAGTAGAAATTATGCAACATTTTTTTGTGTTAGTAATAATGGCAGGATTTATCCCTGTTAAGAACATCAACATAAAAATTGAAGATTACTTAAATGAATGTTTGCATTGTTGTACAGAGAAATAAACAAATGATTCTAAGATTAAAAAAAAAAAATAGTTGTGCTCCAGTTCCATATTTCAAAGATGCCAATATCATGCCATGTTTTTCACAACAATTAAGTGGTGTCTTGTTTCATTTTTAAAATAAATAATATAATTTTTAGACATCAGATGATGGGTTCTTGTGTAGTGTATTACAGTAAAGTAGTAACTGGAAATGATATGTAACTCGAACAGGGTAGAGGACTTGTTTCACAATTTATCCTGTATCATTTTAGTAATTTTAGTACCGGTATCAAATTTTTCGTTTGTCATAAATTTCAAGGATTTCCTTTCACAAGTTCATCACATGCATTTTTTAAGGTATCCTCAATTCAAAACATTGGGTCTGGAAGTGGAAGTAGCGCAAGCTGTAATTGGTTCGTTGAAACAAAGTTGATATATTTTTCTGTCACATCACTTCAAGTCAGTGCCGGCCTTAAAAATTTTTGTGCTATAGGCAAAAAAAAAAAAATGCAGCCCCCTTAATCACAAATGAGTCCGTCTTCTATTTTTGCTAGTTTATTTATTTATTTAGGCATTTTTATATAGCGCTTACCTTAAAGCTCTAAGCGCTTTACAATTATTAAAAACATGTAAACTAAGTAAAATAAAAATGAGACACTAGGATAGTAACTACTATACTATAGAAACAATTAAAATGGCTATAAAACAATAACATACAAGTTTCTGGAAAACTAACTATTAATTTTGGAAATTAAATCCGAATTATGAAAATGTTTAAAGATTTTAGCTTTAGTTATATATTTATTATTAGCATAACTCTACTTAAGCTCAAATTTTTAAATTGGCAAATTTGTAATAGCATTAATGGTTGTAATATTTAATATTTGATTTAACATGTTTTTTCTTGCTTCTGAAGAATACTAAAAATAACAATTCCTGCAAGGGCAAATATAAAAAAAAATTATTTAACAGTTATTTCAAGAAAAATGCCACTTTATAGCTCTTGCAGATACAATATCCTGAACTATTTTGTTCGAAACCAAATCCATTGCAATTTTTCTCTCATTTGATATTGTAACTATATCAACAAATCAATCTACAGACAATTAAGAGATGATTTTTTTAAAAATTTGATTTTGGCCCTCTGGAAGCTTCTCTCAGTATTCACAACTGTTATTGAGTGTTAGCAAAATTTGCATCACCACATACCAATACACATTTGGAAAAAGGAGCAAGGAGCCCAATAGACAGTGATTGTCTAGTACTAATATTAAAAATATACATCTGAGGATTGATATTTTTCTCTTATTCTTCATGATAGAGCAAATAACCCATCACACAGTTATGTTGCATTAATAATGTCTGCTGAATCTTCATTTTCAGATGCTAAATCTGATTTAAATTAAAGGTCAATGCATTCTTTGAAAACATCTTTTTCATTGAAGGATTTCTTGAGCTTTTTAATCTCATACAAAATACAAATAAGTCGCAGTGACATGATAACAGTAAAAATCAATCATTCATTGAAAATTGCAGTATCCAAATCTGGTTTAAAAAATTAACTCAAAACATTTTTTTCCTGGTAAAGTATTGGATCATCTGGATCTTCATAGTCAAATTCTATAATATATTTTAATGTTTTGATGCAGGGCAAAAGTGTTTATATTTTATTTTGTTACTGCTTCCAAGTAAAGCATCATTTTCCAGCAAATTCAATGAATGCAAATTACATTGGGAAAAAAAGTGCTCCTTATTTTAATACGGTGTCCAAATTTTACCTCTTCCCAATCATGATGACTAACTGTACTTTAATGATCAGGTAATTTTTCATGATGCTGCAATAGGGCTTGTCATTTAATGGCGGAAATCTATTAATAGAACTGATGTCACCATTACTGATCATCCGGGTACTCAGCGCGGACAAAATGTCAACACTGTTCAGTATTACTATGTTAGCCAAGTGTCCCTGAAACTTGTTTACAACTCAACTCTATTTTACTAAATATTTTACACATTTTTTTTTCACTTCTGTTTTCTCAAATGCAACTTCATTGCGTGAACGTCATATATAACAGTAACAGTAACTCTAGATAAAAGGATCGCCCGAACGATATGCTGAAACACACTATAAGCTGCCATGTTTTAAGCAATATTTGTCCACGGACCTTCTAAAAATAGTACGCTATGACGTTTTCCGGTCTTAGAAATGACAAAGCCTATATGTTTGGCATATTTTCCCAATCACCACTGCCTTGTGTGGTGGTTACACCAATTTACTCTTATATCCTAAGCAATAAAAAAAAAAATTAAAAACAAAAAAAAATATATCTTCTCTGACATGCAATATATTAACCATGAACTGAGACGGTGAAACCTCTAATGATGAAAACTAAAAGTTGCAATCTACATTACTTCAATTTCATTTTTATGCTAACATGGGTGCACTTTTTATTCTAAAGTTAATAAAATTATGCGGAGAAAAGGGCGTCAGGTATATATTAAAATTTTTTTAAAACATTATTTTTAAAATTTTGCTGTAGTTTGCTGCGCTTTGACGAAAAGCAGCTCTGGTCAGCTGCCAATATCGTCTACATCCAAAGGCAGCACTGCTTCAAGTTTAACACAGTGAAGTTTGTCATGAAAGCACGAGAGTGTAGACCAAAGCAGAAAGTCTTCAGTCGAATAAAAGGGTTACCAAAATCATAGAGAGCATTCCTAAGCATATACAACACACTTGCTTTAGAGATTCCCTGAAAAACATAAATATTAGTTAACATTATTGAAGTTCCTAAAAATATGTTGAGATTGTAAGCAAAAAAAAAAAAATAAAAAAAAAAGAAGTTACCATCAGTCCAAAAAGGGACTGCATCACAACACATCAGTAACACAAGGGACTGCATCACAACACATCAGTAACACAAGGGACTGGACTGCAGTTAAGTTTCACCCATTCATAGGATCACAACACATCAGTCAAACATGGGAGGACAGGATTGCAGTTAAGTTTCACATATTCATAAGATCACAACGCATCAGTCAAACAAGGGACTGGATTGCAGTTAAGTTTCACCCATTCAGAGGATCACAACACATCAGGCAAACAAGGGAGGACTGGATTGCAGTTAAGTTTCACTTATTCATAGGATCACACCACGTCAGTCAAACAAGGGACTGGACTGCAGTTAAGTTTCACCCATTCATAGGATCACAACACATCAGGCAAACAAGGGAGGACTGGATTGCAGTTAAGTTTCACTTATTCATAGGATCACAACACATCAGTCAAACATTGGACGACTGGATTGCAGTTAAGTTTCACCTATTCAGAGGATCACAACACATCAGTCAAACAAGGGAGGACTGGATTGCAGTTAAGTTTCACCTATTCATAAGATCACAACACATCAGTCAAACAAGGGAGGACTGGATTGGAGTTAAGTTTCACCCATTCATAGGATTACAACACATCAGGGAAACAAGGGAGGACTGGATTGCAGTTAAGTTTCACCTATTCATAGGATCTAAACACATCAGTCAAACAAGGGAGGACCAGATTGCATTTAAGTTTCACTTATTCATAGGATCACAACACATCAGTCAAACAAGGGACTGGACTGCAGTTAAGTTTCACCCATTCATAGGATCACAACACATCAGGTAAACAAGGGAGGACTGGATTGTAGTTAAGTTTCACCTATTCATAGGATCACAACACATCAGTCAAACAAGGGAGGACTGGATTACAGTTAAGTTTTACCTATTCATAGGATCACAACACATCAGTCAAACAAGGGAGGACTGGATTGGAGTTAAGTTTCACCCATTCATAGGATCACAACACATCAGTCAAATAAGGGAGGACTGGATTACAGTTAAGTTTCACCTATTCATAAGATCACAACGCATCAGTCAAACAAGGGACTGGATTGCAGTTAAGTTTCACCTATTCATAAGATCACAACACATCATTTAAACAAGGGACTGGATTGCAGTTAAGTTTCACCTATTCATAAGATCACAACACATCAGTCAAACAAGGGACTGGATTGCAGTTAAGTTTCACCTATTCATAGGATCACAACGCATCAGTCAAACAAGGGAGGACTGGATTTCAGTTCAGTTTCACCTATTCATAGGATCACCAACGCTGGTGGAGCAATTTTTTAAAGAAATAACATTTCCGCTAGAAGTCTTTTTCAGGAGTCATAAAGTGAAGTAATTACTTATACATTTCTAAGAATTACATATAAAGCAAGCCATAACCACCCCAGCATAACACATAATTGTGATTAAATGATTTTTTAGCCACATAAGCCACTGATTTTTTTTGGTTTTCTTTAGCAAAGCGTCATTATAATTTGTATATTTCTACATCACTACATGCAATTTTTATGTAAAGCTTTTTCAATAGCACAATTTTTAATTATGTTTTAGGAATAAATACAAAAAAATCTCAAATATTTAAAAACTTCTTCAGCTTGAAAAAATCAAATGACCTACCAGCCATGTTTCTCTTGTAATAAATCTGGCACCACAGTGACTAATGCAATGTACAGAAATCCCCCAGAAGTGAAAGGCAGAATCCAGGCTGATCTCTCACCTAATTAGTGATACATAGATAATACATATTTTGTTATCTAAGTCTGTTCATGACTGCACTCCCTGATGGCTGGTTTACATTTGATAGGATTAGGATTGATTACATTAGCAGGATAAAAAGTATTTAAAGACAGTGGTGAACTGCAAATCATTCTGGAATACTTTTTTTTGTGATGAAAGTTAAACTTCTGATAAAACTTCAAATCTCATAAATATGAGTTGAGCAGCTGCTTGTTTTAGAGACAGATGACTCACCAGCAACTTGTGCTGATTCTGCACTCAGAGCGGTGATAGCTCCAACAACACCCCCGCTTGCAGTAAAAAACTGAAAATTTAACAAGTTTGAAAAAGTCAAAAGAATGCTTATGAAAAGAACACATTTAATTTTATTCAAAATAATTCTCTAAAGTTATTTGAACAATGTGTATTGTTTCTATGAGTGGTTCATTTCAACTGAATATTGCAAAGAATTTAAAGTCTATTGTTGTGTATTTATTGCCATAAATAATTTCTTCAGTGTAAGAGGAGATTATTTTAAGCAGGAAATATTGATGTACTTTGGAGCGATGTAAACACAAAAATACTTCAACATCAGTTCTTCCAAATCAGCTGTCACATCATAAGGGCATACATAAAATACTGTTAAGTTCCTCAATTGGTTCCACATCAGTTGCCACCAACCCTTATCACATTTGAATAATTTTGCCCAGCAACATTTACTCCAGTGGTTAAACAAACAAAAAATTCTGTCTTTTTGTCCTATTGTAATTTTCTCTTTGTTCTGTTAAAGTCTGTCTGGCATCTTATTAACTATTTCATTTTCTGTCGTACATATCTCAAGCGTTTAAAACCTTATTTTCTTTGTGAAAGTCTTCCAGCCCCGTAACTATCAACAAGACAAGGTGTAATTTAAGACATAACCTTAAATGACATAGAGGTGTCAGCCCACCTAATGAGGTGAAAAGAGACACCAAAACCCCACAACATGAAAACTACCTGTGCTTTAGCAGCTCTCCACCGGTTGAAACCAGACCTGAGAAGTATAGCAAAGTCCCCGACTTCATGTGGGATTTCATGCAGTAAGATGGCCAGTGTAGTAATCAAACCAACCTGGGTGGGGAAACAATGTCAGGCTCACTTAAACGACTTAATTATGACCTTACAGTTAAATCATTTCATTAACATATATGGAGGGGAAAGGATGCATACCATCATGAACATTCCTCAGAGTTAGCCTCTAAAACATTGCATATGGTAGCAATTGCTACATTTCATTTAAGAAAAAAATAAATGAGTGTAGCAAACAAAGATTACTTCATAACAATTAAAAATTGAAATCTTAAAATGAATTTATCAGGTAATAAGTTGTAACTGAAATTTGACAATGTTTACTTCCAACAACAAGTGCCTGTATAAAATCCATTGTATGACACACCACTGAAGCACTCACCTTTGTACTGATACAGAAACTCCCAGCCACTGCCAGGCCATGGGTAAAATTGTCTATAATGTTGGCCATCAAATTCAAGTAACCACTGACCTAAGAAGAAATCATTTTACAATGAAATTATCAAATGAATTAAACTTTCATTCTCTATACTTTTGAAATGAGGAAACTGCCCATTTAGGTGCCGTATTCTTCTTAAATGTCCTACCTTAATTTTTGAGCTGTTATCTCCAATCTCTTTGGAGAATATTTTACTATTGTTATTGTTGTTATTGTTATTGTTGTTGGACAGAAATGCTGTCACACCGTTTTGATGTTTCTTTAATTTGTCAGTTTTGGAAGAAATTTTGTGGATATTTTCTTTTTTGCCTCTTCTCTGCTTGGATTGGTCTAATGAGGTGGGAGACTTTGGTTTGGACTGAACTTTGTTATTTATTATTTGTGTCTTGTTCTTTATTTTTTGTATCTTGTTGTTCTTTGTTTGATCGATAGCTTCATCACAAGTGTCTTCAAGCTGAAATAGGAAAGATGCGAAATTATGTTAGTTTAAACTTTTCAGTGGCAACACAATCAATCATATAATAGTATAACTAATGATCATTAAACTAATCTATTTTGTCACATAATAAATAGTATTGTGGTCAATACAGTGATTAAATGTTGGATACACAGAAAGATGAAATTGTAAAAGTATTACTGGGTACAATAGGGTGGTGACAGAGCACATGGAAAGGGGATTCAAGCCCTGGGTAGGGGTGATACAGCACAGAGTTGGGGTGATACAGCACAGGGTAGGGGTGATACAGCACAGAGTTGGGGTGATACAGCACAGAGTTGGGGTGATACAGCACAGGGTTGGGGTGATACAGCACAAGGTAGGGGTGATAAAGCACAGGGTTGGGGTGATACAGCACAGAGTTGGGGTGATACAGCACATAGTTGGGGTGATACAGCACAGGGTTGGGGTGATACAGCACAAGGTAGGGGTGATACAGCACAGAGTTGGGGTGATACAGCACAAGGTTGGAGTGATAGAGCACAGGGTCGGGGTGATACAGCCCAGAGTTGGGGTGATACAGCACAGAGTTGGGGTGATACAGCACAGGGTTGGGGTGATACAGCACAGGGTAGGGGTGATACAGCACAGAGTTGGGGTGATACAGCACAAGGTTGGGGTGATACAGCACAGGGTTGGGGTGATGTAATACAGTGTAGGGTTGATAGAGCACAGAGTTGGGGTGATACAGCACAAGGTAGGGGTGATAAAACACAGGGTTGGGGTGATACAGCACAGGGTTGGTGTGATACAGCACAGGGTTGGGGTGATACAGCACAAGGTAGGGGTGATAAAGCAAAGGGTTGGGGTGATACAGCACAGAGTTGGGGTGATACAGCACAGAGTTGGGGTGATACAGCACAAGGTTGGGGTGATACAGCACAGGGTTGGGGGTGATGTAATACAGTGTAGGGTTGATAGAGCACACGTTAAGGAGGATAGAACACATGGTATGGGTTATACAGCACTGGGTAGGGTTATAAAAACAGAGTAGGGGTGATGTAGGACAGGCTAGGGGTGATAAAGCACCAGGATAGTGATCATCTAGGGTATGGATGACAGAGCACAGGGTAGAGGTGATTTGACACAGGGTAAGGGTGATGTAACACAGGGTGGGGTAACTAACGCAGAGTAGGGGTGATACAGCACAGGGTAGCGTTGGTACAGCACAGGGTTTGGGTTATGTAACACAGGGTAAAGTTCAAGGTGGTGGCTTCACCTACGTGTTCAAATTCATTCTCATCCCCCATGAGCTTCTCAATGATCATGAAGGCAAGCAGGCCAGATATGACCCAGAGACCTACTCTCCTATGGCTGGCATGATCATCTGGAGATAAGAATGTCAATGTTAACCCCACACTATACGAACATGTACACAAGGCACTGAGTTACTTTACTTTTTTTTTACCAATTAGGGCCTACCAAAAACCCAAATTATATATTTAACTAAAAAGAAAAAGCTAAGACACTTATTCAAATAACTTAGAAATATAGTTCACTCAACCGGCCATGATAACAGACTATTTTTGTTCTAGATTTTTAAATATTTTACACTGGAAGATATGGCCAGCTACTAGCGGGGTGATTGAGGAAGGCATTTTATGCCCCTTTCCACACGCTGTTGCAAAGTCTCGACATCTAAAATCCATTTTGGGTGTATGTAACTGAATCAGGTTTTCATGTAGCCTCAAAACAAAACAAAAACAACAGCAATTTGCCCAGACATTGAGATGTATATTTAGGAACTAGTCCATCAGACTTTCCTGATTTTTTAAGAACTATTTATGTAAAGACGTTAACGTTTCTAAAATGATTTATTTCGAGACATGTTTATCTTCTATTTAATCTAGCCCTACCCCAACCTTTGTACAAAGAAGATTGCCGCTATTCGGACCCGGCTCCCTTTAGACTAAATGCCATTCGGATTTCATTGGAGGTGGTTTATTTGAGTTAAACTGAAGAAGCAGGTTTACAAACATATCGTCCATTCAGTTTTCTTTCATTTGATACCAAATTTTGTCTCACAAACCCAACAATAATATTTTAAATATTTTTGTTAATAAACCCAACCTCTCACTCTTTTCCGGGTCTGAATCCCGGGTCCGAATGGCCACAGCCTAAATCAAGTTAGCAATTAAGTTCTTATAAGATTATTGTTCATTATGGTTCATTAATGACAACCGAAAATATGAATTGAATATTGTTTGTCTTTCTTTGAGCTATTATCATTAACATAAATTTCAAATTATGTTTCGCAATCTTGACAAAGCAATCTTTTTAAAAAAAATAATTACAAACCATTTTGGGGTGTCCTGATAAATTTGCTTATAAATTAATAAATAGCAATACATAGATGATCAGTGATTGTTGAATAAAAAAAGGAATGTGGATGCCTTTTATACAAGTTCTTAACTCTCACATTCAGATAAAATACTTAAAATAATTCTTTAATTATTTTTAATAAAATAACACTTGATTTGATTTTCGGATTTTCGTACAATAAAAAATTGAATATCAGTGTTTTTAAGAATCCCAATTAGATTAGGAATTTAATCTTATTATTTTTTTTAAAAAATGCTGTTATGTTCCCTTATAGGAAATGTGTATATTGTGCGCTAATGAACATTAATTTATTCTTATAATACATCCATCCTTACGTGAATCTATATGAGCCCAAACTTCTGGCAGCAAGTGTAAGAAAACATCTCCCAATAAACTTCCAACAGCAAAACTCAACATCAACCGCAACTTCTTGGCTGGCTCTGAAAGAAAACATATTTTCGGGGGTTTTAAAACAGTTGTTGTTAAGTACTTAGTTTTGCTGGCAACCACAAGATATCTACCATGGCAGATATCAATCTTTCAGTGGTCAAGTTAGGAAATGGTAACCAAACAATGGTGGTCGCCATGCGTGAACTTCCCATCTACCAAAGTTACTTGACAAAACATGCCTTCAACTAAAGCACTTGATGAGATGCCAATTAGTGCCACACCCCCTTACCCCCCCCCCCCATCCTTTTCGGTGCTGTATTAATAATCGAATGTCCAACTGTCTTTTAAACTTCCCATCTACCAAAGTTACTTGACAAAACATGCCTTCCACTAAAGCACTTGATGAGATGCCAATTAGTGCCACCCCCCCTTCCCCCCCCCCCCCATCCTTTTCGGTGCTGTATTAATAATCGAATGTCCAACTGTCTTTTAGACCGCACGCAGATTGATGACACCAACTATGTCCGTCAAACAAAAGAAAATAGTGCGCAGCAAGCGCAGGTGTCGTGTTTTTAAGAATGAGATTTAGCCAAGTTAGTAACTGAAATCATCGTTAGTGACATTGTTACACAGAGAATTATGTCATTTAATACATGGTATACTTTTGCAATTTTACACCTTTTTAATTGAATCATTGGTGAGCCATAAAAAAAGAACGACTGGCTGGCTGGGAAAAGATAAGGGGCTTGGGAGGGCTCGTTATCATTTATTGGGTAGAAACTCCCACTATCAGACACCTCCCACTACCAGACACCTCCCACTACCAGACACCTCCCACTACCAAACACCTCCCACTATCAGACACCTCTCACTATCAGAAACTTGTACGTTCAGAAACTCTTACTATTAGCTACTTCCACTATCAGATAATCCAACTACCAGGCACTCCGACTACCAGAAACTCCCACTATCAGATAATCAAATTATCAGTTCACTCCCACTATCAGACACTCCCACTATCAGATAATCAAACTATCAGTTCACTCCCACTATCAGACACTCCCACTATCAGACACTCCCACTACCAGAACCTCCCACTATCAGATAATCAAACTATCAGTTCACTCCCACTATCAGACACTCCCACTACCAGGCACTCCCACTATCAGACACTCCCACTACCAGGCACTCCGACTATCAGACCCTCCCACTCAGATAATCCAACTATCAGTTCACTCCCACTATCAGACACTCCCACTACCAGGCACTCCCACTATCAGACACTCCCACTACCAGGCACTCCCACTACCAGGCACTCCGACTATCAGACCCTCCCACTCAGATAATCCAACTATCAGTTCACTCAATCGATCAGCCACTTCCACTATGAGACACTCCCACTATCAGACACTCCCGCTACCAAAAACTCCCACAGTCAGTCACTCCTACCACCAGGCCCCTCACTTTCTGACACTCTTATTGTCACAGGGGTGGCGGGCCAACCCACAAGGCTTCGGCGGGCCACTTTAACAGCGAGTAAACTGTTCGCGGCCCACATGTCGTCACACACCTTGTATTAAAATAAACACTTTCTAAAAGTGTTTTGTGTGCTTTTGAAATCGTTTAAAAGGTAATATACTATTTCCAAGTTTTAAAAACATTCAGAAAAAATTAAAGAAAAGCATGTGAACAACGCACGGTTATCCGGTTTAAATGATAAACACTACAAGTCTGTCCTTTTTATGACCAAATTACAGTATCCTTTCTGTGGGCCGCTGGTTTGATTGCAAAGGTCCACATCCGGCCCGTATGTTTGACATGATTCTAATATCAGATATGTAATTTAATGGAGAGAATAACATGTGATTATACATAGGTGGCTGAGAAATCTATACACGAAAATAGGTTTTTCTTGACTGCGAAACATTGACTTCTTCCCATCAATCAGTCCATTGACTGCCAGACATTGAAATCATTTCATGTACCAGGCCATTGTCTGCCCAACATTGAAAATAATCTCATGAACCAGTCCATTGAATGCAAAACATTGAATTAATTTCATGAGCCAAACCACTGACACTAGGCCACTGACACCAGTCCACTGATACCAGTCAACTGACACCAGGCCACTGACAACAGGCCACTGACAACAGACCACTGACCAGGCCACAGACACCAGGCCACTGACATTAGGCCACTGACACCAGGCCACTGACATTAGGCCACTGACACCAGGCCACTGATACCAGTCAACTGACACTACCCCACTGACACCAGTCCACTGACATCAGTCCACTGACACCAGGCCACTGACAACAGACCACCGACTGACACCAGGCCACTGACACCAGGCCACTGCTATCAGTTCACTGACAACAGGCCACACATTTGGAAAACGAACATTCTCAATAACACTTCACCCCAGTCTCAATGACACTTCATCAAGTTGACCACCGTCCAGCAGTGCCTGGAAATGCCCCACAGCTAGTGGGTATATGCTGATCAATCAATCTCGAACATGGGCTGGACAAGTGTACGTGTCAATGTGAGGAGGACAGAAAAAGGGTGGGGTAGGGGGTGGGCTGAATTGGACAATTTTTTTTTCGTGGGCGACCTGACGTCATCAAAGAGATTGATTTTCCTCGTTGCAGCACTTCATCATGACTTAATTGAATGTCGTTCGCCATGTGAACACCTGTCTTGTCAATACAGCTGTAGCTAGATCTGGACTTGAAAAAGAGAGCAAGAACCTATAATAAAAATGTATAAACAAAAACTCCTCCGTTAAACAAAATAAATAATACTCTTCCAAATTTGTGTTATTATAAATCAAGCAAAGCAAAGACGTGAAGTTAAAGAATCGCCACACTGGAATAAATCTACAGAAACGAGCCGGTGAAATATGGGAAGAGGCGCATAATTTATGATAATTCCAAATGGCGCTCCATAATCTACCAATGCTTAGTGTTTTTGACTGTATGAAGAGTAGGTAGTGACGGGTACCGATGCTGTTTTCGTTAGGTTAATGGTGCCATGTTAGTAGGGTATGTACGTGTACCGACGCCATGCTAGTATTAAAATGTGTTCTTTTGTGTATTTGGTGCGTACGTGTTCAAGCGCGCAACGGGGGGAGCATCGAATGAGAGCGCATCACGGTGCGCAGTGAGAGCGGGGTGGGCAAGATCCACTCGACAATTCTTTTTAGGCTTATAGATGACAGTCATTTTCTTATGCTCCTTACCCGAACCTGCAGTACACAAACAGACGGACGGATTTCGTCTGGTCATAAATCTCAAGACACTCGTGCTTTGAGACCCCTTTAATCCCAGACCCCCGAAATCTCAGACACCCGCACTTTTAGCGCCCCCCCCCTTTCTCCCCCCCCCAAAAAAAAACCCCACCAAAAACAAACAAAAACAACAACAACTCGTACTGACAGATACCCGTGCCATCAGACAACCGTACTGACAGATACCCGTGACCTTTCTCCCCCCCCCCAAAAAAAAACCCCACCAAAAACAAACAAAAACAACAACAACTCGTACTGACAGATACCCGTGCCATCAGACAACCGTACTGACAGATACCCGTGCCATCAGACAACCGTACTTTCAGACACTCGCACTCTCACACTCGTACTTCTCAGACACCTGAATTCCTAGGCACCCATGCTAAGACAAGACGAAAGTCAAGATAACCCCAATTACCCAATGAGCGTGCCCAGGTAGAGAACTTGTAAAAATAGCTTATTCCAACGTTGCTTTCATCAATAAACGCATAAATAAAAAAAAAGAATACCACACATACGCACACAAAATAAAGTACAGAAATAAAAAATCAAACACAAGAAAACATGGTTTATGGAGTATCCATATTATGTTTCGTAATCGCTGTTTCAATAGGATATTTCGCACCAATGTGCCAATGGTGCTATTATTAAAAAGTACGAACATTGTTGTTCTTTTCATCATGCCAGAGCTTGGTGTTTTGTTTTAATGGCGAAGTAAAGAATTAATGTCTAGTGTCATTTCACTGATATGGCTGTTTCATTTCACTGATTGTCTAATTTCATTAAAACTGATTGTCAAGTTTTGATTACACTGATTTTTGTCTAGTTTTTCATTAATGACATTACACTGATTGCCTAGTTTCCCTACACTGATTGCCTAGTTTCCCTACACTGATTGCCTAGTTTCCCTACACTGATTTTTATCGAGTTTCATTTCACAGTGTGTGTTTATTTTCCAATAACACATTACGTGCACGTGCCGGCTCGAGGTTCAAGGTCGGGTAAAGTTGCCAAATCTGCACAGATTCCTCACTGTAAACATTTGGCGTTTAAACCCCAAGAAATCGTCCAATGTTTGGACGTTTGGGGTTTCTTAATTCTCGCAATGATTGGGACATTCAATTGGCTGCAGGAGAAAAATAGAGAGAGAGAGAGAGTTTTTTGGAGACACAAAAAGTTAATGGGCCTGACATTTTTTAGGACACGTTAAGGAGACAAGACAAGGGGGCATAGTAGAAACGCAAAGAGGACACGACAAGAGGACATGACAAGAGGACACGACAAGAGGACACGACAAGAGGACACGCTTATAGACACGCCAATATGACACGCTTAAAGATACGCCAAGAGGACACGCTTAAAGACACGCCAATATGACACGCTTAAAGACACGCCAAGAGGACACGCTTAAAGACACACTAAGAGGACACGATAAGGAAACCCCCCGAAGACGACAGTTCAAGTTTAAAAAGACACACTAAGAAGACACGCTAGACCAGGCTGATACGCCCTGTGTAGTCCTCTTTTATTTTGGAAGGTTCGTATCATTTGTAATATGTTAAAAATGAAAGGGGACAAAATGAGTTTTAAAAAAAAACAAAAAAACTATTCTCCATGCGGTCTTATTGATACCTTAATATCAAAACCCTAAATCCCTACCGTGAATCTATCGCCCCAACATTGTTTTCAAAATGTAACAAGAACATAGCACTAACAAAATACAAATAAGGTTGTGGGAGGGGAGGGAAGAGAGAGAGAGGGGGAGGAGGTGTCGGGGCAATATAGTAGGGACTGCGTTCTAGCCGCGAGAAAGAAACCTTGGGAACAAGATATGTGGACGTTTTGAAGAATAAAAAAATAAGAAGAAAATAACACGCTTCTTTTGTTTTTCTATTTTCTAGCCTACGTATCTTGGGCCAAATATTTTCTCTTTCTGAGACAAAACGTTCTTATTTGTAATTAAACTTGAGCTTTTGTGAGTTAATGACGGAAATCTGAGTCAGTGTTTCTTTCAGAAATCCCCCCCCCCCCGGGGCACTTCAGATTTTCGGGGGAGGGGGGCAGTACCAGCAGTTCCAGTTGATTTATTGTTGGACATATTTTTGCTCCGGGGGGGGGGGGGGTTGGTTTTCCCCAGGCCCCCCCCCCCCCCCCAAAACCCCCCCCCCCCCGGGGCACTTCAGATTTTCGGGGGGGGGGGGCAGTACCAGCAGTTCCAGTTGATTTATTGTTGGACATATTTTTGCCCCGGGGGGGGGGGGGCTTGGCTTTCCCCAGGCCCCCCCCCTCCCCCCGAGATATAGCTGAAAGAAACCCTGATCTGAGTTATCACTGCTATTTGTAGTCCAAATTGAAAATAAACAAAAAACAATTTGAAGACTCATTCACTTTACTACCAAGCACAGTCACAAGACTCAAGGTTTTTAAACTCTGATCTAGATTCACCCATGGCTTTTCAAGTGTAATTGTTTGTTATTCTCCTATTCGTGTTGCTATAACAATACATGATCTTATTTTGAATAATGGAAACTTTTAAGGTTTCGGCCAGGGAAAAGTTCAAATTGTAGATCGTGCTTCCCTCGAAGCTGCATGACTTATTTTTTCTAAAAATTAAATGTAAACTTCATATCTTTCGGATTGGGGATATCGAGAATATGCCAAAGTTTGTGCGGTTAAAATGTCTAGCATGAGCAGGATCAATGACTCAGTCGTACACCAAGTTAGTGGGAAATCAACTCTCTAGGTCAGTGGACAGAAAATCGCGACTCGCTCGTGAGCCGCATGAGGCTCTTTAGCGACCTGAGTGCGGATCGGCCAGCCGGCCACAAATCGGTTTTGACAGTGAAAAACATGGTTCTTGACAGGGTCTCGAAAAGAAAATTTTCTCTAAAAAAAAAATTTCATTACCCTGCTGCTGATTTTTGGCTCTTTTGACTTATGACTAATGAGTTTGCCGACCACTGATCTAAGTTAAGCAGAGTCGAGGAGACGTTTGGACATTTTGGTCTCAGGAATGTCGCAAACGACAACCTTTCCAACAACCTTTCAAAAGACAACCTTTCAAAAGACAACCTTTCAAAAGACAACCTTTCAAAAGACAACCTTTCAAAAGACAACCTTTCAAAAGACAACCTTTCAAAAGACAACCTTTCAAAGACAACCTATCAAACGACAACCTTTGAAACGAAAACCTTTCAAACGACGTTCATCATGCCGGGTGAAATCATTAGTGTTTTTTTAATGTCATTTTTATTTTTTTACATTAGTAATGTTATAAACAAAGAATTGACGTAATCATCTCTGGTTGCGTGCCACCACTGTTTTTGTGTCACTAGCAACAATGTAAAGATGTTAAATGCGTTTGACGGCATCGTTTAACGTATCCAACAGTTTGTTGTGTTTATCGCGGCAACAAAGAGGCGAGAGTTGCTGAGGTAGTGAGTATTTGCTAACAAATTGCATGGAAGATGCCAGGGGTAGATGCGTGTCTCCCGTGTGGGAACACAGGTCACAGACGTGTGTAGGGTGTGTGTACACTTGTAACGTGCATCTACGTTTTATTTATATTTAAGGAGAGTATGGGATGGGGGCGTATCTCCCCCCCCCGCCCCCCAACCCGCACCAAGTTTAGAGGGATGAGTGGTATATGATTAAAAGAAGCCGAGACCACTTGACGAGATGGCGGTTGCGCTGTGTAGACACGTTCTATGTGTGTTGTAGGTGTGTTGTTAGATTTCGTCTCCATGTTAGCTGTCTGGATAACTTCTAACAACAGCAAGATGATTTTGTGTTGAGAAACAGTCAAGCGCTGATTAGATTAGTGTTATAATTGTAGTGGTTACATGCGTGGATTCAATTTGAGAGGATACCAGCTGTTATTTCTTAATGAAATGCGTGTGTTGACATGTTGAGCTGTGCAGTTGTTCATTCAATATCTGCCTAACCATTCAAGTATTCAAGCCTTAAATCGAATTGAGCTCATAAATCAAAATGGCGTCGATCAATCGCCCCCCCCCCCCAGCGCCCCTTGTCCATTAGTTAAGCAGCAACATCACCTGGCCACTCTCGTGATTTTAAATAGACTTAAGTTAAGTTGTAGGTAGAGATTTCTGTAATGTTGAGCTGTGCAGTTGTTCATTCAATATCTGCCTAACCATTCAAGTATTCAAGCCTTAAATCGAATTGAGCTCATAAATCAAAATGGCGTCGATCAATCGCCCCCCCCCCCAGCGCCCCTTGTCCATTAGTTAAGCAGCAACATCACCTGGCCACTCTCGTGATTTTAAATAGACTTAAGTTAAGTTGTAGGTAGAGATTTCTGTTCACTTTGTGTCATGCCAGCTCTTTATTTATGAAGCGAAACCTGGAAATAACGCAAAACCCTTGGGACAGCACACGGGTGGTACTATCTGCAGGTTCAGTGTTTTAAAAAAAATAGTTCCGTGCCTGGGTGATGTAGCGCATATGCCAAGCTTCGTTATTTCCAGGTTTCACCGTATTAGCGCTCTGAGAGGTCTGCCTTTTCTTGGCTTCTCCCTCAAGTCAAAGTAGAAGCGTTCTCATGACCAAAGTAGTAACTATTACAGCGTTTCCCAAATGACGGGTTGGGACACCTTTCATCTTGAACAGGAGACCACTGATGCATTAAAAAAAATAATTATATATTAAATATTTTTTTCCTTGGCACACCCAGTTGTAGTAAAAAAGGTCGGAAACATTTCTAATACGATACCCCCCCCCCTTTTTTTCCCCCCCTTTGTCATGACATGTATGACGCGGGGGTTGTCAACACAGACTTGTCAAGATTATATACATAAAGTTAACATATTTTTCTCATAACGTAACATTTACCAAGTTTATATTAATTGTTCTACAATTTTTGTAAGGGTAAATGGTAATTATGCGAAGACTGTCTGGTGTTACCTATATAATCCAGTATAAATTATAAAAATGTTGGTGGGTACCAAGAAGTAGTATTTAAAAACAAAAATAACTGACCACAACAAGTAAAGTTTGCGAACCTTTAAGTTTCTAATGCCCCAAAATATTTGAAAGCAAACAGCCCACACTCAACATTAAAAGACTAGAAAGATTTGAGCTTCAAGAGTACAACTTAATTTGACTGAAATGATACTAAACGGCTAAAACCATGTGAGTTTCAAACCGATTTTCATCAGACGACTTTGTTTAGATGTGTATATTGCCGAATGGTTTTTACAGGTGACACGCAGTAATATTTAGTTCAAAAGTTTCAGGTGACACATAGGAGTATATAGTTGAAAAGTTTCAGGTGACATGCAGGAATATTTAGTTGAAAAGTTTCAGGTGACAAATAGGAATATATAGTTGAAAAGTTTCAGGTGACACATATGAATATATAGTTGAAAAGTTTCAGGTGACACGCAGGAATATTTAGTTGAAAAGTTTCAGGTGACACATAGGAATATTTAGTTGAAAAGTTTCAGGTGACACGCAGTAATATTTAGTTCAAAAGTTTCAGGTGACACATAGGAGTATATAGTTGAAAAGTTTCAGGTGACATGCAGGAACATATAGTTGAAAAGTTTCAGGTGACATGCAGGAACATATAGTTGAAAAGTTTCAGGTGCCACATAAGAATATATAGTTGAAAAGTTTCAGGTGCCACATAAGAATATATAGTTGAAAAGTTTCAGGTGCCACATAAGAATATATTTAGTTGAAAAGTTTCAGGTGCCACATAAGAATATATTTAGTTGAAAAGTTTCAGGTGCCACATAAGAATATATAGTTGAGAAGTTTCAGGTGCCACATAAGAATATATTTAGTTGAAAAGTTTCAGGTGCCACATAAGAATATATAGTTGAAAAGTTTCAGGTGCCACATAAGAATATATAGTTGAAAAGTTTCAGGTGCCACATAAGAATATATAGTTGAAAAGTTTCAGGTGCCACATAAGAATATATAGTTGAGAAGTTTCAGGTGACACATAAGAATATATAGTTGAGAAGTTTCAGGTGCCACATAAGAATATATTTAGTTGAAAAGTTTCAGGTGCCACATAAGAATATATAGTTGAAAAGTTTCAGGTGACACATAAGAATATATAGTTGAGAAGTTTCAGGTGCCACATAAGAATATATAGTTGAGAAGTTTCAGGTGCCACATAAGAATACATTTAGTTGAAAAGTTTCAGGTGCCACATAAGAATATATTTAGTTGAAAAGTTTCAGGTGCCACATAAGAATATATAGTTGAAAAGTTTCAGGTGACACATAAGAATATATAGTTGAGAAGTTTCAGGTGCCACATAAGAATATATAGTTGAGAAGTTTCAGGTGCCACATAAGAATACATTTAGTTGAAAAGTTTCAGGTGCCACATAAGAATACATTTAGTTGAAAAGTTTCAGGTGCCACATAAGAATATATTTAGTTGAAGAGTTTAAAACAAAATAAAACGTTGTCCCTTTCCATTGACAAACAGTACAGTACCCCTAGAGCCAATACAGAGCGGCACCACTGCTGCATTTTGGTTGGTTGCAAAAACTTGAAACAAAGACACTATTGATGAGGTTACTATCTTAGTTAAGCTATAAATAAACCAAGACATACGGTAATAGTTTATGGCCATCTGTGTATTTTTTGTTATACCCAGACAGGAATAAAAAGAAACGGATTTAACTCATCATCTCACCACGTGATCACACTCTGACAACTCACCATGGATCTCTTACAAACACCAGCCGGTCATCTCGACGCCCAGGGCCCACAGCTTATTCTAGAGGGACCGTCCGGTGTCCTCCTCAAGCCCCTACCACTGGCGCCGCCGCAGGCGGCAGCCGCGGACAGGATAGGCACGAGCCCCACACCACGGAGACGCCGCGGATCTCGCACCCCAAGTTACCACGTGAAAGAGGTACCCCAGTGCTGCACGAGCCATGGTTTGACCGCACCCTTTCCTTTGCTTTAATTCTCTGACGTAACACCCCAACCTTCCCTTCCCTCCACCCCACCCATTAAAAAAATGAACACGTTGCCAATAAAACTATGTTGTGCCCACTGAATCGATTTTCCTCTTCTTCTTGCAAACTGTTGAACTCCATTTAATTGAAAAATGATTGTGCAGAAATTAACTTTTAAATCATGGCACTAATTTGCATTTTGACAGCTGGCTGGCTACCTTTGGTGTTGGTTGTGCTGAGATAGCTTACTGCTGTGTTGATGGCAATTGTCTACTAACGTGCGTGTTTGACTAGCTTCCCCTAAGGGTTCTTCATGGACCGGGGCCCCAAGTCTTTAATGTCCTCGGCTAGAAGCCCCACCAAAGGACCTTAGTACAACAACATTCCTGAAGACTGATAACGGGAAAATCCAGAGAAAAATGGTAAAAAATACAACGAATTTGGGGATTATATACAATGTATAACATCAACACAACCTTACAGCAATGTTTCCCAGCAAACCAACATGTTCCATACACACCAACCTACCACATAGACATGTTCCCTACACATCAACCTACCACATAGACATGTTCCCCACACACCAACCTACCAAACAAGACATGTTCTCTGCACACATCCTACCAAACAAGACATGTTCCATACACACCAGCCTAACACATAAACATGTTCTCTGCACATCAACCTTCCACACTGGCATGTTCCCCACCCAACATACTACACCGGCATGTTTCCTGCAAAACGGAAATATTCCTTACACACCAACATACCACAGCGACATATTCCCTACCACACCGAAATTTTTCCTACATACCACACACACATTTTCCTTACAACCCAACCTACAACAACGGCATGTTCCCTAACACATGGACATGTTCCCTACACACCAACCTACCACACGGAAATGTTCCATAGAAACCCTTTGTATCAAACAAGGAAGTTTTTCTCTCTCACTACAAAGTCTTAAAAATGCCTATCTGTGTAGATCAGGATGGAAGAGGGGTTATGGGTGAAGGGGTGAGTGTATGAAACACATGTTTGTTTTATTTACTTCAGAAGTCTAATAGCAATCTTTCCTTTTTTTTTCAAATATCCCTTTTGATAGGAGAGACCAGGAAAATTTTCAATGAGTTTATTGGGAGCGGTGGCCCACCAAAAAATGCTTAAGGTCTCAGTGCTTGTGAGACGTGGACGTTACATTGGTAGTGAGACGTGGCCGTCACATTGGTAGTGAGACGTGGCCGTCACATTGGTAGTGAGACGTGGCCGTCACATTGGTTGTGAGACGTGGCCGTTCTAACTTATTGGATATGAATTTAATACAGTTGCCACTGGATATATCAACCTGTGGGAATGTAGTCATACGATAGATAATACCATGAGATTTGTCGCAGGTGACACAAAAAATCATTAAAAAACCAAGAGGAAGTCAAATATGAGCCGAAACAAATAATGGAGCGTCACAGTTACAATGCAATGGGTAAAATGTATGTAAGAATAAATGGTATAAATTATGTTGAAATACAATGGTATAATTTTTGACAGAATTCGATTCAATTCAACTTTATGATATTTGGGAGGTGCTAAGTCTAAATAAACTTTTCTACTTTAATTAATAATTTAATGAACATAAAACCCCCCTAAAGTTGCTATCGTCTGAAATATTCGATCAAGCCGATATTAAATGTGAATGGCAACACACTTTCCCCCAAAATATGATATTCAAATGTCAATGACGACCCAGTTACACAATAAACATGATATTTAAATGACAACCCATATACCCTACACATATGATATTTAAATGTCAATGGCAACCCAGTTGCCCAGAAAAGATTATGTTCCAATGTCAATGGCAACCCAGTTGCCCAGAAAAGATTATGTTCAAATGTCAATGGCAACCGCATATACCAAATAAAGATGATATTCACATGTTAATGTTAGCTCAATTTGTCAATGACTACCCGCAGTGGCCCAAGTCTACCTCGATATCTCAAAGGCGACTGGTGTCCAGCAAAACAAAGACAACAGGTCTCCTGCTAAAAAAAGGGAAATCGTCTCCTGCTAAACAAAGACAACAGGTCTCCTGCTAAACAAAGACAACTGGTATTCTGATAAACTAAGGCAACTGGTCTCCTGATAAACAAAGACAACAGGTCTCCTGCTAAACAAAGACAACTGGTTTCCTGATAAACAAAGACAACTAGTCTCCTGATAAACAAAAACAACTGGTCTCCTGTTAAACAAAGAAACAGGTCTCCTGCTAAACAAAGGGAAATCGTTTCCTGATAAACAAAGACAACAGGTCTCCTGCTAAACAAAGACAACTGGTATTCTGATAAACTAAGGCAACTGGTTTCCTGCTAAACAAAGACAACTATTCTCCTGCTAAACAAAGAAACAGGTATCCCGCTAAACAAAGACAACAGGTCTCCTGCTGGACAAAGACAACTGGTCTCCTGCTAAACAAAGAAAACTGGTCTCCTGCTAGACAAAGACAACAGCTCTCCTGCTAAACAAAGGCAACTGGTCTCCTGATAAAAAAAGACAACTGGTTTCCTGCTAAACAAAGACAACGGGTCTCCAGCTAAACAAAGGGAAATGTCTCCTGCTAAACAAAGAAACAGGTCTCCTGCTAAACAAAGACAACATGTCTCCTGCTAAACAAAGACAACAGGTCTCCTGCTAAACAAAGACAACAGGTCTCCTGCTAAACAAAGGCAACATGTCTCCTGCTAAACAAAGACAACATGTCTCCTGCTAAACAAAGACAACAGGTCTCCTGCTAAACAAAGACAACAGGTCTCCTGCTAAACAAAGACAACAGGTCTCCTGCTAAACAAAGACAACAGGTCTCCTGCTAAACAAAGGCAACATGTCTCCTGCTAAACAAAGACAAGAGGTCTCCTGCTAAACAAAGGCAACATGTCTCCTGCTAAACAAAGGCAACATGTCTCCTGCTAAACAAAGACAACAGGTCTCCTGCTAAACAAAGACAACTGGTCTGCTAAATCCCTTAGTTATAACTTTGCTATCAATGAGAAATCTACCAAGACAAGTTCACCCACTCAATGAATTCAATTAAAATGTCCATACATTACAATTCAAACATATTTCAAGGAGCTGCCAGGTTATCCATCAGCTGTGCGTCACACGGTATACTGATCCAATATCCTGAAAGGTTGTATGTTCTTTAACGCCCATTGGCTCTCCACCACCCACCCGAACCTCAGCGAGAACCCGTCGAATTCTATTCCTTTGTCTTCAAACTCATTGGTTTTCATAAATGTATCGAGTATCGACCAGGGAAGTGCCTCAATTAATCGATACCAGAAAATGGTTATGTCTCCACCTGCAACCACGCCAAAGCCCCATCAAATTGGCCAATGTTGTGACAAGTGGCTTCAGGTGTAGAGCACCAAGAGGCCGGCTACTTGACTGACTCACGCATTGACTCCAACAATCTGTTTGGTACATTATGGGATTCATTCGTATGTGTGACATTTTCGGCAACGCGTCTAGCTCTGAGTATTCCTGAAGGGTACCTGTCTATAAGTGGCGTGTTTGAATAAGACCATTCTGTGCACAAGGACGAACTGGGAGAGTACAATTAATTCACACCTTTTTATTTCTTACAATACAAGGAGGTGAGTGACTACTTCGCAAACGCGTTAGATCGAACTTTTTTTTTCTCCATAACAGACAGTAAGAGTTATGGTTCATGGGGCAGTGTCTGGTAGCAAGAATGGATGTCCAAACAAAGACGTGGGCCTAGCGCGGCCCTCGACATTATAGTAGAAATGGGTGAAATCAACAGCGGAACCCACCCCCTCCACCCACACACAGTGAGCACAATTTTTCAACAACTTTACAATTTTTATTCCGGCCTTTGGGGCCGTCTATGAAGTACGTCACGCTTCAAAAAAAAAAGGGGGGGGGGTGTTAGAAAGTGTGAAAGGGGGAGGGGGGATCAGGCAATGTGTGCCGTCACACAATTATTTAAAAACATTTTATTTTTAATTTATTATTTATTCTTTTAGTAGATTTTAATAGCTTTAAACAATTTTTATTCCGGCCTTTGGGGCCGTCTATGAAGTACGTCACGCTTCAAAAAAAAAAGGGGGGGGGGTGTAAGAAAGTGTGACAGGGGGAGGGGGGATCAGGCAATGTGTGCCGTCACACAATTATTTAAAAACATTTTATTTCTAATTTATTATTTATTCTTTTAGTAGAATTTAATAGCTTTAAAATCAATTTTCAAAAATTTTGTGAAACATTTGAATTAGTTTTATGTCAAAATAGCATGAAATGCGTATCTCCTGAATGTGTTCACGATTCCTTTCGCTAGGAGCGCTAGTATGCTGTTGCGAAGCCATTTATGTTTAGCCTTGCCGAGATCAACAGGAGTTTTCCAAGTACAACCATATGATCTTTAGTGTCCATCAATGTTTCCTTAAAGCTGCGCGGCCGCGCAGCCGCGCAGCAATCTAACAGACGCAGCAGTTTTGAGTACCGCGCAGCTAATTTCCACTTAAGTGTGTGTTTGTGTCTGTAGGCTGTAAAATTTTGCACACAACTTTATGATTTTGCACACGAACCAACAAACCTTAGAGGGAACATTGGTGTCCATCTGTGCAGACCAGCGTACTTGATCAAATTTGCAAAGTATGTCATTTATACTTTGCCTCACAAACAATTTTGAAGAAACATGCAGGACAACACAGAGCTCGGACTTAAGAGAATGTGCCAACCCAAACTGTTCCAGAATCAACTCAGATAAACGCATCAGTCCTTTGAGAATCGCTGCTAGAAGGCAAAGAGAACTCATGGCAGTTATTGCCAGAAGAGAAAATGCACATTCAGAGGATGTTGAGTGGCTAGATGAGGATGTTGAGTGGCTAGATGACGATGTTGAGTGGCTAGATGAGGATGAAGTGGATCTATCTGTATCCTTCCAGGAAACGATGATGGTGAAAATTGATGCCAGTCGTAACTATGGATGAACACTTCACTTCATCATGGATGGATGATGTTCAGTGAATATTTTTGAATTAAACATAATTCACAGGCCCATAATAAACATATTCAATATAGCACAAGAGTTTGTCACAAAATTTGTCAATCTAGTCTTTTTTTTTAGTCAAATTGTTTTGTTTCCTTTTTATTATTTAATCACTGGGTGAGGTCAAGTTTCGCCAATTTACTTCTTATCTTGTGTAAAAAGATTGCATAATCGGAAATTATCTAAACTTGACCTCAACTTTTGTAAATGAAAAAGCAGCAGATAAATGATGTGTATTATATAATTGTCTAGTCTAATTTTTGCAATTTTTGTTATCATATTCAATCTAGATTGAATTACTGCTGCAATGAATAACTATGACAATTGTTGACAATAAACAATTCTACTATTAAGGTCATTTTATAGTGTGTTAGTTCTTTTAAGTGGATAGTTTAAATTTTAATACAGTTTAATAGTGAAGTGTGTTTTAGATTAAATTTTAATTAGGTGTTAATTAAAAAAAAAATTGTTCGAAAGTGGGACGTACTTTAGGGGGGAGGGGTCCGAGATTTGTGACAGGGGGGAAGGGGGGTTAAAAACGGTCAAAAATAGCGTGACGTACTTTATGGACGGCCCCTTTGGTGTTGTCTCTGTCGTGGTGACAGCTTCGACTGTAACACCCCAGGGCGGCCTAGTGTTTTCACAGAAAGTGAGCGTTTCTTACTATGGGAATAGAAATCTATCTTAGTAGTAGCTTAGAAAATGTAGTGCTATATTTTGATGGGTCCATCACCATATGGATCAAGGACGTGTGCAAACCGCTACCAGTACTAGTACCGAGACCCAGGGTCCCGGCACTAAAATATAGTACTTGCAGTAATTGTCGTTGTTGATCAGGAAAGTGTACACACCCCTCAGCACTAAGATATAGTACTGGCGGTACTTGTCCTGGATCAGACGGTGGTAGTTTTCAATTATTAGTCTCCGCGTGTTACTTTGATCTTGGAGTAAGCAGACGGAACCCCAAAATTCCCAGCAATTCTCTTCATTAGTTTATGTAACTTCCCTGGAGGTATATAATAATTATTGTTTACCCTAAAACAGTCACGTCTCGTTGGGGATTGCAACAATAAATGTAACATTTTCTTAATATACATCCATTATGTTCCAAGCAGCCCTGAATTTTTGAATTGACGTGGCCCGTAAACATTGATCCGATGAAAGGTTTTACATAATTTCAGTAGACTAAGGCGGGCCCCAGAGACCTATTGACAATCCTGACTTTAGAGAACTCACACTTTGTCGACTTTCGGGAACTGCGGCTAAAGTACACTCAGACTACTATAATAGTCGGAGACTATTTTGAGAGCCGGTCCTCAAGTAAACTCATACTACTGTATAAGTAGGTAATTATTTTGGCAACCGCTGCTCAAGTACACTTAGACTTACTGTGAAAATCGGTAGTTATCATCATTACGCTCTTATGCCGACGACCTGTAGCAGGTACTTGTCAGGTTGATCACTCTTTGGGACGATAGGCCAGATTAGTGATAGAGCGGATAACGTAATAGTTGAAGAGATGACAGGATTGACGTGACCCGTGGTTATTCGCGTGTACACAGAGGAGTGACCTCAGACGACACGTTGGCTGTCCTTACTTTTAGCCTGAACTAACGGGGCGATGGTGGTCGGCGAAGTCAGCAAGGGATTTTTTTTTTAATATTTGGGGTTGGGGGTGGGGGGCATGACCAGGATCTCATTTGTTAAAAATAACGTTAATATTTTGAGATGGATTGACAATAAACTAACCCAGTGGTTCACAACCCTTTTGACTAGCTGATAACCTTTTAGCATTCATTTATTTAGGGGAGATTCTAATGCCTTACAAGTTTAATTCAATTTTTTAAAATAATAATTTTTGTCCTGGAGCGGCCGCGGAGCCCATGAGAAGGGCACGCGGAGCCTTTAGAGCTCCGTGGAAAACATGCTGGGAACCACTGAACTACACGAGTCATCCCATATCCCCAACATTGACTGGATTACTCACTACTACTGTATTATTATGTACCCAGGGCGTAACCCTGTTGTTTCTTTTTTTCTTTTACACCAGGTCCGGGTCTTTTGAGAAAATACCAGGTGGGTCCAAGTGTTACACAAAATTAATTACTTCTCATTTTCTATAATATATGCCGGCCTTTAAACAATAGATCTATTGACAGTCCTACACCCTACCTGTCAGCCTTTAAACAATAGACCTAGAGACAGTCCTACAGACAGTTCTACAGACAATCTTACACCATACCCGTGGCTCTTTATTGATTAACATAATGGTCGCCACCGAGAAATTCAACATTTTTACTGAGTTCAACCGTCACGCATGAAGCTCGCTGCTTGACAGCTTCCCCCCCCCCCCCCCGCCCCCCACTAAGTACTATTAATATAAACATATCGAGCAGGGGGAGGGCCGGTTGTGAAAAGGAAGCAGCCATACCAGAAGCAAATTTTATATAAGATATTCTCACACTGGCCCCTAAAAAAATTCAATAAAAAAAAATAATTAATCTCATCTCTTTAGTAGGGGCCCATCCATAAATAACGTGCGCATTGAGGGGATAGGGGGGTGGTGGCTGATATTGCGTTTGGGGAGGGGTCTCCAGAGAATGTGTACGTACTTTAACGTGTACGTACATTAACATGCACAATCTCTGCAATAGTTAACCCGAAGACTGTAAAAAGGCTTATAAAAAAATATCACCGCTATGTTTCGTAATGATCTATTTCGTTAACTAAGCCCAGAGACAACTTCAGTCCAACGGGCAGTTCCTGGGGGCACTAGACGAGGTGCCACGGTTCACCTCCCCCAAAACCTATTAGTATTACAGCTTCATCGTTGTGGCGTTAGAGGTAAGGTCAAAGAACTCAACAAGCTGTTCCACGACCGGGTGGTGGACGTTACACGTGACACTGCAAGAGACACTACTGAATAAGCCCCAAGTACACAAGACGGGCAATACAGTATACTGGCGTTCTTGAGCAGAAGAAAGAAAAAAAAAACAACTTCTTATCGGCGAAGCTTGTTAGGGCGTAAAAGTCATGGTGGGACTGATACCCTTACTAATCACTTGAGGCCAGTAAGTCATTTACCGTTGTCCGTTTTTAAAACATCTCCAGAGGCCCGTATAAACGACCTCTCTATGGCACATAAATCAGTAGTAAGAAACGTTACTGCCGAGTATTTCAATGCCCTCAAGGATGATATAAATATAAACATACACTATACGTAACGCCTCTAGCAAATACACGGATGATATGAGCATACACTGTACGTAACACCTCTGGCAGCTACACGGAGGATATCAGCATACGGTGTACGTAACGCTCCTGACAGATACAAGGAGGGAGACAGATCTCACTATCAATTTGATCCTCCTCCGAAGCAAAGACCCCCCCCCCCCCCCCCCCCCCCCCCCCCCACTGGCAGCTACACGGAGGATATCAGCATACGGTGTACGTAACGCTCCTGACAGATACAAGGAGGGAGACAGATCTCACTATCAATTTGATCCTCCTCCGAAGCAAAGACCACCCCCCCCCCCGAGTCATCGACTTACTTACATATCTGCAACTTTATTAAGCCAATTAACTGTTTGCAATGGGGTAAACATTTCAAATAAGGATATTACATTTTTTAAAAAATGTTGTTTCGGAATATGATACATTTTCCCCATTGGAAGCAGAGGCTTTACGCACACCTTTGATGTTCTGTTGTTCGTGTCAGAGCCAAGTTCTCTAACCGGTTAAAACAAAACTTCCATCAGAGTAATCTTTCTGTTATTCAGTGTTATTCTTTCGGGAGAATTGGTTTAATTAAGACCTGGCCCTTTATCATTTCAAACCTAGGTCTGTGTTAACACCACCGTGTGTTATGACGAGCCAAAAGAGATCAATAAGAGTCGAAATCTGTAGTCAAAACTACGCTTAAGGTCAAGATGCCCTCTTCAAAGCAATGCCCATACGGTGGGCAGTGGTATATTGCTAAGTACGCCACTGATGAACGCTGCTTAAGCCGCCCGTGCAAAAATCTGTATGCATTTCGGACCGTAGCTCATATGAGAGATGATTAATCGTACCATTGAAGCCGATGGTCAAACAATTATTCATTCTTAATTTGTTGTAATCATTAAAAAATTATTTTTTTAAACATGTAATGTTAAATATATAGATTCTCTTGCTATTTTAAATACTGGAAAGAAGTGACCGAATTTGCTGATAATAAATACAGAGCAGGCAGTCACTTTTTTAGACCGCACTTCGTAATTCATGTAAATTAAGGCGGGCCGGAAGGGCATTCTTGTGGACCGGCACTTGACCTCGGACAGGGAGTTCAAACACACTACACTAGAGTACTTGCTTCTACCTTTAGAATACTTGCCTCTACCTTTAGAATATTTGCACCTACCTTTAGAATACTTGCCTCTACCTTTAGAAAATTTGCCTCTCCCGTTAGAGCTTGCCTTTACCTTTAGAATACGTGCCTCTAACTTTAGAATACTTGCCTCTACCTTTAGAATACTTGCCTCTACCTTTAGAATACTTGCCTCTACCTTTAGAGTACTTGCACCTACCTTTAGAATACTTGCCTCTACCTTTAGAAAATTTGCACCTACCTTTAGAATACTTGCCTCTACCTTTAGAATTTAGAATACGTGCCTCTAACGTTAGAATACTTGCCTCTAACTTTAGAATATTTGCATCTACCTCAAGAATATTTGCTCCTACCTTAAGAATATTTGCCCCTACCTTTAGAATATTTGCCCCTACTTTTAGAATATTTGCCCGTACCTTTAGAATATTTGCCCCTACTTTCAGAATATTTGCCCGTACCTTTAGAATATTTGCCCGTACCTTTAGAATATTTGCCCCTACTTTTAGAATATTTGCACGTACCTTTAGAATATTTGCCCATACCTTTAGAATATTTGCCTCTACCTTTAGAATATTTTCCCCTACCTTTTGAATATTTGCCTCTACCTTTAGGATATTTGCCTCTACCTTTAGAATATTTGCCCGTACCTTTAGAATATTTGCCTCTACCTTTAGAATATTTGCCCCTACTTTTAGAATATTTGCCCGTACTTTTAGAATATTTGCCCATACCTTTAGAATATTTGCCTCTATCTTTAGAATATTTTCCCCTACCTTTTGAATATTTGCCTCTACCTTTAGGATATTTGCCTCTACCTTTAGAATATTTGCCAGTACCTTTAGAATATTTGCCCGTACCTTTAGAATATTTGCCTCTACCTTTAGACTATTTGCCCGTACCTTTAGAATATTTGCCCGTACCTTTAGAATATTTGCCCGTACCTTTAGAATATTTGCCCGTACCTTTAGAATATTTGCCTCTACCTTTAGAATATTTGCCTCTACCTTTAGAATATTTGCCTCTACCTTTAGAATATTTGGCTCTACCTTTAGAATATTTGCCTCTACCTTTAGGATATTTGCCTCTACCTTTAGAATATTTGCCCGTACCGTTAGAATATTTGCCCGTACCTTTAGAATATTTGCCCGTACCTTTAGAATATTTGCCCGTACCTTTAGAATATTTGCCCGTACCTTTAGAATATTTGCCCATACCTTTAGAATATTTGCCTCTACCTTTAGAATATTTGCCTCTACTTTTAGAATATTTGCCTCTACCTTTAGAATACTTGCCTCTACCTTTAGAATATTTGCCCGTACCTTTAGAATATTTGCCCGTACCTTTAGAATATTTGCCCCTACCTTTAGACACAACATCAGTCAAACGAGCCGAGTAAAACAAGTCTTCACGAATGACGGACAAACGTGTCATTTCATTTTTAGAGTTGGTATGTGGGATCAATTAAAACGATGGAACACCTGACTTAAAAAGGACGGAACAATAATGAGCGTATAACACATCTGTGCGAGTTGTCCAATTAAGGTTACCGAAAAAAAAAGTATGCCCTTTTCCATTTGATTGCACTTATACCGTATCTTTTTAGGCCTCGGGACGCCTTGATATCGATAGGTATAGATTTGACATCAGTCAAAAGGATTAAATAATTTGTGGAGAACGGATAAGAAGACAAAGCGACCTCTGCTCTCTTAGGGGGCGGACTTTCACCCAGATTTGAGTCAAGTCAGTCTTCATGCCAACAAGGGAAAGTATAAATTTGAGCCCTGTCGTGTCTGATGGCTATTAGTATAGTTCCCCTTGAATTGCACCTTTTTTGTATAAATCTCATAATGATAAATGTTTGAATATTAACCGTTACCTTCGTATCACCCCCTACTCCTCAAATCACAAAGAAAGTCACCACATTCTTTAAAGTAACCAACTGTAAATACTTATACCATAGCATTCACGTGCCCTGGATGCTCACCCGCAAGGGAAATCCTTTACGTTAGGGCAGGGAGACCAAATCATGAACTGGAAAAAAGGGACACAACCAAGAGGGGTTTGCGGGGGAGGGGGGATGATACCCTCCAGCTAAAGAGGGATTCGGGGGCCTCCGCCGGAAACTATTTATTGAAATATGCTTATTTTAACTATTTTGAGACTTTTAATTTAATTTAAACTCTGAGGCATATCATAAACGAAAACAATAATTTTGCATTGAATACCGCACTTATTTATTTATATATATTTTACAACATAATAAAACACAACAAATTAAATGCAGCTATCACGCGAGCACACATCACTACTGGCACTGGCTACACAGCTAGCCAAAATATTACTTGAAGTTATATTATAAATTAGGAAGTTTAGTGATTTGAAAATATGTTTGGTTTTATAAACGGGACATTTAGGCGTCCCGAGGGACTTGTTCGGGATACCGGGTACGATCGTGACGTTTGGTCACCCTACTTGACGTTAAAAGTAAACCACATCTCGACACCATTTCAAGAAAGCACAAAGTGAACACCCATTGTCCCATTTTCAACATGTGTACTTAACATAGCCTTAACATAGCTGCACTCTTAAATCTGAATTTTCACATTTCATTATATTATCTCCCTATCATTTTGTACGGATCATTTCTAGTAGTTACCCTTTTACTTAACAAATACATTTCTACTCTAATTAAATAATCGAAAGAAAAAAAAAATCATTATATTGTCTTCCAATACTTTTTGACGGATAATTTCTATAAGTTACCTACTTACTTTTCAAATGAATGTGTGGTCATGTAGTTTTGAAAAAAAATATTCTTTTAAATGCTGCATCAAGATATCAAGTAGCCATTGACAACACGCGCATTCCTCACTCTACCCCCTTCACATGTTTCCCTAATGTGCAAATAACGATGCAAAGTGCACACCTACGCACGTCTGCTTGTAACGGTCTTAAGATAATAAATAAGTCTCGAATTTAAGAACAGAAGGGTTGCCGGGAAGAAAAAAAATACTGTTGTTCTGGTGGCGGGAGGAAATGGAAGGAGGAGTATGAAAGGAGGAGGGAGAAAGGTAGGGCGGAGGCAGGAAGGGGAGAGGGACAGAGGGGGGAGAGAGGGAGGAAGGGTAAAGGAGCGAGAGAGGAAGGAGGAAGAGAAAAAGTAGAGAGAGGGAGGAAGGAGTGAGGGAAAAGGAAGGAGTGAGGAGAGAGGGAGGATGGAGGAAGTAGGAGGGGGGTAACGACCAAATGGCAAAACGTTCAGTAGAAGCGAATAGAGCCAGAAATGCCACCATCCGGCGCTCATATCTGGTAGGTAACAAATTTTGGAATTCCGTTCAGGCTTTTATCAGACGACACGTGGGGATGCTAACAAGCGAGTGTTCCAACAGCCACGTGACACCGTGGTCCTCTTGACGTAGGCCTATCCGTCGGAACCGGAGGTGGAACTGGGATAGGGTCAGGTGGCGGGAAACTGAGCATTCATGAACGCCTACGGGGCATTTAGGCATTGAAATATATAATTGCTTTAAGACAAAATGACTAAGGAAATGCGCCCTGTGCTTCAGGAAATTATAGTAGTTCTATCATCCATCTTAGAACTTACTGAATGAGCTTTTATCTTTACTACAACAGAATGTGTCGGCTTTATGTCATAAAAGGCCCTCATCCTAGACTCATTTCATTTTGACACCTTAAAACTGCCAGTCTTAAAATAAATCTAGCGATTGTTTTAAAAATTCTGGCTCACCCAATAATGGGATTTCCCGATTTCCATCCGTTCCACAACAGAACCTACTAACTGGAGTGTAAATATCCTGTAACTAGTTCTTGCTTTTCAAAACACCAGTACACGTTGCTACTGCTCGGGGCGTGTTAGATCGATTGTGATGAGCCGGGTGGATTATAACATATGGCCGGGGTAGCCATTTAATATATCTACGCCACACCCCGGTCGGCGCGCACAACGACTGCACCCCACCCTCTCTCCATAACTGCTCACTTCATAACCTTTACCCCCCCCCCCCCCCCCCCCGAGCTAGCAGACAAAATGATATATTACACCCGAAAACAAGCAGGGGGTCAATTATGAAACATTCTTTCTAGGCACTGCCTTCATTTCAATACATGCCATTAGGGAAAACCCACCAATAAACATTTTAGTTGATTTTTGAGAAGGAGAGTTTTGGGTGGGTTTGGGCAACCCCTCCCCCTCGAAACCCTGGTGGCAAAAAAGATAAACCAGGGGAGAACATCTCGTTAAGCCATCAAAACAAAGGGCACGATTTGTAGGTATTTTGCAGTGGGGGGCGGGTAATTTGGGGGAGGGGGGAATTCTTGTGATTTTCGTTTGCCGTCCGTCGTTCCAATATGTTCATTAGCTGGGCACTGGGCCGACTCCTTGTAGACGCTGGATAGAGTGAGCATCCAGCCTGAAGGAGAGTGGCTGATCTTTCTTACCGGTGCTGTATGCTGCTTGCCTCGCGCATTCACTTGGTTAGGATTCCGGTAATCAGCCAGTGACATTTAAGACAAAAATTCTTTTTACGATTATGACACTACGGCATCACAGTTCTGACACTTGTGTCCGTGAAATGTGCTTCATTCTGTTCTGTGATTGGATTGTGTGCCAACATAGGGGGGTGGGGGGTTGTATGGCTTCATTTCTGCCTGAGGCGATCTATGGCAGGATGGAACACTGGTGATATATTATTATACGTTCCGAATCAAACAGTGGTGATGGATATTACTGGGATACTAGTTTCGGTGTATACGTGTTGATAGTAAAACTGTGATCCCGGAAGACTTTAAAGCTTTGTTTACTGAGTGGATCAAGTAAGACTCCCCCCCCCCTATTGCCGCAGACATTGACGTGGCTGGTCGCGTGATGACCGCAGCAGCTTGTGGTGACAATGAATTTACTTCTGTTGTGGCGATGTTATTTATCTCCTCTAATCTCTATTAACCCCTTACGTGTCGTGATGGCGTCGGTAGATATACGGGCCGTGAAATGACAAGTATTGTTGGTAAACTGTGTCACACAATGGCCAGGTAGCATTGGTAAGCTGTGTCACACAATGGCCAGGTAGCATTGGTAAGCTGTGTCACACAATGGCCAGGTACCGTTGGTAAACTGTGTGACACAATGGCCAGGTAGCTTTGGTAAACTGTGTGACAATGGCTAGGTACCGTTGGTAAACTGTGTCACACAATGGCCTGGTACCGTTGGTAAACTGTGTGACACAATGGACAGGTAGCATTGGTAAACTGTGTCACACAATGGCCAGGTCCGTTGGTAAACTGTGTCACACAATGGCCAGGTAGCTTTGGTAAACTGTGTCAAACAATGGCCAGGTAGCGTTGGTAAACTGTGTGACACAATGGCCAGGTACCGTTGGTAAACTGTGTGACACAATGGCCAGGTAGCGTTGGTAAACTGTGTGACACAATGGCCAGGTACCGTTTGTAAACTGTGTCATACAATGGCTAGGTACCGTTGGTAAACTGTGTCACACAATGGCCTGGTACCGTTGGTAAACTGTGTCAAACAATGGCCAGGTAGCGTTGGTAAACTGTGTGACACAATGGCCAGGTACCGTTGGTAAACTGTGTCACACAATGGCCAGGTAGCGTTGGTAAACTGTGTGACACAATGCAAGGTAGCGTTGGTAAACTGTGTGACACAATGGCCAGGTAGCGTTGGTAAACTGTGTGATACAATGGCCAGGTAGCGTGGTAAACTGTGTGACACAATGGCCAGGTACCGTTGGTAAACTGTGTGACACAATGGCCAGGTAGCGTTGGTAAACTGTGTAACACAATGGCCAGGTAGCGTTGGTAAACTGTGTGACACAATGGCCAGGTAGCGTTGGTAAACTGTGTGACACAATGGCCAGGTAGCGTTGGTAAACTGTGGGACACAATGGCCAGGTAGCTTTGGTAAACTGTGTGACACAATGGCCAGGTAGCGTTGGTAAACTGTGTGACACAATGGCCAGGTACCATGGTAAACTGTGTAACACAATGGCCAGGTAGCGTTGGTAAACTGTGTGACACAATGGCCAGGTAGCGTTGGTAAACTGTGTGACACAATGGCCAGGTAGTGTTGGTAAACTGTGGGACACAATGGCCAGGTAGCTTTGGTAAACTGTGTGACACAATGGCCAGGTAGCGTTGGTAAACTGTGTGACACAATAGCCAGGTACCGTTGGTAAACTGTGTGACACAATGACCAGGTAGCGTTGGTAAACTGTGTGACACAATGGCCAGGTACCGTTGGTAAACTATGTGACACAATGGCCAGGTACCGTTGGTAAACTGTGTGACACAATGCAAGGTAGCGTTGGTAAACTGTGTGACACAATGGCCAGGTAGCGTTGGTAAACTGTGTGACACAATGGCCAGGTACCGTTGGTAAACTGTGTGACACAATGACCAGGTACCGTTGGTAAAGTGTGTGACACAATGGCCAGGTACCGTTGATCAACTGTGCGACGATAAGTAACCGTCTTATTAAAACACGAAACTTAATGTATTGATTGCCATCCGGCTTCTCGGCTGATTTCTTCCCGCAGTGAACAGAAAGCTGATGGTCATGTGTGACCGTTAATTCGCTGTGTAAGGGAAAGTGTAAAGCCAGTGAGTCTCAAACATACTCTATCGACTCCTTAAGGTCTCGCTAATGAGGATGTGTGTGGGTGTTGGGGGAGGGGGGCTGCGGTTTTCTTTCCGTACATAATAAGTGCTTTAATCTTATTAAATAATAATTATTCAATATACAAATCAACACATCTTGATATTAGAAATAGAAATCATTTCGAGCATTATGGGAATAGATGTGGAACAAAAGTTTTGGCAGCAATAACACTATTAACACGGTCAAACAGGTCCACATTTCAGAAATCTAGGGGGAGGGGGGGTGTACAGCAAGAACGTAAAACTATAGACCTTTGTCAAAAGACGTAAAATGTTATTTCAAAACATTTTAAAGAGAGTACTAAATGGTAGGCCTAAATGTCACCAGTTTAAATTAGTGAAATACTACAAACAAATATCGAATCGTTGGATATATTTTATGATCCCACTATTTAAGGCAAATCTATACATATGATTCGATTCCAAATATTTTTTTTTATTAAACCTACCTTCCCAACGTTATTAATGCATATAATTCAAATATTTTGAATATTTAGTTCTTGCTAAAAATACTTAGCTATGTGCTGAACATGAATATTTACAATGTAATCAAATCACATTTCCATTTCTTTAGAGCAATTAACGCACTGTGTCTTACCTTAGTTATGCTACATTGATCATCTGATTACAATTTCTATTTGAGATAAAAAATCAACTTTGAAATAGGGTGGGCTATAAAAATCATCTTTCTGGGAAAATAATAACATCATTCTAAATTGATTTCATGAATTCTGAGCTGGATAAGAATGATTTTTGTGTGTGTGTGTTAAATTCAAGACATTTGTGAACAAATTAAGATTCATCATGCGCTTACTAATGGTGCACGTTTCATCCATGATTTTTAAATCTAAATCGTTTGTACTTAGACTTGCTTGACATGTATTGCTTTTGTGACGCAGTTTACCGTACAACACAAGGTAAAAAGAAATTTTAAATGCACATAGATGCCTAGACATACAATTCTGAAATGCTTTTCTCTTTTAAATATCAGAATTGAATAAATAAACGCCCCTTACAATTTGCAAGTTATTATTTTAAGAATCGTCAATTTTTTAACCTAGAATTGTTGAAAATTAATATGCTTGATGAGTTAAAGTGGAGGAACAGCTTTTATGCATGCGGTAAAAACCAAAAAGAACCCGTTATAAATGTTCACAAAGGATCTATAGACGCAATCTACTACAAAAATCATTATTTTAGAAAAAAATTAAATTTCTTATCAAAGAAAATGTACGCCTAATTTATTAAAGCTTTGTTTCATATTCGTTCAATATGTATTATGGTGTCAGTAGATCAATCTGACGTTACGTGCCGGCACGACGTACCAGTGCTTATTTGGACTACATTATTGTATTATTTATTTAGTAGCGAAGCAAGTGAAACAAATAAAGAGTTGTTTTTTAAAAATTATAAAATAAGATTAACAATAAGTAAAAATGAATAAAAAATAATTAGGTAATATTATAAAAAGAACCAGGTTAAGACACACCTGTTTCCAAGCATCTTTTCTGTGGATTGATGCAAAGCTGAAGTCAGGCATTTGCCAATATGCATAACTAGGTTTTAAATTTCTCAAAAGATCTTGGGGTGGGGTTACTTTCCTCTTCCCCTACCCCCGATCAAAGGTACACTACTGGCAACTTTGCATCTATACCGAGAAACCTATAGATGTTAGTAACACAAATAATCTAGGGCTTAACCGGGTGCAGTTTTATTACACCGGGTCCGGGTATTTTGCGAAAATACCCGGTGGGTCCAAGTGCTATTTAAAAAAAAGGAAGTTAACTTTTTCATTTTCTATAAACAATACGTTTAAACAATAGTCCTACACACAGTCCTACACCTACCTGTCGCCATTTAAACAATAGTCCTACACACAGTCCTACACCTACCTGCCGGTGTTTAAACAATAGTCCTACACACAGTCCTACACCCTACCCGCCGGCGTTTAAACAATATGCCTCAAGACAGTCCTACACGCTACCTGCCGGCCTTTAAACAATAGTCCTACACAGTCCTACACCTACCTGCCGGTGTTTAAACAATAGTCCTACACACAGTCCTACACCTACCTGCCGGTGTTTAAACAATAGTCCTACACACAGTCCTACACCCTACCCGCCGGAGTTTAAACAATATGCCTCAAGACAGTCCTACACGCTACCTGCCGGCCTTTAAACAATAGTCCTACACACAGTCCTACACCCTACCCGCCGGCGTTTAAACAATAGTCCTACACACAGTCCTACACCCTACCTGTCGCCATTTAAACAATAGTCCTACACACAGTCCTACACCCTACCCGCCGGCGTTTAAACAATAGTCATACACACAGTCCTACACCCTACCTGTCGCCATTTAAACAATAGTCCAACACACAGTCATAAACCTACCTGCCGGTGTTTAAACAATAGTCCTACACACAGTCCTACACCTACCTGCCGGTGTTTAAACAATAGTCCTACACACAGTCTTACACCCTACCCGCCGGCGTTTAAACAATATGCCTCAAGACAGTCCTACACGCTACCTGCCGGCCTTTAAACAATAGTCCTACACACAGTCCTACACCTACCTGCCGGTGTTTAAACAATAGTCCTACACACAGTCCTACACCTACCTGCCGGTGTTTAAACAATAGTCCTACACACAGTCCTACACCCTACCCGCCGGCGTTTAAACAATAGTCCTACACACAGTCCTACACCCTACCTGTCACCATTTAAACAATAGTCCTACACACAGTCCTACACCCTACCCGCCGGCGTTTAAACAATAGTCCTACACACAACTCTACACCCTACCTGTCGCCATTTAAACAATAGTCCTACACACAGTCCTACACCTACCTGCCGGTGTTTAAACAATAGTCCTACACACAGTCCTACACCCTACCCGCCGGCGTTTAAACAATATGTCTCAAGACAGTCCTACACGCTACCTGCCGGCCTTTAAACAATAGTCCTACATACAGTTCTACAACCTACCTGCCAGCGTTTAAACAATAGTCCTGCACCCTACCTGCCAGCTTTTAAAAAATAGGACAGTCCTACAGACAGTCCTACACTATACATGTGGCTCTTTATTGATATATATAATTTTCGCCTCCGAAAAAATTGAACGTTTTTACCCGAGTACAACCGTCACGCATGACGCTCGCTACTTGACATTATTTTTTTCCCCACTCAGTACTATTAATATAAAACATGATTAGGAGGAGGAGAGTCGGTTGTGAAAAAGAAGCAGCCGCACCAAAAGCTAAATATATATAAGAGATATAGATTTTCTTAACTGACAAAAATATTATTTCCCTTCATTCTGTAGAGTTGTACGATATTTGTCTTTATAGAATCCAAGGGCGGAAAGAAGATGGGGTTATTGGGCATACTCCCAGGGCACCAAAACTGGGTGAATTCAATTTATTTTTGGGCGTGGGCACCGGATTAAGAGCTGACGCTGGTTACCAATATGCTTTCTTTTGGTGTTTATTATTGCACCCCCCCTCCCCCGGACATTCTAAAATGTCGCCCTCAGATCAAAATTTCTGAAACTCTGCATACTTCTTAATACAAGTGGATTGAAAAGGGTACAACAAGTGGATTGTAACTCGCGTGGGTTGAGAAGTGGAAAGGGGGAGGGAATTGAGACAGATGGGGCGGACAGATCAATCTCCAGTCGCGATATATTATCTGTGACCTTTTCATATTGTGTGTATCAGAGAAGGTGGGTGCCGCACTGGAGGGAGGCAAACAGGCCCCTGTCAACAAGGCCACGATTCGAAGTCAATAGCCGCAAATCTTTGCAACGCAGTTGTAGCGGGGTTACCTTACATGTACTACATATTGTGACCTACTGCAAGATAAATACCGTGATCGTAGCATGTGATGTGGCCTACTGGTAGATGTTTACTGTGTACGTGGCATGTGATGTGACCTACTGGTAGATGTTTACTGTATACATGGCATGTGTTGTGGCCTACTGGTAGATGTTTACTGTGTACGTGGCATGTGATGTGGCCTACTGGTACATTTTTACTGTGTACATTGGATTTGCCCTCCTGGCAGGTGCTTATTGTGTACACGGCATATGATGTGGCCTACGGCAGATGTTCACTGTGTACACGGCATATGATGCCCCCTACTTGTAGATGATTACTGTGTACGTGGCATGTGATGTGGCCTACTGGTAGATGTTAACTGTGTACATGGGATGTGATGTGGCCTACTGTTACATTTTTACTGTGTACATGGGATGTGCAGGTGCTTATTGTGTACACGGCAAATGATGTGGCCTACGGCAGATGTTCACTGTGTACACGGCATATGATGTCCCCAATTGGCAGATGACTACTGTGTACGTGTCATGTCATGTGGCCTACTGGCAGATGTACATACATAGACTACCGCTTATAACTTGTCTCATGTAGCTTGTTAATTAGCCATGCCAATAAATAAATCCCATAATCTTTATTCATTAAAGTTAAAGACAAGGTTCTCTTACAGAGCAATTAATTCTATGTGGCAAACACAACTAGGAAGAAAGTCGCACAAATATGGCTATCATTTTTTAAAATCAAAATGTTGATTTTTTAAAGAGATGTTTGTGACATCGGTACTTAGAATCACAGTACAATATCATTGACGCCAACACAGTCATGTTTCCGACGATTATCACCCTCTATTTTTTTTTACTAGGGCTTAACCGGGTGCAGTTTTTACACCGGGCCCGGGTATTTTGAGAAAATACCCGATGGGTCCAAGTGTTTAAAAAAAAAAGAGTTACCGGTGACTTCTTATTGTCTATAATTTATGCCTGCCTTTTAACAATAAGCTTACAGAAAGTCTTATACCCTACCTGCCGACCTTTAAATAACATGCCTACATATTGTCCTACACCCTACCTTCGGGACTGGATACAATAGTCCTACAGACATTCCTACCTTACACCCGTGGCTCTTTATTGATTAAAATAATAGTAACCTCCCTGTCCTCCCTCTAAAGTCTTAAAGAAAAAAACATCACCATTTTGCTTGAGTTTAACCGTCACGCATGACGCTCGCTGCGTGACAGCATTTTCCCCCCACTCAGTACTCGTACTATAAAACATGTTGAGTAAGACGAAGGCCGGTTGTGACATTGAAGAAGGACACACCAGAAGTAAAATATAATATATGAGATTAATTGATGTGTTTCTTGTTTGTTTATTGTTTTGGGGCAGGGTGTAGAAGTTTAGTGTTGCGCCCCGTGTATTAAAGCGTGCGACACAAGAAAACATTCGCCAACATATTCGTGGCGTAGCTAGCTAGGGCTAGGGCCAACCCTCAACGACAAAAAAAAATACATTCTAAGTTGGCCGAAAATACCGCCCTTCGTATATAGAGCAAAAGTGACGCCCGGGGCGGAACGCCCCTCCTTTTCTACACCAGTCTACCACCTTGCAATTTGGTTTCTCGCTCTGGGTCTTTTCTCCGTCCATTTATCTTTCAGTTTGACGTCCGCGGGATTCTATCCGGAGTTATCTCCCCCCCCCCCCCCCCCCCTCCAGGATTTTTCCTTTTATCCCGAGAGACCTTATATTTACTTATACGCAAGCGGTTACTCGACGATAAACAATGTCCGGGGATGAAAGACTGCATGTAAAACACACGCGTAAGTAAACTCGTATCATAGACCGCTGGTTTTAAATAGCAAGGCTTTTGGCTCAACACAACAGGTGCAAGCAAAGCTGGCATATTTGTTATTGGAGATTGGGGTTGGGGTGGGGGGGGGGGCTGGGGGTCTGTGCAACATACACTTAAACTTCAATACAAGCTGTTGGGAAATCATCAACAAAAGTTTAATTTACCACAGCAATATTTTTCATAGCAAATTTCTATTTATTACAAATTTTAAAATAAATTCAGTCCGACTGCAAATCTAAAAGTCAAAAATGGGATTTCGCCCACTTTATCTGCTACTTTCTAAATAATTGTATGTCAATGTACATTATTTTTTTTAATACTGTTGCTATTTTTTACAATACCAATATTGTTTTTACGATAATTGTATTTTTGTTTTAAACGTACGCAACAAAAATAAAAAAATAAAAAATCTTCGCTAATGAACGCCATCTGTACAACTCTGTGAAATTAAGGCGTGGGAGTATATACCAATATGTAGTCAGATGTATGAATAATAGAAGATTAATGCAACCCATCACCGTCACTGTCAGTCCATCAGCAGAAATCATTAAAAAAAACCGACAAGGTTTACCAGCTTGTGATAGCCATTCCTCCGTCGAATACTGGCTTATTGCCCCTTTTCTTGCTCTATTTTCATAATAATTTCACGATCAATTGTTGTAGCCAATTTAACGAGGCCTGAAAAGCATGCGTTTTGTGTTTTTTATTTTTTTTGGTTTTTGGTTCATTTTTTAAATTTAAAAATGGAAATTTGTTGATACACCAATGACTAGACTAATACTAATAGCAGTTAACACATTTTCTAAAATTAAAAAAACCCAACTTTTTACAGCTGACATTCTCCTTTTGGGGGGCGAGCTAACGCTTTTTAATGTTCCGACAAGAACTTTACAGGCGTGGCACGCATCTGCTGGGCATCGCCTTGGATCAGACTTTCTGTGTCTATGTCTGGGGTGTTCCCAACCCCTCCACTCATTCGTAGCGGGCACTCGGCTAGCCCGCTTGTCCAGGGATCCACTTTACAGACGTGGCACGCATCTGCTGGGCATCGCCTTGGATCAGACTTTCTGTGTCTATGTCTGGGGTGTTCCCAACCCCTCCACTCATTCGTAGCGGGCACTCGGCTAGCAAGTGCACTACTGTCTCTGGCGCCTGTCCGCAATGACGACAGCTCGAGCAGGTCAGTGTTCTGTTCTCATCTGGATGATGAGGCTCTGGTGTTCCCGTTATAATTTCCACCACTGACCCCCTTTCCTTGTTGAGTGTGGCATATTCTGTTTTACGGGCCGTGTCCCCTTTCACCCAGCTTTCAACCATTCCTCGTGAAAGAGGACTTTTATCTTTAAACCATTGTTATGGCATGTGTGACGGCCTGATTTTAGCGTTGTGGCCACCACTACTTTTCTCCCATTTGTTTTGTTTTGATACTGGCGTCACCCAGTAAATGTGCTATGCCACCCCTTTACCCCCCCCCTCCCCACACACGCAGTTTTCCCTTGATTGGGTAAATGTTGTTGAAGTTTAAATACCTTCTATTTGTTCTAAAGAATGCTATCAGGTGAGGCAATATCTAGATTTTTTTTTACTGGATGGTTCTGATTTAAAACCCTATATATATATAGGCCGCCAGCTTTCCTAGCCATGAGAGAGGTTCTTGCTAAATATCCTAGACATATACGAGACTGTCTAATGGCAAGAGTACTCTTTATGTGTGTCTCAATTAATCTCTGCATCTTTCGAGGAGTGTACCCTTTCACGTGCTGTGCTTTAAATTGATATAGTTTTAATGTATATATATGTATATATATATATATATATATATATATATAAAAGTCCATAAAAACTCATCTGTTTAGGTCCGCCTATGACCTGTGATGCACCCTCCTTGCCCTGTCTCATTTTCTGTTTCGGGTTGATCCTGAAGTAAAGGCCAAAACGTGTCAAAGTGTCCTCGTTTTATAGCCATTTTCATTGTTTCTATAGTATAGTAGTTACTATCCTAGTGTCTCATTTTTATTTTACTTAGTTTACATGTTTTTCATAATTGTAAAGCGCTTAGAGCTTTATGGTAAGCGCTATATAAAAATGCCTAAATAAATAAATAAATAATGGTATAATTAAATTGAATTTTGCAAGAATAACTAGCTTTGGTATAGTTTTCCTTTGTATATTGGTTTTCAGTCCTATGTAAGGTAGTGTTCATTCTACGAGCCAAATCTTACAACAGATAAATTAAATTTTCAAACCCACATAACGGTTCGTAACACCATACTTTAACCCCCCAACTGGATCACCGGTCGCTTTGATTGTGGCTGGGTAGACCCTTGCCTCTCTAGAAAGTCAGCTCTTTCATTCTGGAGCAGCTTTGATGGTTGTGAGGTAAGCTCACTTTTATTTATATACACAGGCCCAGGTTGCGACAGCTGGGAGTTTCTAAAATTGTCATATTATTGTCACATCAAGAGCTGCTGTTTCCCAAATAGTCATACAATGTCCCACATATAGTTACCGTTCGGTCATACAAGTGTCACGTATATAAAGCTCCTGTTTCTCAAATGTCATACCATTGTCACACACACAGCCCCCTGTGTTGCGTACCCTTATGGTTTAAAAAATTTAAACTCTTTTACGATTTGGCTGGTAGAATAAACAATAAAAAAATGCGCTACAAGGGACTTAGAAAACAGTTTGCAGAGAAAACTATAACAAAGCTATTGATCCTAATAATATTCAATTTAATTATACAATTAAAATTCTATAAAACACAAAAATTTAAATATATTGAAACAAAAAAACTATATCAACTTACAGCACAGCAAGTGAAAAGTGAGCAATACTCGAGGGATACAAAGATTAATTTATAGACACACATAAACGGTACAATCTTGCAATTGTAATGTCTCGTATATGTCTAGGATGTATAGCTAAAATTTCTCTCATGGCTAGGAAATCTGCCGGGCTATATATAGGGTTAAATCAGAACCATCTAGTAAAGAAATTCCTCGCAGACAAGACCCTTGGTGGGGGTTAGGTCGCAGGTAGCAGAGTCTAGAGTAACAGATGCGCACTGAGCACTGTCCTATCGGCACATACTTTAAAAGGCTAGACCAGGGGCCTCAGACTCACATTCTCCGAGGGCCGCAAGAGGTTGAGCCTGAGTGAGACTGGGCCGCATCAAGTATTCCGCAAAAAAGCGATTACAAATTCAATAAAGTGAAACTGTTGCTATCTGCTCAACGTTTATTAATAACAAATAAAAACTTTAAGGGCTCTCAAAAACTAGCTTCACTTACTTCCTCCTACTCCTTCTTGCCACAGACCTGGCAGTGCTTCTTCTTACACAGCTGAATAACATTTGGCTTGAGTGAGGAAGCAACTGGGACCCTCAGTATAGCTTGAAGATGCTCATCAATAATTTTTTCACTGAACTTTCCACACAGATAGGTACTCCCAAAAAGTTATATGATCCGCTTGAACAACCTGAACATCTCAGTGAAGTTGGAGGGCAGGGCTCTTATAAAATGTCCAGGCTTTTCATTTTCTGCTTTTCCATTCACCTCCCTGAACTTAGCCTTAAGCTCAGTATTGCACTGTGATCTATCAGAAGCGCAACAAGCGATGAGTCAGCAAAAAATTGAAAAGTGGCCCTGTGTGTTTCGAAGTCTGCAAAACTGTGAGCCTTATCGTAGAAAAGACCTTTTTGAATAACCCTATTTTGAAAGTGACCAAGCAGACAGGCTCGGAATGTCCCTCACTCCTACACACTAGCGGCAATTTTAATAGGGATTCTTTGATACTGTGTCAGATTGCTACGATTTACGCAATTATGGTTGTGCATTACCCATAGGCTTAACCATAACAGGGACTCTATAACTGTCTTATTAAACTTTTGATATTTGTATATACAATATTAGAAGCGTATTTTCTCAAAACGGCACTTTGGCCATGTTGTCTCACAAAATGCTACAAAATAAAATCTTTAATTCCAATTTTAAAAGGTTTTACCATAACAATCAACGTCCTAACCTATAAAAAAAATAACAGAAATCAGAATTATACTAGTCTGTGAGATTCGACTGAAACCGCCGCGGATTGTCCATTATACATATGAGAATGGTGAAAACGCATGGCCCGCATTAACACTAAACTTTGCTGTCAGGCATCGGTCCTAAAAAAATATTGCCTTACTTACGGGCTGCAAATGGCCCGCAGGCCGTGAGTTTGAGACCCATGGGCTTGACCATAATAGGCACGCTATCTGTTGGCATAGGAGCCTGATCCAGAAACTCTAGAGCAGTGGTTCTCAACCTTTCTAATGCCACGACCCTTTAATACAGTTCCCCATGTTGTGGCGACCCCAACCACACAATTATTTTCGTTGATACTTTATAACTGTAGAGTATGTGTTTTCAGATGGTCTTAGGCGACCCTTGTGAAAGGGTCATTCGACCCCCAAAGGGGTGCGACCCACAGATTGTGAACCGCCCCACAGATTGTGAAACGCTGTTCTAGAGCATGTTGACCGAATGACCCTCACTAGATGTTTCAGGGATGGCCAGAGCGGCGGGAGAGCCATACGCGAGGAACATGTTATAGTTATAAAGCACAACTTAGCAGATGGAGTGATTGGCAATGTACTAGCCAAGGTCATAAGAGAGTAAGAATGTGTGCGTTAGTTAGTAAGAAATTCTAGAAATTGCGCCAATTGATATCATTCTTTAGAACAAATATAACTCACTCGAACGTAAACAATCTTTTCCCAATCAAGGGCGGGATGGGTAAGAAGTGGCACAGCATGTTTGCTAGGTGACGTTATAATCAAAGCAAAAAAAAAGGAGGGGGGGGGCAAATGATGGTGCCTCAAAATATGCCTAAACATAAGCCGTAACACACGGTTTCTCACATGTTCATACTGTTGTCACACAAACAGCCCTTGTTTCTCACAATGTCATATCAAGAACTCCTGTTTCCACGATACACGCCCAAGTCCATAAACACATGTCTCCTTTATGGTAACTTCAGTAGAGCCACGTCTATTTCTCGAACAGTGAGTGGCTACTTGGTCCAACTGACTTGGTTTAGGTGCCTTTAGGTTAATCCGGCACTGAATCTTAGCTACCCCATTGTGGGGGCGCACCTCCCTGGGGACGCACCTTCCTGGGACGCACCTTCCTGGGGGCGCACCTCCCTGGGGACGCGCACTAGTTCAGAATGGGACGCGAAAATATTAATCGTTGTTCGTGGCTATATAATAATTGACTTAATGATTATGAAGCAAGAGGGGCGTAAAGAATAGAAATTAACATATGTAGCGCAGTGTTACAATAACCAATTGAAACCACTGCCATGCCACGCGAGTTCAAGTCCCGTTCCATCGCCCTATCTTTAGAGTGTAAACATTGTGACCTGTAGGTGTCGCCAGGCCTAAGCCGCCTCAGAGCATCACGGTCACGGTTACACCGATGGATTGTCTGAGGTGAGGGAAGAACATCGCTCTATCCAGGTGTAAACAAAGGTCTACGGCGGTGATTGTTTGACGAAAGTAGCAACAGTAACGAAAGTATGGGGGGAAAAGTCGGGGGGGGGGGGGGGGGGGGGGGGGGGGGCTCGGGCCCTAAATGTTATGTGGATGACACACGGTGGTCGTATCGGCTACAACTTTTTGCTGGCTCGCTGAAGGTAGTACAGAAAACGCTTGAAATTGTGTATCCGAATTTACTAAGATACCCGGTGATGCAATAGAAAATGAGCGAAACAAAGAATGGGAAAACCTGGGGAAAAAAGGACGCAACAAAACAATGATCGTGCCGACAAGACGCCTTCTTCGGCGAACAAACAACAGTAAAAACAATACAAAATAAATAACACTTAGCTGCAATGTAGTATCCTGGAGTAAGCAGGAGGACTGTTTGGATACTACAATGGCAGCAAAGTGTTTATTTTTTTATTTTATATTGTTTTTAATGTTGCTTATTTACTCAAGAAGGCTTCTTGCCGACACGTTTCAGGTTTTCCCTTACTTTGTTTCACTCATTTTCTTGTACCTCACCTGATTGCAGTCTTTCCATCTCAGTTGCTTGTATGAAACGCCCCCAAAAATCGGCCTTTTATCGCTTTGCATCCCCCCTTCATTTACATCTTCCAATACCCTTGAAAACACTTAGCGACCCTCCTGTGTATCGCGAGTTGCGGCCCGCCGGTTGAAAACCCACAGCTCTAAAGGCAAAGGAGTTGAAAGGGGTTATTTCAGGAAGATAATTGGAAATAAAATAACTACGGTTCCTGGCTATCGGAGAATAATTAATTTAAGATTTTCCATAACAAAATCATTTTTTGCACCGACTTCATTAATTTTCATGGCAGGCTTGTCCCCCACCCCCACCCCAATAATACAGACCCCAGAATCTATTATTCCTTCCGAAATTGCTTTCCACCCCCCACTTTTCAGATTGTATGAGTTGTTCTGATCGATACAACAAGCTTTAATTTCAACAACTCCCAGCTATATGATATATTCCAACATTATGTTCTACCGGCTCTAAAATTTGTTTCCGCAAAGCTAATTTTCGCGGGGGTGGGGTGGGATACAACAAATACTGACGTTGACAATGCTATAAAATAACTGGAAGAAAACTCCATCTTTATAATCTTGAGAGATTTATTTGACCTCAAAGCATCTCAATGATGTCAATCCGTGGATTTCGCTTCCTTTCATGGAGCATAAAAATGTCAACTTCCCAAAATGCTGTACACAGAGAATAGCCCAAATACCCCAGAAAGGGAGTATATGGGTTCCTAACCCATAGGCCGTGACCTCATTTGGGGTCGCGAAGGGTTCTCCCTGGGGGTCGCCAGCTTAAACAGTAAACTATATACATATATAGTGGGATCCCGATTGGTACCGATCCCGTTAGGATACCGTTCTCTGTTCCCCATAGGGACCCTCTTTTCCGATGTTATCCCATTTCCCGATAGGATCCCCATCCCAGTTTAATCCCGTTACCCGATGGGATGGCGTATCCGTTGGGTTCCAGTTCACTGTTGAATCTCGTTCCTCATTAGGATCCTGTTCTTCTAAGGAATCATGCTCAGTGCGATTTTTTTCGAATAAATATTTAGATCCCATTAAATATCCCCGTAGAACAGCGGTTCTCAACATGTGGGTCGCGACAAATTTGGGGGTCGAACGATCCTTACACACGGGTCGCCTAAGACCATCGGAAAACACATATTTATTAAGTAGCAACGAAAATAATTTGATGTTTGAGAGGGGGAGGGGTCACCCCAACATGAGAAATTGCAATGAAGGGTCGCGGCATTGGTAAGGTTCAGAGCCACTGCCGTAGAACAATATAGAACCTTCTTGAACATTCTAGATTTAATTTAATATCCTCCATGAAACGTGTAAAAAGAATTACTTTTCTACGTAATTATTTCTCGAATGCGAAATATTATACAACTAGATTGTACTACAATAACTATAATACATTTAAATTGAATTAGGGGCCCGGGTGGAGGCCCATTTAATAAAATGCCGTTTTATTTATGTCTGAGATTTGGGGGGGGGGGGGGGGGTTTAAAAATCATTCAGATAAATTAAGGAGTTAGAATTTAAAATTTGTCCCATTAAAATCGGTTTAAAAATGCCTTTTTTAAAATTAAAGTATCGAACTTTCTAGGCCTAGATCCATCTATTCTCACAGAACCTATAGCATTGCCTAAGCCTATTGATATTTATAGCTATAATATAAGGAAAACTGAAATGGGGCCCCCCGAGTAATAGATATTATGAGTCCCATACCCTTAGGTATTTGAATATGGATAATCGAGTGTTTGTGTACTAAGTTTGGTCAAGATCCATTTATTCCTGTAGGAGTATTTATTGTTACTAATTTAATTTATATATCTCATTTAAGAAAAAAACGAATTTTGGGCCCAAAGCCCCAAACGGGAATTTTTTTTTAGTTTAAAACCCCCCTGTGTTTGATTCTGGCTAATAATGGATATATGTGCCATTTGGTCCAGATCCATCAATCCATGTAAAAACGTACGTTGGAACAAATCCACCCACAAACATACATTCGCTTTTATATATATATATATACTAGCGGATATACCCGGCATTTGCCGGGATAACATTCGGAACGAAGGAAATTCTACAGTCTACAGCCTCATCATTATTCCGTCGGTATCCCGCTGCCGTTAGTATACCAGTTCCCAGTGGGATTCTGATCCTTCTGGATCCCACTTCCGGTATGATCCCAATCCCATCGGTATTCTGATCCCGGTGGTATGTCGATGCCAGTGGGATAACGATACCGGTCTGCTCAAATACCACACTGTCCGGTCACCTGATAACCCTTCTTCAAAATGAAGTAGAATACAACAGACTGAAGTCGCAAACAATTCATTGATTTCATTTTTTGTGTTAAAAGGAAAGAAGTTTGTTATGTTCGCTTATTTAATTTTAAGGTCATACTTGGGACCCATAACCAGTCTACTTTCAGAAACTCTAACAACGTTCTGATAGAATTAGTCTATCCTTCAAGTTTACATATAAAGACAGTCACTAACCGAAGTATTGTTTTGAATACTTATTTAAAAGACATGCCGAGCTGTAATACAATATGACTTTATATTTCACGGAGTGGAACGTAAATTAATACAGTATTGTTAGCAACTAGGTTCACGCAATGACCACGGTGAACAGACAGCGCAGGAGGAGTTCCCTGCACCCCATCCAGGTACAGGCTCTCAGACGGGGGTCTCTCCACCACACGCAGTTTCCACTGCTAGACCAAGAGGAGTCTGTAAGTAATGTTTACTTCTCTTGTATTCCCTCAACTACTGATACGAGATTCCAAGTAGATTCCCTTTTATAACCAGAAGCTTGACAAATAACTCTTTTTTAATACGACAGGTAATCAATAAAATAAACAACACCATCATAGGATAGCATGCAGCATATTGATGAGATAAATACCTTAAACATTGAGGTAAAGACCTTAAGATGGTAATTTGATTAGATAAACAACACTGTATGATAGTAAATTAATAAGATTTACAATCCCTTACGCCTTATGATAGCAAATTGATAATATAACACCTTATTTAAGTAAATCAATAAACCAAACAACACCCAAAGAAGTACACAGATTTCTAAAAAGGTAACAGTTTTTAAAGTATGTTTTCATTGAGCAGAAGTGCAATAAACTTGAAACAAATTTTTATGGTCAAACTTTTACATCTTTTTGAGGACTATTTAAAGACAGGTAAATGTTGTTGTCATAAAAATAAAGCATAAAACTAGTCATAAAAGGGGGGATAAAGGTATATTCTTTCTCTTTTTTTAAAGTAATGTGTACAGCCGAAAGCAATATTAAATGTGTGGCATGAAGTCAGTAGCAAATCATTTAAGTGGGTGAGGTTGTGTTGAATGAAGTTTTTTTTTTCCTGGAAATTTTGTATAAATAAATTTAATACTGTAAGTGTAAGCACACATCATACATGCTTTGTACAAATTTTATTTTGACAATAAAATGGAAATATTTGTATTCTTAGTCTCCAAGCTTAATGCATTAACAAAATTTTCTTTAAGGTATTGGTCTAAATAGTCTTTAAGCTTAATGCACTTTTCTTTAAGGTATTGGTCTGGTCAAAATGAAAGATTTGAATACCAAATTTGTTTTTAATTTGCAAGAAGGATACGTTTGGGGTATAGTAAGTGTAAAAAAATGGGGTTGATATAAAAATTGTTAACATGTATGTATATAGTGAGATGCATTTTATTTGCAAGGTTGTGGTGTGTAAGTCCCAAATGGTTTTTTAACAAGTAACTGATGACCACAAGAAATATAACACAAAGCCCAATGATACATTTCAATATTAATATTCTATACTATTACAATTCTCGCACAAGTTCCTTCTATGATATTAATAATAATATATAGGCTACTGAGTTCATTCAGCGATATGTAAATAAATCTGCATGTATGTACAAGGAATAAATCATCAGTAATTTATGACAATGGTTTCTTTATTTCTTGGAAATTTACTAGTTTTTAGTTTTTACTAGCAAAAAAAAATATCACTTTTCATGATATTATGCTAAGTTATTTATAATTATAATCATAACATCACATTAATATAGTAAGTGAATTTGACAAATTTATAATTATCAGAAATAAAAATGAAGTTACTTGACTTACATATTACTATTACAATAACAAAAAATATTTTACTTTACCAATTTTATTGCTAAAATCAATTATTTAAATATTACTTTTAATTTTAATTTTGATGTAGCTGATAGTGATAGATTATGTGATTAAATTATGTCATGATTCATGACGATCATGAATTGAATTGAAAACTGAAAAAAAACCCTGAAACTTGCTACTTAATAATTTATAAATAATTTATATACAAATATAGTATTATAGACTATAGACTATAGAGGCATAGCTACTAAATACTGAATATTTTACATTTAATAGATTTATTCACAAGTGACAAATGTCACCCTGTTTTGTAATAATAAATAAACTAGGCCTAATTGAAATTAAGAGTGAATGTAAATTGTAAACAATGATCAATTTTATAAAACTGGTACTGGTGTTTTTCATGGATAAAAATTCAAATATAAAAACTACACAAAACACATACCTCCGTGTTTTAGTGCCTGTCCTGATTCAAGGGGTATCACAAGCAGAGGAAAAATTCCACTTAATCCTACTAAAATCGCAGCAAGAATAGAGAAAATCCAAATCTCATAAGTATTTCTCGAGGTATCAACAATTTCATGAATAGTGCCCCCACCTGCATCGTCTTGTTGTAATATTCCCTGTTCAAGCATCTTTGCCACGTCCGTATCGGCTTCCAAATCACTGAAACTGAGTGACGATGCAGAGGCCCGCTTAACGTTCTTAAGTGGGTTTGATTTGGCCCTGTGAATTTCTCCATTCGTCAGGTGTAGATGGATGAAAATTATGATAACAATTGTTTGGTGTAACAGCTGATGGAGATAACCGTTTTTCATTATCATTTGTACGGACGACCAGATTGACCTGACACCATTCACCTTTGACCTGTAACCTATTTAATCATGAATTTTTAGTTTCGTATAATTTTAGCCTATGCTATTATACATTATTTAATTGTCATCGTAAGGTTAAGTACATTGTTACCTTTGAGTTTGAAATAATAGTGAAAATGAGATCCAGGCTTAAAACATAAAAATTATATCAAAAGCAAACATTGTTTTTTTTTAGAACTTAACTATACCCCTTCAGTTTCCTGGAATATTCCAAATCTATCGCTTATATACATGAAGACTGCAGTAACTTGCGAGAAAGCGGGGGTGCCAGGCTGCAACAGGCTGAGTAGCAGACGAACGATCTGGCACCGGCTGACGTGCTTACACACGTGAAGCATCCTCTGAGGGAACGTAAACAAGATGATGCCAGAGTAGTGAGATAAAAATAATTCACCTTCTACACACCCATAGTTGGTGTGTATAAAGAGTGACTTCCGATTCTGTATAGATTAGATAGACTTTTTTAAAAAGGCCAGAGCGATACAATTTTTACTTACTAGGCCTATAATTGGAAAGTATTGCCACTTACAATCATATTTAATTTATTCCTTAAGTTAGTAAATGGATTAAACAATTCATTGATTAGGAGAGTGGAATAAAACGCGTTTTAATTTAACAATGGATGCTGCTTTTCGAACTACCATTTTTGACATAGCTCAAGACGCATCACAGGCAGCAACTGCTCACAACGAAAGTCAAGGCTATTATAGCAGAGCGGTTAGTTGTTTTACTATTAATTGACCACCACATATTACATGATAAGCGCACACTGACTCAAAGAGTAGAGCTTATTAATTTGACCTTGATTGAATGAATCATTGATGCGTGAATCTGACGTCTCGTAGGAATTGTACAGCGGCATGATGTTATTTTATTAATTATTAATTATAGTGATAATGTTCATTATTTATAATTTTAATTAGCCTAACTATACAAATACAAATAATTTACATTTTAAGTTATAAGCCTATTACTAATAATACTAAAATTTAAACACTGTCATAACTAATTTTAAACTACATACTACTGACAGTCTACAGGACTATAGGGCAGGGGCCTAGTATACTAGACTATAGCCTACTATTTATACTAATACTAATACTAATAATAATATACTAACTAAGACTATTATTTATTACTATCTATTAAAACCATTGACAGTGTCCTACCTAAAATGCTTAAAAGTAAAAGTAAAGTATACTAAATACTTTAATTGTAATAATTAAATTTGTAATACATCTTATTTAGACTAGTATTACTAGTTTGGGTGTATTATAACAATTATATGAGTATGAAAGTATGAGATAATAAGTGGTAGTAAAAGTGAACAATTTCATGACTATACTATTCTATAACTATAATATAGGGGCCTATTCTGTAGTTAGTAGCTGAAGTTAAAATAAAAGTAAGATAGCTCCAAGATTCAAACCATATTTTAATTTTGAATTGAGAAAAGACTTATGTCTAAAGTCTAAAGTAATTATAGTTTATTCCTAAACCTAAATTAAAATAATAAGTTAATGAATGACTAGAATATGAATAAAATAAAGTTGGACTAATTGTTTGCATTTTGGGGGTACAATATACTAATTATTTATAATTCTAATTACCTACTAATTACTAATTTTATGTTAAGTATGGTGAATGAACAGACAGAACATCAGCTTAGTTACTTTCTCTTTATTTTCTCTTTACTGTAATAAATTTTTTTTCTATTTTTGTCTAAAAAATTTTTATCCAATCAATCCAGGGGCAAAGGTGCCCCCCCCCCCCCTTGCGGGCGCCCATGCCTACACATGTAAATTATATTTGTCAGTATTAGTAGGCCTATATAGCCTACTATGTATAGGCCTAATATATGATACTTTCAAAATTTTTTTTTACTTAGTTACTTTTTCTTTTTTTTCTCTTTACTTTAATAAATTTTTTTTCTATTTTTGTCTAAAAAATTTTTATCCAATCAATCCAGGGGCAAAGGTGCCCCCCCCCCCCTTGCGGGCGCCCATGCCTACACATGTAAATTATATTTGTCAGTATTAGTAGGCCTATATAGCCTACTATGTATAGGCCTAATATATGATACTTTCAAAATTTTTTTTTATCAGATCTCAAAGCAATGCATTTTTAACCAGTTACTCAGATTAATTAATTGATTCTTAAATTGACTTAACTCTTAACTGGTTTTCAACAGCCCTAATGATGATCACATATCCTCTTTAACTTTAATTGCAGTTACTGGATGGGATGTTATTTCTAATGACTACCTCAAAAAGTCTTAAAATAAACAGCAACTATTAAACATATATTGAAATGTATTTTTAATTTCTTTATTATATAGCCATAAATGAATATGTTAAGGGCTGCACAGGTTTTAAATTGTCATGGTAAAGTCCTTAAAGGTTTAAAGGAAGGATGCCAGTAAAAAGAAGTAGAGTCTATTGCTTTTTTTTCCCCATTCCATTGAGCGAAAAATGAAAATTTTCATCTTAATTTTTTGCATTTATTTGTTCTTCCCTTAATAAAGTGTCATGCTTATATGCTTATAGATGAAGTATAATATTGAAATAATAATATTTATGTTCCATCTAAACAAGATTGCATGCTGAAACATGATGTTAAAAGTTAGTGAAATATGCTGGCCTTTCATGGTGATTAAAAAAATATCTGTTTACTATTACTCACACTTTCTATTGCAGAGTGTGACCATTGATAAGGTACCAGACAAACTTCTTCTACACATTTTTAGCTTTTTGCGACATTCAGAGCTTGGAAAAGTGGCCAGGGTTTGTCGAAAATGGAGATTACTAGCCTATGACAGTCGTTTATGGACAAGAGTTTCACTTCGCCCAGAATACTCTGGCCTTCATGTGTATTCTCCTGAGGTATTGCAGGCTCTTATAGGAATTCGTTTTGGTTCAACTTTGCGATACATTGAAATTCCCAGTGACCTAATTACTGCTCCTGTTCTCCATGAACTCTCTAACAAATGTCCTGCTCTCAGGTACTTATAATTAAATTTCAGTGCATATTTACCATTATTTCTGTAAAATATATTTTAAAACACTAAAGTAGTACTTGCTTTCTTATTGTTTTGTTATCTTCTTAAATGTTCTTTTAAAAATCATAATTTTGGTGACTTATTATATGGTTTAAAAGTGATCATTCATTAAGTTTAAATTATAGCAGGCTGAATGAGTCAGTGCAAAATATAAAACTTGAGTGTATGCTAAGATGACAAAATCATGAACTGGAAAAAACAGGACACAACCAGGAGGGTTTGGGGGATACCCTCCAGCTTTAGAGGGGTCCGGGGGCCTCCGCCACAAACTTGTTTATTGAAATATGCTCATTTTAACTATAATGAGACCCAGAAATCTTTTTAAATTTACCTTCACTTTGGTAATTTAATTTAAACAGATGCATATCATAAACGAAAACAATAATTTTGGATCGTCTGCGGAGTGGTGGAGGGGAACAGTGCAGCCATCATGCAAGCCCACATCACTACTGGCACTGGCTGCACAGCTAGCCAAAATATTACTTGAAGTTATATTATAAATTAGGAAGTTTTAGTGATTTGAAAATGTGTTTGGTTTTAGACATTTAGGTGTTCCGAGAGACTTTTTCAGGACACTGGGTACAATCTTGAAAAAAGGGGATGTTTGGTCACCCTGGTGTATGCTGTCATTAAAAGATGCTAAAAATAAAACATGTTTAACTTTATGTGCTTCTTAAAATGAGTATTTTCTGCAGTCAGTTAAACACAGCTTGTAAATCAACTTGGTTGACTATAAATGCAATATATAGGCCTACTCTGTAAGTATTGACAAGAAAAAAATTTAAGCAGGAACTGATATCTTGAAGCAGGGGTCGATAATCTTTTTTTAGAAATTACCCCAAAATATAGTAGTAAACATCTAAATTACCTCCTTTATTCTCATTTTCACACAAACTGTGGTCATTTACACTGGTTTGCTGACCTTTGCATTACTGAAATAAATGTATACTATTTCCCCAGGTACATGACTCTTGACTTCTCCAATGCCATGCAGCTGCATGACTTCAATGACCTGAATGCATTTCCTTGTAACTTGAGAAGTTTATGCATCTGTTTGTCTGAAGTTATCTTCCTGGAAGGATTTATGCGAAGAATTTACAGCTGCCTGTCATCGTTAGAAGTTCTCCATTTAATAGGTATTCTAGTCATATTTGAAATGCCAATTACCTTCCCCTGATTATACAACTTTTGTTAAAGGTTGTAGATAAATTAAACTTAAAATATACAATCAAGAATTTTAGTAAGTTGTCAAAAACTGGCTAAAATATTTACCCCTCTAATTCTCTTGGTCTGGGAAAAAACATAAAGACTTTGTAATTATTTCTTCTCAGATTTTTTTTTCATTACCACTAGCCAATATACTCTGCTCATGTTTGTCTTCAGTAAAAAACTTCTAAAGTGTTACCACTGTACATGTAAATATAGGGCTCTGTCAAAAACACTTTGTTCAAGTTCCAATTAAAATTAAAAAAATTACCCCAATAAAAAGCCAGATTTTTAATAACTCTTGTAAACATTGAATTTGGGGCCCACTCTTTTTCTGTTAATATTCAAGCTGGCCACAGCCAAAAACCTTGATAAATACAACTTTTCATAGATGTCTTAATTAAAAAAGGTATTCACCTTTGCCAAAGCTATAAATGTTTATAATATGAAACGAGTTTTATATCAGTTATCAGCTTTTACATTTTGATATCAACTGATCCACATTAAAAGTCAGATTGACATATTTTATAAGATCTAAAGCAGCAAAGTGTCAAAACTTATTGCTGATTTTTGTTTATGCATATGTGTCCATCCAAAAAGTATGTCAGGCTCTGGGACCAGGGGAGGGGGTCCTAGAAAGTGTGAAAATTTGTGACAGATGGAAAGGGGTAAAATTGTGAAAATAATTTTAAAATCTTTTTCTTCTTCAGCTATTTTACCCCACTCTTCTACCAGCTATTTTGAAGAGCTCTTTTACAGCTATGCGTCTCCCTCTTTTATTAGCTATGTTGGTGGTACTTGCATTTCTATTGCCTGGTCATTAAAATGGATTAAAGGACAATAATAAATACATTTCTTTAAACACTTAGCAGCCCTTAACCCCCCCTCCCCTTTTTAAATTCGCCTGAGCTCGGAGCGTAGATGGACCTGCAAAAATTTGTAAATATATTCTAGTTTTAATATCGCAGTAGAATATTAAAGACACATAATAATATTTAATTCAGATACAAATCATGCAACATTAGTACATCAGCTTTCACGGTTAAATCCAGAGTTTAATATCAGGGGCTATTTTGTCAGCTGCCCTTTTGTCTGGGGCCTTTTTGTCAAGGCCCTTTTGTCAAGGGCCTAAATAATCGAGCCGGTTTTGTTGGAGGCACTTTTGACAGGGCCCATGTGTCAGGGGCAGTTTACTTGATCAAAACCAGTATCCTTCACCTTATCGCTTTCAATTGATAGTAGAGGCAGACCAGAAAGCTGTGGCTGTCCCATGGTGGATAGTAGATAGTTCTTAATAAACCGTAGTTTTGAAAAGCTCCACTCGCATGACACCACAGACACACAGATCGTAAGAAGCAATTGAAGGCTTAGCGAGAGTATTGGAAGAGATTCAGGAAGTCCCATTCAGCTATGAATTTTAAAACATCAAATACTGACTATTCCATGATAATATGAGTAAAACAGAGTAGGGTTAAACCTGAAAAAATAAACGCAACAAAACAGCGAACGTGTCGGCAGAAAGCCTTCGTCAGCGAACAAAACAACAGAAAAAACGTTATAAAAATAAGAAATAGCACTTAGCTGGTAAGTAGTATCTGTGGGCAGCAATAGAAGTGTGGCAGAAACGCTGTCAGATGACATACATAGGGGAGACTGGACGCCGTCTCTCGGACAGGTGTACCGAACACCTCCGAAACATTACACAAGATAAACAGTGTCCCGTCTCCAAACACTTCAATAGTAGCGACCACCAGGGCAAGGCGGACTTTTCAATAAGTGCGATTGTGGCTAGCACTAACACCGCCAGCCGGGTCAATTTGGAACACAGACTTATCCTGACTTACGGCACTTTGACGCCAGATGGGATTAATGTTATGTCTCTGTTCACAGCTTGACCCTAGCTCCGCCCCTCCACGTTCTGACCTATCACAGTGAACATTTTTCTCCCCCCTTTTTTTCGCCGCTGCTTATTTAAACTCTCACTCATTTTCCTTCTGCCACACTTCTATTGCTGCCCACAGATACTACTTATCAGCTAAGTGCTATTTCTTATTTTTATAACGTTTTTTCTGTTGTTTTGTTCGCTGACGAAGGCTTTCTGCCGACACGTTCGCTGTTTTATTGCGTTTATTTTTTCAGGTTTAACCCTACTCTGTTTTACTCATTTTATTTTGTACTAACCTGATTGCAGTTTCTCCCCTTATTAACCCCTGACTATTCCATGACTTTGTAATAACAGTTGCCTTTAGGTGTCTTCTAAGCCTTGGTATTTATTTTAAAAGTTCATCTTCTGATAACTCATCACAGAAAGATGTTAATTTTGGTACGGACCCCAATAAGCCTTCACTACCTGAAAATAGACTTTTGGTTTGAGCAACCTCAAACATATCTGCTACTTCCTTTATCGCTGATGATCTGATCTGGAGTTCAGAACCAAAGCGATCAATACATTCCAGCATCTCCCAACTGTTTTCTTTTGCGGAGAGTGTCAGCATCTATCAGTTGTTCTCTTGCCATTCTCTTCTTAAACCTCAATCTTCTCTATGCCAAAATTTCATGTTGGTCTGGTCTTTTTAATAGCATGTTCCACTAAGTCACAGCGCTTCTTAGGCAATAACGATCTTAAGGCCTCAAGGTGCAGATACTGCTGTGTAAGATTAAATTCCTATAGTAGATCAACCCAAAAGTAAAGGTAGCAGATACACGTGAAATCACATAGCATGTAAAAGACCTTGTGCTATATGACAATTGTGCTCAAATGTTAAGGGGCGGTGCTAAAGACAAATCAGCGAAAATATTTATTTATGAGTATTTCTGGGTTTGGATATATTTGGTTTCAAAAACCTTTTTTTTTTAAATTTAATTAATTTAAATTTATTATTAAAAAAATGTTAGAAAATTGTGTAAAATACTATTTTGTTAACCTTAAAAATTGGTAAAAGTAATTTTTTAATGTTTTTAATTTATTACCAATTCGATTCATGTACTTTGAATGGCCCGACCACATCATATTTGGTAATGGAAAGCTTTATTTCTCAGAATTTACCGTATTTTCCGGCGTTTAAGACGACTTTCTAGACCCAAATTAAAGTGCAAAACTTGGGGGTCATCTTATACGCCGGGTACAATGGCCGAAATATAGTTTTAATGCCTGCAGAATACTCCATACCTTGTACAAGAGGTAGCCAGATCGGTGCCAGGCCCGCTGGGTGGTCGGTAGTGGGTATGGAGGCGAATCCCGAAGCCGCCATCTCCGCGTGCGCGTCAAGGTTTAAATAAAATCTGTTAAGTTAGATGTGTTTTGGTGATTTTAATTACCAGAAAGTCAACAGTTTTGTTTAAATCAAATCTGATGTTTTTTTTTTATGTTTCTGATTTTTAAATCAGAAACATAAAAAAAACAAAAACATCAGATTTTAATTAAAAAAAAAGGAAACTCAATGATGGACTGAAATTTTTCCCTTTGAATCATCCACGCTTTCAATGACGTTTTACTAAATGCTGATTTGGGGCTAAATCACAAAATTGCTATTCACACTTTCCTACACACATCTACTATATAAAGCTGGTAAAAAAAATTAATAAAAGTACTCATAGTATAGTAAATCCCTATGTAGGTAAAGCACCCTTCATGAACTATGTGATAATTCTAATCTAATATTCAGCCCTCCTTATACCGCACAATGAACTGTAGTTTCTTAAAATGGTGCAATGTGTATTTTCATATAATTTAAGAATATGATTGGATTAAACAGCTAATATTTTGTTGAAAAAATTATTTCAAATATTTTTTGAAAGCACACTATTCTGCAAACATAGATAAAGCTTCATTTAAAATCCTTGCACCAAATATAAGTTCACCAAAAACTTGCCTTAAATAGATGTTTGAAAGCGCACCATTCTGAATAAATCCATTCCTGTGGCCTAAAGCCCATGTAGGGCTTTGCTCACCACTTCCTTCACTCAGAATGATGCTTTTCTTTTCCATGCTAGGATTCCCAGCTGCTGTACATCTTTTTTCACATCATCCATCCATAAAAGCCCAAGACTCCTTTTGATCCATTTTCTTCTGGAGTTTTGTTGGTGCATCCTTTTCACTCTTCTGTCATTTGGCATTCTTTCTAAGTGTCCTGCCCAGCGTAGCCTGCCCTTTTTTATTCCTGCTACTAGAATGGGATATAGTCTATAAAATTCCTGGTTGGTTTGTATTCTCCATCCATAATCATCTTTTGTTGGTCTATATATTTGCCTGAGAACTTTTCTCTCCCATGTGTTAAATGGGTTTTCTGCCGTTTTTGTTAGGGTCCAAGTTTCACAACATGTTACTTCTGGTCTCATTACAGTTTTATATATAATTTTCTTTGTCTTCCTTGTTTTAAAAAAAAAAATCTTTTGGTTATTTTGTGACTACTGAAGTAGATATTCTTTCTTTTATTTCTGTTTGTAATTAATTTCTTCCACTTATTAAGGAACCTATGTATTTGAATTGATTTACTTTTTCAAAAGTCTGGTTTCTAATTTTAATTGTTTTATTTGTCTGTTCTTCTCTTAAGATAGTCTTGTATTTTGTTTTTTGGTTGTTAGCTACCAGCCCTGCTTGTACCGGTAGTGATGCATATTCTAACTCAATAAAGGGTTTTGATATGTCTTTACTACTTTCCCCTAACAGTGCTTTTTTATCAGAATATGCAAGATACTGAAGGGGTTGGTTGTAGAGGAGTCAATTGTTTGTGGGTCTTGGGGTTTCCCTCAGAGAATATCATGTTATTGTTCCGCAGGTGTCAATATGCATACTTCTTATAACTCTGTCTAATGTTTGGTTAAATAGCATACAAGCCAGTGAGTTGGCTTGTCTTAGGCCTTGTTTGATCTAAAATTCCTTTGAATATTCTCCCTGAACCTGTATTTTGCTTTGTGAGCTGTTTAATTTTATATGTATCAATCTTGTCACTTTGTTGCTTATGCCAAACTCCTGCAGAGTTTCATATAGATAATTTCTTTTGATGCTGACATGGGCCATTTTATAGTCAACATAAAGTCGATGTACAGGGACATCATTTTTGTAACATTTCTCTAATAGGCAACTGATGTTGAAAATCAGATCAGTTGTTGATCTGTTTTTTCTGAATTTGCTAAGTAGTCACCTAGTATTTGTTCAGTGTACGGTTGTAGTCTTTTGGCAGTTAGTTTTGTCAGTATTTTCTATGTAAAATTTAATAGGAAAATTTTTCTGTACTTTGTGCATTGAAGATTGAAACCTTCCTTGTGTATAGGGGTCATTAGTGCTGTTTTCCATTTAAAAAAAAAAATTTCTCTTCTCTTATAAATTTATTTGTCTGAGTGTGTAGTTCTGATCCGCCATATTTAATGTTCTGCCGTTCTGAATAAAGGCCTAAAATGCTTACACCAAAAATAACATAGCTTTAATGTCCCTCAAGCCATGTGAAAATAATATTATTTTACTTTTTACCCTCTACATTTTACAAACAATTTTTAAATATAGCTTTTGGGATAAGAAGGAATGGCCATGTCAAATTGTTAGCGATCCATTGTTTGGTTTTCTTGTGATTGAATAACCCATTTACTACAAACAAACAAACATAGTCACACATTTAGCTTTAAATAATAGATATAAAAAGAGTGGCACACATTTTTTTAGCATACATTATTTCCAAATATTTTAAAATTAATTTCATAAATGTAAGAATCTTATCCTTTCAGTTTTATTATCCTAAGCAAATTGTTTCAGTTCAGTTTTTATATCACAATTATTATTTTTCTTACTAAATCTGAATCCTTTATAAGAGTGATGCATAAAAAAAATCTCATCCTTCAGGAACATTTGAACTGTCGTCAGAATCAGAGGAGGACATTTATGAAGTGATTAATATAAGCAAGATCAAAGCCCACACCCCTAACCTCAAAGTGGTCAACCTCTATGGGATCACATTTCTGGATGACACCCACATTGAGCTCTTGGCCTCCAACTGTATCCACATCGAGTGTCTGGCCTTGAACTTTTGTCTGCGGGTCAAAGGCAGCTCCTTCAAGAACCTGATTCAGCGCTGCAAGAAACTGAAGTCCCTGTTGCTGCATCATGCAGGTATGTTTTAAGGGTGAAATAGAAAAGATTATATGTTTTGGACGATAAAGAAATTTAAATAACACATCATTTTTTATATCTGATCCACTAAACTGCTGAATAAAAGAGACTTGTGGGTCTATGTCAGGGCTGAGAAGTTGGCAGAGAGAAATATGTTATTTAGGAAAGTTAACTTGGGGAACAAGGAAAACAGGGATTATATATCACTAAAAATGACAAAACAAAAGGATATTTTAGGGCGATTAACATACAAAATTAGATGAAATAATAATTGGAATGATCTGTAATAACATAATTTCCTTGGAAGTTGGTCCTCACCAACACAGCCTGAATTTATTAAAAAAATTATCTGGTGTGTGATAGAAATTTGTTAACTCAAGTGCATTGTAGGTTTTTTAAAAAAAGGTTGGAAACCACAGCATATATATAAGAATGAGCTAGAGTTACATAACCCCTAAAGGGAGATATGATTTAAGTACGTTCGGATTCCTAAAAACAATCATAGTTATTTTCTATTAATTTACAGAAATCAAATAAATTTAAATGTGCAAAAAATATTTTAAATCCGCCTTTATTTTCGTAAACGTTTAAATATTATTATTATAAATTACAAATGCATTTAAAATATCAAGTTAGGAATTATTTTAAGCATTTTATATGTGTTTAAAAGTTATGAAAAAATAAAAAAAATGTAAAAATCATGATCTAAGAATTACACGTAATCACATTTATGAGGAAAACCCAAACATCAGTCGTTTTTAGTGCGTTTTTAATATTGCGGGAATAAAGTTTTTAATTAATTTGTTCTAAATAATCTTGCAAAGGACATCATAGCGCCAATGGCTTATTTCTCCAAAACTCTTAGGTTTCTTTAAATTTAATAACCGAGCGTGACAAAACTGATTATGTATTTTCCCTTAATTTAAAAAGCAATCAATTGTAATTATTAATTTTACTTTTAAGGTTAATAAAACACACACACATTTCTGCTGCGTATATTAACATTAAACAGTTTTACCTTTTTGTATTCCAAAAATATGCATTTATAAAAATTATAACGTAATAAAAACTAACCTTTAAATATAATTCTAATAAGAAAATGCGGTTTAAGTCAAACAGTGCAGCGCAGCGCCATAGCCAAATGGCATTAACTAATCCACTTATAACTAAAACAAAAAAGAACGAACCGTATGAAGTGCAAATTATTTTAGTTTGGGTATGGAAGGGACTACATTAACTAAAAAATTCTGTCCCTGGCGTACAGCTGCATAGATGGCTCAGCAATGGAATATCTCAAGGAACTTATTTATAAACATGTACCTCTGAACTGCGGTCTTCTGAGTGTTCCTAGAATGGATGAACACAGAAAAAAGTCTTACGGAGTGCGCTCTTTTGAAGTGATAGTGCCAAAATTATGGAACAGTTTGCCACAATCTTTGAAGGGAATTGTAAATGTTTAAAAATCATTAAGAAACAATTAAAAACTTTTTTGTTTCAATAGATTTCGGAGGACCAGAGCGCAGTGAGCATGCTAAAGTGGCCTGAATACCAGCGCAATATAAATATCAAATCAAATCAAATTAGAAGATTTTTCTAAATTTATTTAAATCTGGGTGGGGGAGGGGTGGTTACTTTGCCTAAGGCAGCACAAGATACGTCTCAAAATAAAGAAATGAATTTGATAAATAATTAACCTTCTTGGGAACATACATTTCGGAGGTAGGAAATAGGATGTGTACATTTTCACGTGGATGATAATATATTTAAATCCTATGGTATTACATTTGGTAAAAAAGAGATGTTACATTCTCTTTTTACAAATATGTGTATGTTCATTTTGCTCAAGGCAGAACAAGATACGTCTCATAATAAAGGAATGATTTTGATAAGTAATTAATTTTCTTGGGTCAATACATGTCGGAGGTAGGAAATAAGATGTTTAACTTTAGTTTTAATAATGATCCCATATTTATTTCTTTGTCTCACTTGGGTGAATGTTTTAAAGAATATGTTCAAGATATGGGGCATGGTTGACTTTGTTTGATTGATTAAGTGCTGGCCAGATCAGGCCTGTGTGGCCATCTCGTGGGTATCTAAGTAGTAGTGGCTGATATAGAACCCAATATTGAATATTGACCATACATTTAGCAATAAGCAGCCCAAACTTCTTAAAGGAAAAAAAGTGGGTGGGGGGGAAGAGAGAGAGACAAAGAGAGAGAGAAACAATACGCTATTTAAAATGATAAACAATTTTAATCAACACAAATTCCCTTTGAAGCCATACTAATTTGTGTAGATTAATATTGTTTATCATTTTAAATAGTTTATTGTTTCTCTCTCTGTCTCTCTCCCCCCCCCCCCCCCCCCCACACTTCCCTTTAAAATTTAAAAATAATAATAATAATAAATGTGCATAGGAATTTTCTAAATAACACTATTGCACGGCTCCCCACAGTGTCTGAAAAAAGTTTGAGGATCCCTGATCTAGGGGATGCCTGAGAATTAGAGCCATTGGTGAGATTCTAGTGGTTCACACTTCTAGAGTAGAGACGTTGTAAACTGTTGGTTAAACCCTTGGAATGCCAGCCCCTTACTCCCACAACTTATTGGAACATTCAGAGGTTATAAAGTTTTAATTGGTTTGAATGATTCTGTCATTCTACAACTTATTGATACATTCAGGGATTATAAAGTTTTAAATGGTTTGAATGCCACTCTAATGCTACAACTTATTGGAACATTCAGAGATTTAACTATCTATGCTTTTTGAATTCACTCCTATCTGTATCTAAACAGAGACTTATTGAAAAATAAAATCATTGACATGTGTTGACAATGAGTAGGATCTTTTTCCAGAAGCGCCTTGATTTTTGTAGTAGATTAATACATTTAGATTTTTGTACATGAAAAAAGTAGACATCCCCTAAAAAAAAATCTCGAATAGGTTTTTTGGGTGCAAAAATGTATATAAGACCAGGTATTATTTTATGAGTAGCTCTATAAGCCTCGATAAAATAGCTCAGGGATGGGCAAACTTTTTGTGAAGTGGCCCACATTGACAAAGATAAAGCTATTGGAAGGCCGCACGTATATTTTGTCCAATTTTTAAATGTCAATAAACATTTCTCTATATTAAAATCATTACATGACAAAAGTCAAGGACTGTTTAAAAAAATAGAAAATTAGAAAGAATTTGATCAAAAGTGTTAAAACAATCACAAAGGTACATGAAATTTAACAGAGTAACTTAAAAACAAAGTAATGTTTTATTTCTAAACGCCTTCGAGGGCCGCATAATATCAGTTGCCGGGCCGCATTTTGCCCACCCCTGCAATAGCTTATTAAATCATTTTGTGGACCGAAAGGGGAAGCTTTGACTGGAGAGAGAATCCCCCAATTTAGAATGTCCTTGCTGTAATTAATGAGGAAATGCCAAGGTTTACCGTATGAAACTGTTCAATCCGCCTCATGTCCAAACAGACCTGTCTCCTTGTCTGGGAATCGATTAGTGATTAGACGCAGAGTCTGGTCACTCCAACAATTTTGTTTTATTTATAGCAACGGTACAAAAGGACATCATTATTTTGAGCGGAGCATGAAGCTATATGATGGATGGTTCAATGCCCGGACTGCTCGTGTCCCACAAAACAAAAGCTCCACGACTCAGAACTTTTCCTCAGCAATCAAGCCAGCGTTTAGCTTCAAATATTGATGGATGTATCATAGGAAGATAGCACGTTTGTTAACATGCATTTTTAGCCTGGATTGTGTCAACATGTAGGCTCACTGCGGAAGAGAATTTTTAATATATATCTGTAAAAGTCGTCCCCCCCCCCTTTGTGTGTTTGTTTTTGTTTTGTTTACAAGATCTTCTATTGTGCAATGTGCATAGTGTGACGTACTTGGATTTAAAGTGTAACGTACTTAATCACACAGAGGCGTGATACCAATGTCAACCGTTAACTTAACACCTACCTTGACAATGTCTTTCAAATGAACATCAAATTATTGGACAAAACATGCTTTCAAGTGACGGATTTTATAAGAATCCCAATAAGCGCTAACATCTGGGAATTTCATTTTGCGCGCCTTTTGATCTCAGCTTGACAGCCCTACGTACAGACCTACATAATTGTTATTTAAGATGTTTCATGACTAAAATATGATCTGACCTGTGCATCACACCAATACAAAGTAAAAGCTTATTTGACGTCTAAGGTCATCTCACCAAGTCAATTATTTACGAATGCCGTTATTTATCATTGTATAGCTTTTGAGTCTAGTTTAAACCTCACATGCGAAATAACCCCTTCCCCCACTTTTTTTTCCCGACGCCTCCACCCTTTTCTACACCCAGCTAGCACGCGGGGAAAAGTTAATGCAATATAATACCTGTGTATACCACAGTCAAAAGGTCATGAGTGGGAAAAAATAGTTTCCTCTTAGCACTGGATAAATTTGCTTGAACCCGATGCGCACTAACACAACGAATACCATCTGTACGCCAAGGCTGATAATAGCTCACTGGGACGTTGCATTCGACAAAATACTATAGAGCAAGCTCAGTCGAACCCACCCATCTTCGACCTTTCTCGTCTTCGTTTGTCCCCGCCACTGACTCAAAGCAGCGATCAGTAGCTTCAGTTTGGCGTTACACCATTCAGAGATATGTGGAACTACCTATAGCCGGCCAAAACAATGGCGGTCGAAATGCGTGAACTTCCACTAATATTACTTGACGCACTTTATAAGATTACATATTAGTGCCAACGCACCCCCACCCCCGTACGCCACTGCTCCTGAACTATATTACTATTCTAATGCCCCACCCCTTTTATAAATCCTTTATACTAACTTCTCTTTTGCTCGTGTGTTTCTGTGTTTTAGGCAAACATCTTCGTACAGCTTATTGACCCACGTCCCGTCATCCTATCGAACATGGCCCATAGACTTGTTTCCAATGACAACACATGCTTACAAAATTTCAGCCCCACTCCAACCCCCAAAATCTGTTTTTCCTGTTTTTCAAGAGGAAGATGAATGAAATATGATTTATTCAATGGTTGCGTGTTTGGGTGTTGAGATTAATTGTGTAGCTGTTGCTATGTGCTTTGTATTAGTGGTGTATTGGGGGCGCAGTAAAAGCAACATTTATTTTAGAAGGGGAAAATGAGGGAAATAGGAAATGTGTTTTTGCCATCTGGTAGTGTTAGGGGCATTGATGCATAGAGAGTTATATGATTTGATTAATTATGGTTAATTTGACCTACTGTTGATTTTCTTGCATTGTGGGCCGGGCGAGGTGGAGCAAAATGACCAGTTTGGGGTATTGTTCAGTTGAGATTTATTCCCAATGTCTGAATGTCCCCAAAACTTCTGTTGACGCGGCTTGTGTGGATTTAATAAATACTTGGTGTAACAGGTGTCTTGAGGTTAACAATTGGATCAGAGCCTATTAAATGGAAATAATGGTGTACGATAGACAATTGTTCATTTATCAAAGCTGTATTCGTTATTTATATATACACGTAATCAGGGCCTGATTGAAATATACACGTCATCAGGGCCTGATTGAAATATACACGTAATCAGGGCCAGATTGAAATATACACGTAATCAGGGCCAGATTTAAATATACACGTAATCAGGGCCAAATTTAAATATACACGTAATCAGGGCCAGATTTAAATATACACGTAATCAGGGCCTGATTGAAAATGACCCCACCAAACCCCCCCCCCCCCACCTAACCCCTTTTGAGAAAAATTTGTCGGTCAGGGCTTCAATGAACCAATAAAACATGGACTGATGGGCGCAGGGACAAAACTGCCAACACAAAAGGTTTGAAATATAGTATTCATCGAGCCTATTAGTATCACTTAACAGGTCTATAGCTTTTGGGTAAGACTAGACGCTAAACTTACAATGTAGTGTACAGACGCAGTTTGATATCTTGATGATAATTCACTGTTGCTGTTCTGCTATGCTATAGCTTCAAAAATATAAATATAAAAATAATTTGCAACTGAAAGGAGATAAGTTCAACTAAAATTAATTCCAGAAGTTGTGAGAATGAAAAAAGACAGAATGGGCACCACAAAAAAAAAAAAAAGGTGTGGGGGCGGGGTGGGGTTAAAGAAAATTCCAGTGGACATGAAAGAAATGGTTGTATTAGACCAGAGTCAATTGATTCTTTTTAAAAAAATATAAAAATAAAAATAATTTGCAAATGAAAGGAGATAAGTTCAACTAAAATAAATTCCAGAAGTTGTGAAAAAAAAAAAAGACAGAATGGGCACCACAAAAAAAAAAAAAAGGTGTGGGGGCGGGGTGGGGTTAAAGAAAATTCCTGTGGACATGAAAGAAATGGTTGTATTAGACCAGAGTCAATTGATTCTTTTTGTAATTCTTTCGTTACCCGGTACCGTATTAATTTCATAATCACGACACCGCGAATGTGAATTGCGAGCAAACTGTATATTCCTGCGTCATTACAACAATACAATTGATCAATGTCACATTTACTCAAATTTATTTAAGTCATATAAGCGTTAACTAAAACTAAAACGCTATCATACAAATCGTGTAACTTGTGTTTATTTGTCAACAAGTGTACACATCTTCCCTTGCGATTGCTATGTTAAATTCATGTAAGATAACCCTTACATTGGCATTGGCATTCAGTAAGTCATTGCTTTCATCAGGTATGTTGCACTTAACTCCCTTTGGCATCCCTGGTAATTTCAGTTCATTTTACTCTAACACACTGCAGTCTTTTCGACCAGGCTTAATTTCTTATGCGGTAAAACAAAGAGACATTTGAAATGGAAAAAAGTTTCCTTTTTTAAAAAAAATTATTTATAAATGTTGAACATCTTTTTATCTTAATTTGTGACTTTACGTTGCTCTTTAAAAGTTTGCTGGAATTCGGGTTACATTTAATACGGTAACCTGGGACTCTGCGGTGTTTGGGAGGGTATCCGGGGGTTATTGGGAACCCGCCCCCCCCCTTTTTGTTTTTGTTTCCAAGGCAAAACGTTTGGTGAAAATTGTCTGAAAGACACGCTTTCCCCAAGGGCAAAGAACAACTTCACTAGTGTACAAAAGCAAACAAAAAGCAAAAAAAAAAAACAAGGCCAAACGAATAATGTTATCAAATAACAAACGTATAAGATCTTTAACTTAGTTATTATGATTTTGAAATAGCAGCCATATAGAAGAAAAATTGGTTGGTCCTGATTGAGACATCGCAACCCTGACCGGCTGGAGCCGTGAGTCTATTTTCCATTGCTCCCAAATTGGCTGTTATTTCCATTTCTTTTAATTTGATTTGTAGCTCTTTCTGTGCTTCCAACTCCAGCTGTTTAAGCTCTCGTTCTTTTTCTCTCTGGGCATCTAGTTCCATCTGTTTGAGCTTTAGTTGGAGCTCCATACTTGGATCATTCGGTTGTGTGACTGAGGCCAGTTCGTCCTCCGACAACAACTCTTCGTCCACTAAGTGGATTATGATCATATCTCGTATGGTCTTTTTTACAGCTGAATGAGCTACATTTATTCCTAGAGCTTTAGCAATGGAAAATAGCTCCTTTCTAGAACATTTGTCTAATTCCTCAACTGATGGGTTTTCAACATCAAAATCCATTTTTACACAGGCAAAATACAACACTGATTTTTATAAAAATTTAAACTTAGTGCACACACTAATCTAAATGAATTTAAAAAAAAAAAATTGTAACCAGCTCTGTTGTTGGTATCGTAAAATGGTATCGTGTAATCAAATTTAGCTGAGTATATTAAAGTAAACAGTGGGTCAAAATCCACAGAAAAACACTCAATTTATTATTGGTGTAATAAAAATTATGGATTAAAATTATCCTCGGAAAAGCCACAATTTGTTAAAATTGGAGTCTAATATGAGAAATAATAATAGTAGTATGAATTTAGTATTATCGCGGACGAGCAGCCCAATTTGTTACGCACTGACTTGTATTGGGAGAAATTAATCTCCTATTTTAATTTTAATTGGCTCGTTGTAAACAGTGCCTAACAAAGGACGATACCATATAATCAACAATATTAAGGATACGACCCAAAACAGTTTCTAGTCACAATTAATTACGATTTATTATGTCTTAAGATAATTACAAAATAAAATAAAATTACAATCTTCAACTTACAGTATGGCAGATGTCGTACCGGTACACAGTTAATACAATTAGAAATAATGATGCCAATAAATAATGCGAAATAAACACATATAAGTAGGAGCACACAAATACACAAAGAATAAAACACGCCTCGTAATTGTTAAGAGAATCTATCTCAAAAAATCTCCCTCGTCGTGCCTGTCAATCCCTTATATATATGTGGAGTAAGATGCTTCGAGAAGGGCTTATGACGTGTTGTTTACATATCTCGGGTTAAGGAGTATATTCCAGAAATTACCCGAAAACAATCTACCCAATGCGTAATTGGAAGCCGATTGTAAACAAGCCACTTCAAAGACCTAAGCCACACCCCTTTGTGAACACAGCGTCTCATGCGGGGTCAATCAGAGGGCACGCACGAGAAATATTATGTAAACAAGCTCTCTATAACACCTCCCCTCTTAAAAGAAAAAAAATTCATTGTTCAAAAATGGAATTCTTTTTCCATTAAAATTGAAGAAAGTACATTTCTTACTCTCAAAATATAAGACAAAAAGCTTCTTAATAGCTTATAAACAATAACATAAGTGAAAATTAATTTCTGGACAAAGTATCTGCAATGACATTATCTTTGCCTTTAATGTGTTTGATGTCCAAATTATATTCTTGTAAAAATAGGCTCCATCTTAACAATCTTTGATTTTTGGAGACCATCTTATTCAAAAATGTTAAAGGATTGTGATCAGTAAAAACAAGTACTGAATGTAAAGAACAACTGACATAAAAATCAAATTGTTGGAGAGCAAGAATTAAACCTAAACATTCCTTTTCTACAGTGGAATAGTTTTTCTGATGTGAGTTGAATTTCTTTGAGAAATAAGAGACAGGATGATCTACATTGTGGTCATCTTCTTGAAAAAGAACTGCACCAATGCCAACATCACTGGCATCTACAGCTAATTTAAACTGTTTGTTAAAGTCTGGTGCAATGAGAACAGGAGCATTAGCAAGTATATTTTTAATGTTTTCGAATGCTTCCTGACAAGCATCTGACCAATGAAATTTTGCATTTTTCTTTAACATATTACTTAAAGGAGAAGCAATAACTGAGAAATTTTTGCAAAATTTTCTATAATAACCTGCCATTCCCAAAAATCTCATTAACTGTTTTCTAGTAGTGGGTGGTGGAAGTGATACAATAGCATTTATCTTAGCTTGAACAGGCTTTACATGACCTTGACCCACTATGTGACCTAAATATTCCACAGTTGCATGACAAAATTCACATTTATTTAAATTTACAGTTACATTTGCCTGCAAAAATTTTTTAAACAGAGATCTTAATTGGTTTACATGAGATGAAAAATCTTGACTGTAAATAATTACATCATCAATATAGGCGCTGCAATTTTCCTGGTCAGCAATAATGTTATTTACAAGACGTTGGAATGTAGCTGGGGCATTTTTCATTCCAAACGGCATTACTTTATATTGATATAAACCATCTGGAGTACAAAAAGCAGAGATTTCTTTTGCTCTGTCAGATAGAGGAACCTGCCAATAACCTGATAGTAAGTCTATCTTGGTTACATATTTGGCATCACCTATTCGATCTATAAGATCGTCTATCCTTGGAATCGGAAAGGAATCAGTCTTTGTGAATGCATTCACTTTCCTGAAGTCAGTACAAAACCTGTAACTTTTGTCAGGCTTTGGGACTAAAATACATGGTGAACTCCAGTTACTAGAGCTTGGTTCAATTATATCATTTTCAAGCATGTATTTTATTTCAGACCGGATTATTTCAAGTTTTTCCGGATTGACCCTATAGGGGTGTTGCTTGACCGGAACTGCATTGCCAATGTCAACATCATGTACAGCAATGTTGGTTTTATTAGGTACATCAGGGAAGAGTAAAACAAAATCTGCAATAACAGACTTAACAACATCCTTCTCTGACAATGACAAATGTCCTAGTTTCTTATCTAAGTTGGCCAATACTTCTGAATTTTTAAGTTTATAATTACCAACTTTTTCTGGGACACTATCAAAGGTTTCAGTAACATTTTCTTTAAGTACTGAAGTTACAGTTGAGATTGTGTTAACATTTGTTTCTGAGGATGGACAATGATCATCACATTTTCTATCAAAATATTCTTTTAACATGTTAATGTGACATAACTGTTTCTTTCTTTTACGATCTGGTGTTAACACAATGTAATTTAAATCATTGATTTTGGACTCAACAACATAAGGACCAAAATATCTAGCTTGTAGTGCTTGCCCTGGTATCGGCAAAAGCACAAGCACTTTGTCCCCTGAAGCAAACTGTCTGAATTTTGACTTTTTGTCATACCAAACTTTCATTTTAGATTGTGAATCTTTTAAATGTGTTTTAGCCAAATTAACGGCATTAAAAAGTTTAGTTTTAAATTTTTGGACATAGTCAAGAAGTCCTTCCGTGGGTGTCGATGACATCCACGTGTCTTTTAAAAGTTTAAGGGGACCGCGAACCGTGTGGCCAAACACCAGTTCGAAGGGGCTGAATCCAAGTGATTCTTGAACTGCTTCTCTTGCGGCGAACAGTAGCATGTTGATGCCTTCATCCCAGTCTTTCTCTTGTTCTAGGCAGTAGGTTCTCATCATGTTCTTCAACGTCTGATGGAATCGCTCAAGTGCTCCCTGTGACTCAGGATGATATGCACTCGACAAGCAGTGTTCTATGCCCAACTGGTTCATCACTTGTTTGAATATTCCAGCCTTGAAGTTGGTTCCTTGGTCAGACTGTACAGACTTCGGAAGACCAAACAATGTAAAAAACTTCGTCAAGGCTTTGACGATGTTCGGAGTCTTGATATTGCGAAGAGGAATAGCTTCTGGGAATCTTGTTGACGCACACATGATTGTCAGCAAGTATTGGTGACCTGATTTTGTCTTTGGCAGAGGTCCAACGCAGTCTATAATAACGCGACTGAAAGGTTCTTCGAATGCTGGAATGGGTTGAAGAGGAGCTGCTGGTATCTTCTGATTTGGTTTCCCTACAACCTGACAAGTATGACATGATCTGCAGTATTCAACCACATCTTTCTTGATTTTGGGCCAAAAGAAGTGCGACGTGATTTTGTGATATGTCTTCTTTACTCCCAAATGACCTGAAAGTGGTGAGTCATGGGCTAAGTTCAGGACTTCGTTCCGGAATGGGGTAGGAACTACTATTTGATGAACTATCCTCCATTCTTCGTCAGCATTTGCGTCTGGAGGTCGCCATTTTCTCAAAAGTATGTCATCTTGAAGGTAATAACATATAGGGAATTGTTCAGCTTCTTCTTGGGTCAAAGCGTTCTCTCGAAGTTTGACTATTTCTGGATCACTCTTCTGTTCTTCAATAAGTTGCATTCGAGTTGGAGTCTTGTAATTACTAGCCTCTTCATTTAGACTTGCAAAAAATGTTTTTCCCAGGTCAATTTCAGGAAGAATTTTATTGCTTTTTTGTGAAATCTCTTTTGTGGAGATCTTGGAACTCATGGCCCTTGTCACAGCACATGCTGGATACAATTCTTGATCTTCTTCCTGATTTTCATTTAAACAAGGTTCATGAGTAACGATGGGCTCGGCTATCACCTTCCCACCAGCTAAGTCATTGCCTAGCAGCAACGAGATGCCGTCCAATGGTAATGTTGGTCGGACACCCACAACCACAGGTCCGGAGACTAAGTCTGATTTTAGGTTGATGAGATGTAAAGGTACATCTATGCATCCCAGCTCTACACCTCGTAACAGGATGTTGCTCCCAGTAGCAGTAGATTCAGACAAGGGAAGTATACCCTCAAGTAGTAAGGACTGTGAAGCACCTGTATCTCGTAAGATTTTGATTGGTTGTAGACTGGAAAAATCACCTGGCAGTGATACGAATCCTTCCGATATGAAAGGCATGAAGTCTTGTATGACATCAGTAGTTTCTGATGTAGAATTTTGGACCTTGGTAGGTAAACTCTTGTTGGAGTCTTGAGAACATTCGGCTAGGGTAGAGGAAGTAAAACTCTGGGTAGAGTCGTCAAAACTTGCACACAAGTCCTCAGTAAAACGCCCTCTGGAGGTAGACCTCTTCTTGGAGCAAAAGGATCTTGGCGACAAGCTCATAAAACTCGCAGTCGAAGCAGGAACTTGGCTGGAGTCAGTAAAACTAGCCTTATTGTTCATAATGGAACTCTTTGATGAGTCGTGACAAACCTCTTTGAAGTTTGTATGGACATCTGGAGAGCAAAAACTCTTGAATTTTGAAAATGTGTTTCCAGATGTATGACGAGACGTACAAGCGGAGACTTTGTGTTGTGTACCAGGATGTGTGGTCTTCTCAGTTTTCTTCTTGAGTTTCCAGCAATCATCCCTCGTATGTCCTTCTTTTTTACAGTAGGCACATGTGTCTTTTGCACCAATTTCTTTCGTACCGGGCTTGAATGGTTTTTGTGGAGGTTTACTGTAAGTTGATACAGCTGTCTTATTGTGCCTGTCATTTTTGGTGTCAGATGGATTCTTGGAAAGTTGATGTGAGATGGTGAAGTCGTCGGCTAACACTGCTGCCGTATGTGCGTCACCTTCGCCACGGTCTGCAATATGTATTCGCACCTCAGTACGAACACAGTTCTTGAACTCCTCCATCAGAATGAGGTTCTTGAATTTCTTGAAGTCTGTCTCGGTGTTGGTTGCGTGCAGCCACTTGTCCAGGAGCCGTTCCTTTTCCCGGAGGAACTCAACATGAGTCTGGCCATCACGTTTCCACAGTTCCCTAAACTTTTTACGGTATGCTTCGGGGACACATTCATAAGCCTTAAGTATTAATGATTTTACTAGGTTATAGTCCCCGCGCTGTTCCGCATTCAGGGACACAAAGACTTCAGATGCCCTTCCGGTCAAGGCTGGTTGAAGTAAGGTGGACCACATAGTTTCAGGAATTTTAAAATTTTGGGCAGTTATCTCAAACTGCGCAAAATATTGGTCAACCTCTTTTTCTGTAAATTTAGGGATTACTTTTGCAAATTTAATTGCATCGCAACCCTGACCGGCTGGAGCCGTGAGTCTATTTTCCATTGCTCCTAAATTGGCCGTTATTTCCATTTGTTTTAACTTTATTGTTAGCTCTCTATCTTTTTCTTCTTTCTCTCTCTGAGCTTTTAGCTCCAGCTGTTTAAGCTCTCGTTCTTTTTCTTCTTTCTCTCTCTGAGCTTCAAGCTCCAGCTGTTTAAGCTCACGTTCTTTATCTAGCTCCAGCTGTTTAAGCTCACGTTCTTTTTCTCTCTGGGCATCTAGTTCCATTTGTTTGAGCTTTAGTTGGAGCTCCATACTTGGATCAGTCGGTTGTGTGACTGAGGCAAGTTCATCTTCAGATAACATGTCTTCATCCACAAAGTGAACGATGATCATGTCTCGTATGGTCTTTTTTACGGCCGAATGAGCTACATTTATTTCTAGAGCTTTAGCAATGGAAAATAGCTCCTTCCTAGAACATTTGTCTAATGCCTCTACTGATGGGTTTTCAATATCAAAATCCATTTTGACACAGGCAAAATATAACAATGATTTTTTTATAAAAATTTAAGCTTAGTGCACACACTAATGAAAAAATTGTAACCAGCTCTGTTGTTGGTGTCGTAAAATGGTATCGTGAACTCAAATTAGTTTGAGTGTATTAAGGTAAACAGTTTGTCAAAATCCACAGAAAAAACGCTCAATTTATTATTGGTGTATTAAAAACTATGGATTAAAATTATCCTCGGAAAATCCCACAATTTGTTAAAATTGGGGTCTAATGAGAATAAAATATGGATTCGGTTATCGCGGACGATGCCCCCAATTTGTTAGAATTGGGGTCTTGAGAAAAATAATAATATAGAGTCCGCTATATCCGGGACGAGCAACCCAATTTGTTACGCACTGACTTGTATTGGGAGAAATTAATCTCCTATTTTAATTTTAATTGGCTCGTTGTAAACAGTGCCTAACAAAGGACGATACCATATAATCAACAATATTAAAGATACGACCCAAAACAGTTTCTAGTTACAATTAATTAAGATTTATTATGTCTTAAGATAATTACAAAATAAAATAAAATAAAATTACAATCTTCAACTTACAGTATGGCAGATGTCGTACCGGTACACAGTTAATACAATTAGAAATAATGATGCCAATAAATAATGCGAAATAAACACATATAAGTAGGAGCACACAAATACACAAAGAATAAAACACGCCTCGTAATGTTAAGAAAATCTATGTGAAAAATCTCCGTCCCCTCGTGCCTGTCAATCTCTTATATATATGTAGAGTAAGATGCTTCGAGAAGGGCTTATGACGTGTTGTTTACATCTCTCGGGTTAAGGAGTATATTCCAGAAATTACCCGAAAACAATCTACCCAATGCGTAATTGGAAGCCGATTGTAAACAAGCCACTTCAAAGACCTAAGCCACACCCCTTTGTGAACACAGCGTCTCATGCGGGGTCAATCAGAGGGCACGCACGAGAAAATATGATGTAAACAAGCACTCCATAACATAAATGTTTGTGCCACAAATGTCTAGGTCAACACCAACTATTTCCAACTGAAAATGTCATTTCTCTTTTGAGATATGGAAATTTAAAGTTTCTTAATAACTCGATTGAATTAAAAAAAAAAAATTATTCTTTGATTTACAGGTGTTGAAGATGACCACATGATCAGTGTGCCCTGGGAGACCTCCTCCATTCATGAGCTGGACCTTACATCCACTGAGCTATCTGCTAATTGCTTGGAGAACATCCTGCTTCGTATGCCTGGATTCACCTACTTGGCTCTGGGCTATTGTGAATTCTTTAATGACAAGGTATGTCAACATTGTGTTACTTGGATTCATAGACCCTTTACCCAGTCAACCCCCTTATCCAATTGACCCCTTTGTCCAAAAGATCCCTGTACCCAGTTGACACTTTTACCCACCCCTTTACCAATTAGACCACTTTACACAATAGATCCCTTAACAAAGTTAACCACTTTGCCCAATGTACCCCTTAGCCAAGAGGACCACTTGACCCAGTTGACCCTTTTTCACAGTTGCCCACTTAACCCAATTGACCAATTAACCGAGTTGACCATTTTTCTCAATTGACACCTTTAGCCACCCCTTTTCCCCAGTAGACCATTTTACCCAGTAGACCCCTTTACCCAGATGACCCCTTTTTTACCCACTTGACCCATTTAACAAGTTTCTACGACTACCAAGTGATTATTTCTTGGATATTTATTAATTGCCTTCATTTATATGCTGACTATACTGCAGTTGGTGGGGGGGGGGGATGTCTGCAGATTCAATTTCTGACACCACCTTTTGCCTTAACCTTAAGTGTCCACTCAGCTACATATATTATGATATATGTGGTTAATTTTTTGCTAAATATATATTTATCTGTTCTATTTGCTGACTACAGATTTTGGAAAAGCTGATGGAGAAAGGTAAATTCAATCGCCTCCAAGCCCTGGACATAAGTCACACACATGCCTTAAGTGAGAACGCCATCTATCAGTTCATACAGACCCATGGACACAATCTACGGGGACTGATGCTGGCTGGGAAACCAAAGCTTACTGAGAATTTTTGGCTCAATGCTATCCCTTATTTGAAGAACATCAAGTAACTGAATTTTGTTTTGGATCTTGTTATTTTGGCTGGATTAATGACATTTTTTAGAACTAATTCTGAAGCTGAACTAATGTCAGATGCCGTTAACCAAGTGGCATAAGGTTGGCGGGGTGCTTGCGGAAAGGGCTAACTACCCATTTTTGGGGGGAAGGGGAAGCAAAAAATCTTTGCCTGCCCCGGGCGGCACTGACCCTAGCTACACCACTGTTATGACCTCATTCAAAGTCACTAAATATATTCCCACCTCTCTCAAGTCTCCACCTCACCCAGAATGGGGCTTGACCTAAGGCTACACAAAAAAGGTGTGTAAGGGGGGGGGAGGGGGGGTTGTGTTGTGTATCAATTAAAATTTTTAAGTTCTCTTGTAAACTTAATCAGACAAGTTCTTAAAATTTTAATTTGTACCTCCTACTAGTCCTACTTGAAATTGTTTGAGAAGAAAACATTTCAAAATTGTAATGAGTTTTTGTAAAGGGCTTATTACTTTTAGTTTTTAAATCAATAACTTAATTTTTAAAATAAAAATAATTCCACCACAAAGCATCATAATGAATTTGGAGTTTTAAAAAAAAAATATATCGATAAACTTAAAGGAATATTGGAAATGAAATATTGTCAACCCTACTTATTATATAATATTAACTCCATTAAAATCCGAAAACTCTAGCAGTGACCTGTAGGTATTAAGTTGTATTACTTATTTCCAGATTTGAAAATGACAGCATTGATTTTTTGGATTGCTTTAAATCTAAAGTATAATTATTTATTTTCAGAATCTGTGTTTTAGGCACAGCCAATGGGTGGTTCCTGAAAATGCAGTCTCGTATCCATGTTGATCAGATTGTAGAAGCCTTTGCTCAGCATTGCCCCAGATTAGAACGCTGTGAGATCCAGTGGGATCCAGATACCATCCGCTTTAGTGATAAGAGTAATAAATTCATTGATCACATCAGGTAAGAATAATTTCTGTTGCGCTGGCCAAAGACACATCCAAAACAAGAGATGTTAAAATGAATCCATTAGTGTAGAGAAATTGACAAAATGCTATATTTCAGGTTCAGAATAGGGATGTTAAATTGTTTTGTTTTTGGCAAAGTAGTTTTTTAAAACCGGCTTCAAACTGGATTTTGGTTTGAAAGTTAGATCTTGAGTTTTATTAGAAATAAAGAGTCTACATAGGGGTGTGTTTTGGGTGTGTGTGTGTCTTGGGTGAGTTCCCACACTTTTCCCTCCAGGACGTGACCCGTATTTGCAATGCATTCTAAATATTTCCTCCCAGTCATGTCATATCAACATGAAATTGTTTAAGACAAAACAATCCATGGGTGTAAGGAAAGGGGACGGAGAGGGCTGTTAGCTCCTTTTTTGAAGGGGGGAGAGGGGGCCGACATTTTTCAGTGCACTCCATATACTTTAAAAAGCTTCTTTTTTTATCTTTATGAATTGTCTTTACATTGTAGTTTTAGTTATTTTGTGTGTGTGTTATTGCAAGTTTATTATTTTGTTATATATGTTTTAAATCTGATTAGAATTGAGTCTTTTTTGATATCGTGATAAAAAAAACTTATGTAACCATTTTGTGAAAATCAACAAAACCAGTTTTAGTTTAATATTGCTCAGTTCAGAACCATTTGAGAGTTAAGAGCCTTTGGGGCATTGCCCAATGGGTAATTAAGGGCCCTAATTTTTTATTACCGTAGAATGTTGTTAACACTTGCTTAATTATTAAATTGCAAATGTTTTAGAATTATGAATTTTAGACATGACGAAGGGGAGACAATTATGTATATTGTATCACTAGAAACACATTTCTGTCTGTAAATCCAATTATTTTCTTTTCATCACTCCATAGGCTACGATGTCCAGGTCTCAAGTCTTTTGCCCTCAGTGATGGTGAATATTATGAGATGGTGAAATCCAATTTTGAAAGGGCAGACAGGGTAAAAGTGGTGAGGACATGCACAAATTACACTACCAGCATTGTGGGCCTGCTCACCAACTACAATGATTTATTGTTCAACTGATTGAGTCCATAGATTGACGTCAACCCACCCACCGTTTCATAATCAAAGTATACACCATTTTTATTTCAGTACATTTAAATTCTATATTCCCTGCAACAAATTATCAAAATATTGATGATCAACTTCTTATTTTGACTTCTTTCCCCCAAGACACTTTGCAATGAATGTAAGTTTCTTCTCAACCCACCCACCCCTTATTACTTAATATTAGTTTAGATGATCACATTTGATCTCACATATCAGTTTTTATATAACAGAGATAAGAGAAAAGATGTGGTTGTAAAGACTCTATTAGATTTTACATTAAAACAAGTTCTACTTGCATGGAAAATGCCTGGGTAATTATAGTAATATGATCTTGAAATAATTTTTCTGAAGCAATTTCTGTGCATTACTCTGGGGGTTTAAGAAACTTAATTTAAGTTTTTTTATTTGGGATAACCTTGAGACTAACATGTAATTTTTCGCTCAAGTTGCTCAAATACTACTCAAGGGGTAGATAATTCTAGAACAAAATGAGCACTTTTAAACTGTGCTGAACATTAAATTAAATAATTAAATATAATCTATATTAAATATGTATTTTGTATGCCCCTTACCGTAAGACAAATCAAAACTTCTATGACATAACAAATATATGTACACAATCAGTATTTCCACATTGCTTTGATATTTTTTCTAAGTTGACCCACATTTTAAGAATCTCATCTCCTGTAAGATGCATCACATAAATGTATGTTGATGTCTGTGAATGTGTAAGGCAGGCCTAACAAATAGTTGTATATAAGTCATGTGTTTATTCTGTCAAGGTTTTAAAAATTGGGCCAGGCATCAGGTTTAAGGGCAAGGTCAGAACTTGGCAGTCTTGAAAGAAACATGCACCTGAAAATGGATGCCCTTGGACTAGATCCTAGATAAATTAAGTCTGAAAAAAATTATCGTCAGCAGGACCTGACATTTTGAACATGATTTATCATGAGCAATTGTGTTCATCTCTGCTACATGATCCATTGTCTGTGTTTTGATGTAACCTATCAGTGTCACTAACAGGTTGTTAATTAGGGAATAGTTGCAGAGCATCCAGAGTTGCCCACTGCTTGTTGATAGTCAGGTAACTTTTGTCTCAGTCAGGTGTTGGTAGCCATTTGATCACATCCTGTTACTGTCTTGCTTAACACAGAGTTGTCCTTGATGGGGTGTTTCAATTAGGTTCTGAGATGACTGGCTTAATTGACCTGTAGGGTCTTGAGTGTGTCAGCACCATTGCCATCTCAGTATTCTTGGAAAGGAAACTTGAGGTGCTCACCAGAAGCTTTGAGCTAAAACAAAATGAATCAAAGACATTATTTGTAATTATTCTAATGTGACTTTAAAAAAAATTTGTTAACACTATCTCAAGATTTAAAAATTAAAAAAAAAATTATTTACTATTCCTTTTGAAATGAATCCACATATTGACAACGATAAACTAGATCATCTATTAAACTAAGGTGTCTATGGATGATGAGAGAAAAACTGCAGTGATTCTCATCAAGAATATTTCTGATTTATCTGAATTCTTTGAACCAATAAAAAGTTTGAAAGATTTATGAAATGAGCTATCCATTGATTGTAGCACAGCTTCAGTTTGCCTCTGTCTGATGAGACACAAGGATCAACACATACCATGTGACTAACTTATGATGTCATATCCTGGTTATGTGGGGAAGAGTTCCACATTTATTGGGGCAAAGATATTATGGCCTTATTCTTTTTCATAAATTTGCTCCAATTTATGCAGACATTCTTTATATTATATATTTGTGTAAATCTGTGCACAAAATGACAATCTGCTGTAACCCCTGGATCAACCAGGTATCCTGCTTTGAATAATGGCAGATTTGGTTGTTTTATTTTTTTTAAAGAAATATTTCGTTGATAACATTCTAGAGACATTAATAGAGTGTGTTTAGAGAAAGTGAATATTGTTAGAGTTCAGATATTTCCTCCAATGAGACGAAACTCTGATTGTTTGTGTTACTTTGCCCATTTTATTGTAAAATTGTATGACAATTACCCATAATTAACCACCATCAAGGCCAGGGATTGGCAATACACACACACACACACACACACAAATCATCCTCTTTTCAAACTCTCCATCTGTGTAGTGAGTTTGGGGCCATCCATATAGTATATACGCAGGGGGGGGGGGCGCGACCTTTTTTAAATTCTAAAAAGTACAAATTGAAATAGTGAATAAATTATCAAAATAAAATAAATGGTTGGGTAAAAATAACTAAAACATGTATGTAGGTCACTAAGCGTCATCTAGTAACTGCAAACTGCTAGATTGGATTAAAAGTGGAAATAAAATTATGAAAATTGAGTAATTATTTGGGGTGCCCCTTGGAAGAAGCCGAAGCAACAAAGGACAGCGCCATGCAGAGGAAAAGCGCTATGCCGAGGAAAAGTGCCATGCCGAGGAAAAGCGGAAAATGGTGTCACTTCATTTATAGTACTGGGATGGACAAGTAAAAAAGACGCCTTTTGGTCCCCCTTGTCTTTCTGAAGTATGTCGGATTATATATTTAATTAAACATTAAGGTCCTAACTAAAGACTATTTTGGACCTCAATTCATCTGCCCTCTTTGCCCCATTCTCAAGGCTCTGCCCAAGGGTAACGTGACATCCCAGAGGAAAGTGGCAAATATTATGGAACCACTGGGCTAACCAAACCTGTGAATCAGTGGGGTCGGGGGTTCGAAAATATGACTTTTTATTTTTGCGTACATACTAAATGGATGGTTCCTTATTATGGTTATTGTTAGTTAGCTGTAAGCTGTTGGTTGTCTATCCCTGATTTATACTGAACCTTATTTATTTATTTAAAAGCTTGATTAAAAAGTCGTGTGCAATATTTTACCACCATAAAATTGTCCTTGTTATCTCAATATGGCTGTTGCATGTCAAACTGTTAACCTGGCTACCGTAAAAAAATACAATAATATAACATAGCCCATAATAGGCACAATAAATTTGTATGAACAGTTAAAGATACAACATAGTCATAGGTACAGCATTGATAAAGCCACAACAGATTTGGATATAACATAGGCAAATTATGTACAACAGAGTTGGATATAACGTAGACAAATGTACAACAGAGTTGGATATAATGAAGAAAAGTGTAAAACAGAGTTGGATATAACATAGGCAAATGTACAATAGAAATGGATATAATGTAGGCAAATTACAACAGAGTTGGATATAACATAGAAAAATGTACAACAGAGTTGGATATAACATAGACAAATGTACAACAGAGTTGGGCATACCATATACAAATGTACCACTGAATTGGGCATAACATTGACATATGTACAACAGAGTTGGGTATAATGTAGGCAAATGTACAACATAGTTTGGTATAACATAGACAAATGTACAACATAGTTGGTATAACATAGACAAATTTACAACTAGGTATTCTAAATGTACAACCGAGTTGGATATAACATAAGCAAATGTATAACAGAGTTGGATATAACAGACAAATGTACAACAGAGTTATATATAATGTAGACAAATGTACAACAGAGTTATATATAATGTAGACAAATGTACAACAGAGTTGGACATAATGTAGGCAAATTACAACAGAGTTGGATATAACAGACAAATGTACAACAGAGTTGGGCATACCATTTACCAATGTACCACTGAATTGGGCATAACATTGACACATGTACAACAGAGTTGGGTATAACGTAGGCAAATGTACAACATAGTTTGTTATAACATAGACAAATGTACAACATAGTTGGGTATAACATAGACAAATGTAAAACAGAGTTGGGCATAACATAGACAAATGTACAACAGACTTTGATATAACGTATGCAAATGTACAACAGTTGGATATAACGTATGCAATTGTACAACATAGTTGGGTCATATCATAGACAAATGTACAACATAGTTGGGTATAACAGACAAATGTACAACAGAGTTGGATATAACGTAGGCAAATGTACAACAGAGCTGGATATAATGTAGACAAATGTACAACATAGTTGGGTATAACAGACAAATGTACAACAGAGTTTCGCATACCATAGGCACATGTACAACATAGTTGGGTATAACGTAGACAAATGTACAACAGAGTTGGAAATAACCTAGGCAAATGTACAACAGAGTTTGGAATAACATACAAAATGTACAACACAGTTGGATATAACTTAGAAAAATGTACAAGTTTCAGTTACAGCCAAAAGAAATGCCTTAGCTCAGGCCTGCACAACATGCGGGCCGCATGTGGCCCACCAGCATCCACTTTGCGGCCCGCGAGATAACGAAAAACTCGTTATTCTTATTATTTTCTTAAAAGCTTCCCCCCTGACCTATTTTCTTTTGGCCCGCACAAGTTTTTCATAATGCATTACGGCCCACCTTACATTTTGAGTTGTGCAGGCCTGCCTTAGATAAATCACACAGTTGAATCAAGAATATTATTTATTATATTTATTGAAGACTTTGATCTTATTATGTGGAATAGTTGTTTTCTCAAATTTACTATGATATTTTAAGGAACTCACATAATGAAGTTAATAGTTACATTGACTTATTCTATTCTGTAATTATATCAACAGAGTTTTTATTTTTAATGATAGTCAATTTAGTGGCTTTATCAACATAATACTTTTATCAAATTTAAAGGAGAAAAATATAATATACAAAATTTGATTTTTCCTTTTACAATTACAAACCATCCTTACGTATTTTCTCGTTTGAATACTTTAGGTTTTTTTTTTTTTTTTTTTTTTTTTTTTTTTTTTTTTTTTTTTTTATTTTTTTTTTTTTTTTTTATTTTTTTTTTTTTTTTTTTTTTTTTTTTTTTTTTTTTTTTTTTTTTTTTTTTTTTTTTTTTTTTTTTTTTTTTTTTTTTTTTTTTTGTTATCCTATTATCAGACCATTCCTTTTCACCAACACGTTAATTTGCTGGTTAGCAGAGAAAGCTGTCTAATGTGTTTACGTTGCACACAATTTTTTTTTTTAAATCGTAGGAATAGACTGCACTCACCCACTTACGTGTCTAACATCTAGGGGACTTAAAAACGAGTTCTTTTTTTTACCGAAATTTAACAAAAAAAATTGACTGTTTTTTTTTCCAACACACGCACGATTTTACAATTTTTACTCTCCGTAAACATTTCTTTTCCCTATTAACGAGAGAAAAAAAAGTATGATTTAAGAAAAAAAAAAGTTGACTTATTTTTTAAAGCTTAGACCTGGCTGACATAACGTTAAAAAAAAATAAAAAAAAATAAAAAAAAATCTCCCTCGGGACCTTCTTTCCTTCTTCTACTCTCAAACTGAATGGTTTCGTATTTCTTCAAGGGCGCCAGCTGGAGTAGTGTGGGGGGGGGGGGGCGTTTGGGTTTATTTACTTCTTTAGTAGGTGAATACAGAATGACAAAGCTTTGCAGTTTCGATGTATGGAATTTGTTATAACTAGATATTGCCCGCAAAACATAAGGGCGCCAGCTGGAGTAGTGTGGGGGGGGGGGGGCGTTTGGGTTTATTTACTTCTTTAGTAGGTGAATACAGAATGACGAAGCTTTGCAGTTTCGATGTATAGAATATGTTATAACTAGATATTGCCCGCAAAACATTGGCAACAGCAATGCGTGAATTTTCCATCTACTAAAGTTACTTGAAAAAACATTCACTTAAAAATCGCACATTTAAGAATCGCAATTATTGCTACACCCCTTCCCCGATGATACGTCACTGCACACGACTTATTTCACGCCCATGAACTATTTTAAATATTCTGATTCCCAACCGCTTATTTTTACACCATACTTAAATTGAGGCGATTTCATTTGCCGAAAAGAAAATATTACGCGCCAAACGCAGTTGCGTTATATTAAAAAAAAATATATATACGATTTAGCGTAGTTATAGTTTATTATATTTTGCGCGCTATTGAACTTATTATTGACCATACTTTCTTTCAAACATTTATATTTATTTGTAATATACTCTTAATACCAAATTCACGGATTAGGAAGCACTCCATTAGGAAGTAGTCCTTTAAGGAGCAGTTCCCGAGTCACACTAGAAGCGTAATATATATCAGTAAAAGATATAGCTCGCCAAACATTGATGACAGCAATGCGTGAACTTCCCATCTACTAAAGCTACTTGACAAAACATGAACTCAAGTAGCGCACATTTAAGAATCCCAATTTTTGCTACACCTCTTCCCACATGATACTTCACTGCACACATTTTATTTCACGCCAATCAGCTATATTAAATATTCTGATGTCCCAACCACTTTTAAAGCGACACATTTTTTACAACATACTTAAATTGAGACGATTTCATTTGCCGAAGGAAAAAAAAATTACACACCAAATGAAGTTCCGTTATATACAAAAATATAAATAGTTATCGGGAATTACGCACGCTAGTGAACTCATTATTGAACTATACCTTCTTTCAAACATATAGAATTATTTGTATTATACTTTCAATACCAAATTCACTGATTAGGAAGTAGTCCATTAAGGAGCAGTCCACGAGTCACACCAAAAGCGTAATATATATAAGAGATATGAAAGTTTTAAATAAAAATTGCAATGAAATAAAGGTGCATGTTTCGCCAATTTATTTTGTGTGGATCTGTTAAAATGTTTAGGAATCTTAACAAATTTAGATCCATTTTTTTTTTTTGGCCCAATAGTTTTAGAGATGGGTAAGGAGTAGGGTAGAGAGAGAGAGAAAAAAAAAGGGGGGGGGGGGGGAGTGGATCAATGTGGCGCCGAATCGTTTACCCAATAGTTTTAGAGATGGGTAAGGAGTAGGGTAGAGAGAGAGAGAAAAAAAAAGGGGGGGGGGTGGAGTGGATCAATGTAGCACCGAATCGTTTGAATCGGCATAGTTTCAAAAATAACTCAGCTAATTCCAGACCCCTTCGTCAAAAAATGTGAGAGTAAAACTGCTCCCTCATTTTTGTTAGAACTGGAAGTTTCACCTAAAAAAAGAATCTGATTCTTTGCTTGAGTGATTCTCACGTTACGTCAAGTAGGGTCTGCGACAAGAGCAGGAAATCATGGAAAACTCCTCAGAAGTCTCTGCGTCTGCAGAAAAGACCTTCCTAATGGTGATCGTGAGTAAGACGGAAATCACAACTACAACAAAAATTAACCTGCGGTTTGTAGCCGATGATATGCTTAAGTCGTTCAAAGGGTCGTCGGATAGGGGAAGAAAAAAAAAAAAAAGTAAACAATGGAAAATGGGTTGACAATAATTGAAAATTATACATTTTTTTTTTTTTTTGAAATTCTAAACTTGAATTCGCATTGGCAAATCCAATGTAATTTATTGTAATACACACATTTAAAAAAAAATCATGAAAAAGTGTATCTAAAATTTATGGTCTGCCAACTTCCAATTTTAAAAAAAAATAATTTAAAAAATATTGCACAGCGCAGGCACAACGCCCATACTCTAAGGAACATCTATCAACAAACGTAAACAAAAAAACAAAAAAAAAGTTTAACATGCCAAACAGTTTCAAAATTTGGTTGCGTAAAAGTGATGAGCAGTAGGAAAAAATCCAGCTGACGCATGCGCTCGTTCAAAACAAGTGCAAGGTCACGAAATGTAAAACGACGGTGAATGTATTTTTTTTATTTTTTTTCCCCCGCGGGAAGTCGATACAGACTTCACGAGGTTTGCCTACGTGGCAAGGGAAAACAAGACTCAAGACTATTTTTATACGAATTAATTTGAACGGGAGAATACGCATGCGTACATGAACGGTTTTTGTGAAGCATAATGCGAGCATAAACAATTACAGACATTGGTTATTTGAGGACCATGAAAATGGATCGTTGCAAAATCGGGGTCGCGTAAATG